TGGACCCAGAAGAAGAATTAGCCAATGCTAACATATAGCATCGGCAGACCTCTCGAAAACACCTTTACAGGATGGTCCAAAAGTTGGCTCTTGGCCCAAAGCTCTGTTCCACATGTGTGTCAATGCTGAGGGGGTCGAATTTTTTTCACTTGCTGTGAATTTTTGAAGTCTCTCGTTCAAATGAATGGAGCATGCGCAGATGCTTTTTTTCACAATTTTCTTGTGGGCGGGACCACTCGCGGCCATTTTGAATAGCTCCAGTAGAGCACTATTTATGGCCCATTAGTTAGAACGGCGGAGATATGCGTCACTCTGTCAATTAATCCATCCATCCATCCATTTTCTACCCTTTAATCCATTTCTGGGTCAGGGGGGTGACAGTCAGAGATGCCACCCAAGTCTCATAGCAGCAGCCCCTCACTGACCCTCTGCAGGTGGTGAGTCCACAGGAGGACGGCTGCTCTCTGAGTGTGAGCATAGCCTTGATCTTTCAGTGGGGGCTTTGGGCAAAGTGGGGTTAAGTGTCTTGCCCAAGGACACAACGACAGCAGTCATCAGTGGGAGTCGGTGGAGAAGGTGTAGAGGTGGGAATTGAACCCACGACCTTCTGGCCTTAAGGCCAATGCTCTACCAACTGAGCTACTGTCGCCAATGTCTGTCAATTAATATTTACAGTCTATGGTCCTGGTCTTGGTCTTGGTCTTGGTCTTGGTCTTGGTCTTGGTCTTGGTTTTGGTCTTCCATTTCGTCCAGGTCTTGGTCTCTGCCTGGACTGTAGGTCCAGGTGCAGGTCCAGGTCCTGGCCTCGGTCTTTATTAAGTGCCTGTGCAGTGGTGTCGGCCTCTGGCTCCAACAGATCAATGTGAAGCAGGATTCAGTAACAGAAGAACGATTAATTTAAAAACCAACTCAGAGAGAAGTGAAACGTGAGGCCTCCACACCTCCTGCTCCACTGGTCTCTCTCTGGTCTTTCTCTGGTCTCTCTCTCTTGTGTCTCTCTCTCTGGTGTCTCTCTCTGGTCTCTCTCTGGTGTCTCTCTCTCTGGTGTCTCTCTCTGGTCTCTCTCTGGTGTCTCTCTCTCTGATGTCTCTTTCTCTGGTGTCTCTCTCTCTGGTCCTGTCTAAGATCTCCTTTCTCTCCTTTATAATTCCTGGTTGCTTGTGCTGCTGGTGTCACATGTCTCAGTCACAGGTTCTCACGCTCGGGGTCAGATTGGGATTTAACCACAACAGCTCTTTGTGCCAAGTGTTACACACCGACACCATTTTTTAACAACTATAGTATTTTAGTGCCAAGTACCTGTTATAGTCTCTCTCTCTTTGGCTCTCTCTGGCTCTCTCGCTGTAGACCCAGGACAAAGGTGTTGTCAGTTTCTTGTGATGATTCTTGTGATAGAGAAGTAGCAATCATAACGACACAACAGATAAGAGCCGCAACCAAAAGGACTCAAGACGTGTGGACTGGACCATAGCAGACTGTACCATAGCAGACTGGACCATAGCAGACAGGACCTGACCATAGCAGACAGGACCTGACCATAGCAGACTGGACCATAGCAGACAGGACCTGACCATAGCAGACTGGACCATAGCAGACAGGACCTGACCATAGCAGACTGTACCATAGCAGACTGTACCATAGCAGACAGGACCTGACCATAGCAGACTGTACCATAGCAGACTGGACCATAGCAGACTGTACCATAGCAGACTGGACCATAGCAGACTGTACCATAGCAGACTGGACCATAGCAGACTACCAGAGGTACCATAGCAGACAGGACCTGACCATAGCAGACTGGACCATAGCAGACTGGACCTGACCATAGCAGACTGGACCATAGCAGACTGGACCAGAGCAGACTGGACCAGAGCAGACTGGACCAGAGCAGACTGGACCAGAGCAGACTGGACCAGAGCAGACTGGACCAGAGCAGACTGGACGAGAGCAGACTGTACCTGACCATAGCAGACTGTACCTGACCATAGCAGACTGGACCATAGCAGACTGGACGAGAGCAGACTGTACCTGACCATAGCAGACTGTACCTGACCATAGCAGACTGTACCTGACCATAGCAGACTGGACCATAGCAGACTGGACCATAGCAGACTGGACCATAGCAGACTGGACGAGAGCAGACTGTACCTGACCATAGCAGACTGTACCTGACCATAGCAGACTGGACCATAGCAGACTGTACCTGACCATAGCAGACTGGACCATAGCAGACTGGACGAGAGCAGACTGTACCTGACCATAGCAGACTGTACCTGACCATAGCAGACTGTACCTGACCATAGCAGACTGTACCTGACCATAGCAGACTGTACCTGACCATAGCAGACTGGACCATAGCAGACTGGACCATAGCAGACTGGACCATAGCAGACTGGACCATAGCAGACTGGACCATAGCAGACTGGACCATAGCAGACTGGACCAGAGCAGACTGGACCAGAGCAGACTGGACCAGAGCAGACTGGACCAGAGCAGACTGGACCAGAGCAGACTGGACCAGAGCAGACTGGACCAGAGCAGACTGGACCAGAGCAGACTGGACCAGAGCAGACTGGACCAGAATCAGAGCAGGAAAAGAAGTGTTTAAGGGGAAAACACCAGGACAAATAATGTAGGAATAACTCATACGTTTAATTCTGTTATAATGTACAGTATGCATGTCACCACTACTGCTACTACTATTTCTATTGCTAGTTTCTCCTACTGTGAGACATGTCAGACCACAAATCCTGCATTTATAGCTGTTTAGAACACACAACTACACCGTTAGCCAAACAGCGTTAGCCAAACAGCGTTAGCCAAACAGCGTTAGCCAAACAGCGTTAGCCAAACAGCGTTAGCCAAACATCCATCCATCCATTTTCTACCCTTTAATCCATTTCTGGGTCAGGGGGGTGGCAGTCAGAGATGCCACCCAAGTCTCATAGCACCAGCCCCTCACTGACCCTCTGCAGGTGGTGAGTCCACAGGAGGACGGCTGCTCTCTGAGTGTGAGCATAGCCTTGATCTTTCAGCGGGGGCTTTGGGCAAAGTGAGGTTAAGTGTCTTGCCCAAGGACACAACGACAGCAGTAATCAGTGGGAGTCAACGGAGAAGGTGTCGAGGTGGGAATTGAACCCACGACCTTCAGGCCTGAAGGCCAATGCTCTACCAACTGAGCTATCAGCCAAACAGCGTCAGCCAAACAGCCTTGACACTGTGCCTAACCCAAACACTTTCTCTAACCATATTCCCTATCATAATCACTAGGACTGCCCAAGCTTTTGCTAAATCCTCCTTTTCACCCCCTCCATTCTTTCCTGGTCCCCACCCGGTCCTTCCCAGTGCTTCCCAGTCCCTCTACGTTCCTTCCCAGTCCCTCCCCAGTTCCTCCCTGGTCTTTGCCGGTCTTTCCTGGTGTCTCCCTGGTCCTTCCCAGTGCTTCCCAGTCCCTCCCCGGTTCCTCCCTGGTCCTTCCCAGTCCCTCCCAGTTCTTTTTTGATGGTTGGTACATTATTTTCCGACCACAACAATAGAACTAAATGAACTATAGTGAGTTTATGTGTCAGCTGCTCCACCACAATGTGAAACTATGAACTGTTTGGGGCGTGGTGATATCACATGAACATGGACTTAAAACTGTACTCTGCTGGTGTCTGTGAATCTAATGTGAGAGGGGAGGCAGAGGGGGAGGCAGAGGGGGAGGCAGAAGCGCTGATCTATGTGGGATGATCTCCAGAGACTTAAGGAGGAATCTGAACTATGCAAATGTTGTCCCAGTGTGGAGCGGTTTATGGTATCTGTCACCAAGAGCTGGGACCAGAGGGACGCTTCTAACAGGACTGATGAGACTCTGATGTGTTTCTGGTCTCTCACTATGGTCTCTCTCTCTGGTCCAGAGAGAGGAAAGACCAGAGAGAGTTCCTGTTGTTCCCCTCGGTGTTCTTTTGGTGTGACATAACTTTTCCAGAGGCTGCGTGAGGACAGAGCAGTGTGTCATGGTGAGAACCAAACATTTACATCAGACACATGGAACATTCTGCGGTTCAGCTTTTACTACAGACTGAGAGAGAGACTAGAGAGAGGTCTGGTCTCTCTCTGGACTCTCTCTGGTCTCTCTCTGGACTCTCTCTGGTCTCTCTCTGGTCCCTCTCCGGTCCCTCTCCGGTCCCTCTCCGGTCCCTCTCCGGTCCCTCTCCGGTCCCTCTCCGGTCTCTCTCCGGTCTCTCTCTGGTCTCTCTCTGGTCCCTCTCTGGTCCTTCTCTCTCTGACCACACTCTTCTCTCTGTGTTTCTTTAAGTTGTGTTTAAATCTCTGACCACACGTCTGAAGTGACACGAGCCCAAAACTGTGCCTTGTGTCGTACCAGCAATTTGTTCCTCACCACAGACAGATGTGGAGGCTGCTGCAGTCTACTGTACCAGAGAGAGAGGGACCAGAGAGAGAGAGGGACCAGAGAGAGAGAGGGACCAGAGAGAGAGAGGGACCAGAGAGAGAGAGGGACCAGAGAGAGAGAGGGACCAGAGAGAGAGAGGGACCAGAGAGAGAGAGGGACCAGAGAGAGAGAGGGACCAGAGAGAGGGACCAGAGAGAGAGGGACCAGAGAGAGAGGGACCAGAGAGAGAGAGGGACCAGAGAGAGAAGGAACAAAGAGGGACCAGAGAGAGAAGAACAAAGAGAGGGACCAGAGAGAGAGAGGGACCAGAGAGAGAAGGAACAAAGAGAGAAGGAACAAAGAGAGAGGGACCAGAGAGAGAGAGAGAGACCTCTGTCTCTTCTCGAATTTGTACAGTAGCTGCTCTCTTTCTCACCCGTCTCTCCCCCCTCTCAGGACTTGTAGTAGCTGTTTTCCTCAACCCTCTCTCTCTCCCCCTTCAGGCCCGATGGAGTGGTGGTCCCTCCCCCACCGCAGCAGCATGGCCCCTGATGCGAGCTCCCTGTCTCCCCCTTGCCTCCCCCTCCTGCAGTAGCCCTGGCCCTCCCCCATGGCCCTCAGTATGATGGGGAAGCTGAAGCAGAACCTGCTGCTGGCCTGCCTCCTGGTCAGCTCCGTCACCGTCTTCTACCTGGGCCGCCATGCTATGGAGTGCCACCAGCGCCCAGAGGGGGCGGGGCCAGGCGCGGTGGGCGGGAGCATGCGCACAGCCCTGCGCACAGGACAGAACCTGAGCGCGCCCTTCCTCTACAGCAAAGACATGCCCCTGGTCTTCATCGGCGGCGTGCCCCGCAGCGGCACCACACTGATGCGCGCCATGTTGGACGCTCATCCAGAAATCCGCTGCGGCGAGGAGACCCGCGTCATCCCACGCATCCTCGCCATGAAGCAGATGTGGAGCCGCTCCGGGCGAGAGAAGATGAGGTGATTGTATTTTTATCAAGCAAAGTGACACCAAACCTCTGCAGCTGTACACAATGAAGGCTCTCAGGCGTGAGGACGATTATTTTGACTTTTATCAATCCCACGCAACAGTAAATGGTCTCACTCTGGTCTCACTCTGGTCTCTCTCTGGTCTCACTCTGGTCTCACTCTGGTCTCACTCTGGTCTCTCTGGTCTCTCTCTGGTCTCACTCTTGTCTCTCTCTGGTCTCACTCTTGTCTCTCTCTGGTCTCTCTCTGGTCTCACTCTGGTCTTTCAGGTGTCTGACCTTGTTTCTGGTATTTCTTTGCTCACTCTGGTCTCTCATTGGTCTCTCTCTCTCTGGTGTCTGACCATGTGTGTCCTCTCAGGTTGGATGAAGCAGGAGTGACAGATGAGGTTCTGGATGCAGCCATGCAGGCCTTCCTGCTGGAGATCATAGTGAAACATGGAGAACCTGCCAACTTTCTGTGCAACAAAGACCCGTTCGCTCTGAAGTCTCTGTCGTATTTGGCCAAAATCTTTCCTCGAGCAAAGTTTGTGCTGATGATCCGTGACGGTCGCGCCTCGGTGCACTCCATGATTTCCAGGAAGGTGACCATTGCGGGCTTCGACCTGGGCAGCTACAGAGACTGTCTGACCAAGTGGAACCGAGCCATCGAGACCATGTACACCCAGTGTCTGGAGGTGTCTGACAAGTGCCTCCCCGTGCACTACGAGCAGCTGGTGCTGCACCCAGAGAAGTGGATGAGGACTCTTCTCCGGTTCCTGCAGATCCCATGGGCCGACGCCGTGCTGCACCACGAGGAGCTGATCGGGAAGGCAGGGGGCGTGTCTCTGTCCAAGTGAGTCTAATAATACTTTGTATTTATTATATTTATATGGCTCTGTATAAGACTATGTCCAAGTGAGTCTAATACTGATGCTCTTTATGTATATTTGTAAGACATGTCACTGGTGAGCAGTGTTGGGCACGTTACTTTGAAAAAGTAATTAGTTATAGTTACTAGTTACTTCTCCCAAAAAGTAACTGAGTTACTAACGGAGTTACTCCACTATAAAAGTAACTAGTTACCAGTAAAAGTAACTATTGCGTTACTTTTTCGTTTTGTTCTGGAACATAATGTGCACTCGAGGTGCGCATTTTTACCTTTAACCTCAGTGAGTCTGAAATAGTGCCAATATTTCCATCTAGAAAAGGCTGTTTTGTTGCTGAAGTCCTGTTCACTCTCCATCTCTCACTGTGCTGTAAGCACTAAACACCAACACCCTCCACTGTGAATGTGGAAACACCGGTGAAGCACTGACTTCAGCCCAATCAGATGAACATATTTATCATATAAATCAAGTGGACAATTTGTTTGGCTACAGCAAAATATGTTTCATGGCCGCATTGTTTGTTCATACAAAACGCAAAACTATGAGTTATGGGTCTTAAAGACCTGCACAGACCACTTCAGTTCAGACCAGTTCTGTGTTTAAGTCCAGATAATAGTTTGAGCGTAGATATGTAATCCTCCATTTGGAAATAAGTTTTAAAAAGTAAAACAAAACGCGTGTGTCCTCCGCAAACTACTCTGTTTTGCTAGGTGCAGCCGGGTGCATCCAATTTCTAAAATCAACCGTCTTACACTTCACCTCTCTTTCTTATCATTCCTATAGTAATTGAAAAATTACCGTAAGTGCATTTTAAATTATCTTAAAATGTGTTATATGTATGTTAGCCAAACTTGTTGCAGCCCTTAGCAGATAAACCAGGAAGAGAAAGGAGCTTTCTGATGGAATTGTATGCAGCCGACTTCTGCGCTCACATGCGCTCCTCTGAGCCCTCACGGTGATACAAGCTGTGGTTGAGCGCGACTAAGACCCATATTTGTTTCAAAAACACAATTTATGACCATCCTCTCAACTGTAGACATGTGGATTGTAAAGGAAATATGTTTTACATCAGCCAATAATTGCTGAGAGGTTTTCTCATCCTCCCTTCTCTCATGACAGCACGCGCACGAGTCCTATCACGAAGTAAAAAGAGAAGTTCATTGTGCGTCTTGAGTAACGCGCAGTAACGGGGTGTCGGAAATGATAACGGCGTTATAGTTACAGTCAAAGTAATTAGTTAGATTACTCGTTACTGAAAAAAGTAACGGCGTTAGTAACGCCGTTACTAGTAACGCCGTTATTCCCATCACTGCTGGTGAGTGAGGCTTAGAAAGTTCTTGTAATGAATTACTGTTTAAATACCTTTCTCCAAATCTTTTGGATGAACATTTACAAACGGTGATGTCTCTACACGGTCCTTATTTTTATTTTTTACCAAGAACACGTAACTGTACATCTCTGGGGTCTCTCTCTGGGGTGTCTCTCTCTGGGGTCTCTCTGCTCTCTCTCTGGTCCCTGGTCTCTCTCTGGTCCCTGGTCTCATGACATAGACTTTATTACAGATTTCCACTGTTGTTGTGTGAAAGTTACGTCCCTAAGCTTTAATAAAGATTCTGTTTCTGCTGCAGAGACTGAACACATTATTGTTTGTCTCATATTTAAACAGATCCAGATCCTCCTCTTTCTTTTCCCACGTGTTTGAGAGAAGAACATTCTCACAGACTCATGACAGAGAGAGGACAAGTCAGGACAACTGCACAGCCCAGGGTGTAGACCTGCTTTAGACCTGCTTTAGACCTGCTTTAGACCTGCTTTAGACCTGCTTTAGACCTGCTTTAGACCTGCTTTAGACCTGCTTTACTCCAGCTTTAGTCCTGCTTTAGACCTGCTTTACTCCAGCTTTACTCCAGCTTTAGACCTGCTTTAGACCTGCTTTAGTCCTGCTTTCGACCTGCTTTACTCCAGCTTTACTCCAGCTTTAGACCTGCTTTAGACCTGCTTTAGTCCTGCTTTAGTCCTGCTTTAGTCCTGCTTTAGTCCTGCTTTAGACGTGCTTTAGTCCTGCTTTAGACCTGATTTAGTCTTGCTTTACTCCAGCTTTAGACCTGCTTTAGTCCTGCTTTAGACCTGCTTTAGACCTGCTTTAGTCCTGCTTTAGACCTGCTTTAGTCCTGCTTCAGTCCTGCTTCAGTCCTGCTTCAGTCCTCCTTTAGACCTCCTTTAGTCCTGCCCTACTCCTGGTTTGGACTTGGTTTTGTCAGTTCATTATGCACCAATTCCCAAGTCTCCAGCAGAAGCAGCAGGATTGTTGAATTCTCTCTCTCTCTCGTCTTTCTCTTTCTCCTCTCTTTGTTTTGGTCTATTTTTCAAAGCTGGAATTTGGTGGAGGTTTCTGGAAGTCATCGGAAATTCAAGCCCTCTTCCTCAGAGCCAAGTCTTTCCAAAAACACAGAACCTCCTCCCTCTCCCTCTCATATTTAAACAGATCCAGATCCTCCTCTTTCTTTTCCCACGTGTTTGAGAGAAGAACATTCTCACAGACTCATGACAGAGAGAGGACAAGTCAGGACAACTGCACAGCCCAGGGTGTAGACCTGCTTTAGACCTGCTTTAGACCTGCTTTAGACCTGCTTTAGACCTGCTTTAGACCTGCTTTAGACCTGCTTTAGACCTGCTTTACTCCAGCTTTAGTCCTGCTTTAGACCTGCTTTACTCCAGCTTTACTCCAGCTTTACTCCAGCTTTAGACCTGCTTTAGACCTGCTTTAGTCCTGCTTTCGACCTGCTTTACTCCAGCTTTACTCCAGCTTTAGACCTGCTTTAGACCTGCTTTAGTCCTGCTTTAGTCCTGCTTTAGTCCTGCTTTAGTCCTGCTTTAGACGTGCTTTAGTCCTGCTTTAGACCTGATTTAGTCTTGCTTTACTCCAGCTTTAGACCTGCTTTAGTCCTGCTTTAGACCTGCTTTAGACCTGCTTTAGTCCTGCTTTAGACCTGCTTTAGTCCTGCTTCAGTCCTGCTTCAGTCCTGCTTCAGTCCTCCTTTAGACCTCCTTTAGTCCTGCCCTACTCCTGGTTTGGACTTGGTTTTGTCAGTTCATTATGCACCAATTCCCAAGTCTCCAGCAGAAGCAGCAGGATTGTTGAATTCTCTCTCTCTCTCGTCTTTCTCTTTCTCCTCTCTTTGTTTTGGTCTATTTTTCAAAGCTGGAATTTGGTGGAGGTTTCTGGAAGTCATCGGAAATTCAAGCCCTCTTCCTCAGAGCCAAGTCTTTCCAAAAACACAGAACCTCCTCCCTCTCCCTCTCTCCCCTCCTCCCTCTCCTCTCACTCAGGGTTCCTCCAGGCTCTACTCCATTCTTTGCCGTTGATAGTAACTGCAGCTATAAAATAAACATGATTAGAACCTTAATTTAAAGCTGGGGTCCATAACTTTCTAACCACAACAATGGAACTCTAAGAAAATCCAAAGAGAGAGAGAGAGAGAGAGAGAGACCCACCCACCCACAGTGCTCTCTTGCACCAACATGTTTTTCTGAAGAGATATTTTAAAGTTTGTTACTCTTGAAAAGTCTCTGTTCCATGTGCAGTGTTTTAACCACTTGACCTCAAAAGCACAAGACAGCACCACAGCCTCCCCTCGCGGCGCTCGTACCGGACCATCAGTCGACCCCCTCCCCTCGCGGCGCCCATACCGGATCATCACAGCCTACCCCCCTCCCCTCGTGGCGCTCATACTAGACCACTACAGCCTACCCCTCCCACTGTCATACCAGACCATTACAGCCTACCCCCTCCCCTCGCGGTTCTCATACCGGACCATTACAGCCTACGCCTCTCCCCTCACGGCTCTCATACCGGACCATTACAGCCTACCCCCTCCCCTCGCGGTTCTCATACCGGACCATTACAGCCTACGCCTCTCCCCTCACGGCTCTCATACCGGACCATTACAGCCTACCCCCTCCCCTCGCGGTTCTCATACCGGACCATTACAGCCTACGCCTCTCCCCTCACGGCTCTCATACCGGACCATTACAGCCTACCCCCTCCCCTCGCGGTTCTCATACCGGACCATTACAGCCTACCCTCTCCCCTCACGGCGCTCATACCGGACCATTACAGCCTACGCCTCTCCCCTCACGGCTCTCATACCGGACCATTACAGCCTACCCCCTCCCCTCGCTGCGCTCATACCGGACCATTACTAGCCGCTGTGGTCCCTCAGGTCTTTGTCGTCTGTCTGTCATTTGCACAAATCCACTCGGCTTCATTTGGATCCATTAAACCATTTTACATTAACAAAAGAGACGTGTGTGTGTGTCTCTCTCTCTCCGTTTCTCTGTGTGCGTGTGTCTGTCTGTGTGTCTGTCTGTGTGTGTCTGTCTGTGTGTGTCTGTGTCTGTGTCTGTGTGGTTAAAGGCCAAAGAGAAATGTGAACTTTTGTAAGAAACAAATGATACTTCTGATACTGCTATATTTTAGAACTAGTTTAAAGTCATAAAAATCACGTTGACACCAGATCATGTGTCAGAGGTGACAGAGGGTGGATGGAGATGTATCACTCGGCCCTTGTTTCCTTTGGAGACTGCTCCTGTGTTGGTCCCTAAGCCCCGCCCCCGTCGCCACGGTGATCTAAGTTGTGTAAATGGAGCCTTTGATGTTTGTCCATTAGCCGCGGCGCTAAAAGCCGAGAGAGAGTTCCCCCTGCACTCACGTCAATATTACATCTGCATCAATTATTCATAGAGGGAGAGACCAGAGAGGGAGAGAGACCAGAGAGGGAGAGAGACCAGAGAGGGAGAGAGACCAGAGAGGGAGAGAGACCAGAAAGGGAGAGAGACCAGAGAGGGAGAGAGACCAGAGAGGGAGAGAGAGACCAGAGAGGGAGAGAGAGACCAGAGAGGGAGAGAGAGACCAGGAGAGGGAGAGAGAGACCAGAGAGGGAGAGAGAGACCAGAGAGGGAGAGAGAGACCAGAGAGGGAGAGAGAGACCAGAGAGGGAGAGAGAGACCAGAGAGGGAGAGAGAGACCAGAGAGGGAGAGAGAGACCAGAGAGGGAGAGAGAGACCAGAGAGGGAGAGAGAGACCAGAGAGGGAGAGAGAGACCAGAGAGGGAGAGAGAGACCAGAGAGGGAGAGAGAGACCAGAGAGGGAGAGAGAGACCAGAGAGGGAGAGAGAGACCAGAGAGGGAGAGAGAGACCAGAGAGGGAGAGAGAGACCAGAGAGGGAGAGAGAGACCAGAGAGGGAGAGAGAGACCAGAGAGGGAGAGAGAGACCAGAGAGGGAGAGAGAGACCAGAGAGGGAGAGAGAGACCAGAGAGGGAGAGAGAGACCAGAGAGGGAGAGAGAGACCAGAGAGGGAGAGAGAGACCAGAGAGGGAGAGAGAGACCAGAGAGGGAGAGAGAGACCAGAGAGGGAGAGAGAGACCAGAGAGGGAGAGAGAGACCAGAGAGGGAGAGAGAGACCAGAGAGACCAGAGAGAGACCAGAGAGAGACCAGAGAGAGACCAGAAAGAGACCAGAGAGAGACCAGAGAGAGACCAGAGAGAGACCAGAGAGAGACCAGAGAGAGACCAGAGAGAGACCAGAGAGAGACCAGAGAGAGACCAGAGAGAGACCAGAGAGAGACCAGAGAGAGACCAGAGAGAGACCAGAGAGAGACCAGAGAGAGACCAGAGAGAGACCAGAGAGAGACCAGAGAGAGACCAGAGAGAGACCAGAGAGAGACCAGAGAGAGACCAGAGAGAGACCAGAGAGAGACCAGAGAGAGACCAGAGAGAGACCAGAGAGAGACCAGAGAGAGACCAGAGAGAGACCAGAGAGAGACCAGAGAGAGACCAGAGAGAGACCAGAGAGAGACCAGAGAGACCAGAGAGAGACCAGAGAGAGACCAGAGAGAGACCAGAGAGAGACCAGAGAGAGACCAGAGTCTATGGCCTTTGACAACAACTGGTATAAAAGATAAAAGGGTGTTGGCCTCTTATCTAACGCTCCCATTATTAATGTATGAATTATTAAGAGATAAATAACAAAACAAATCTATATAAATATATTTTTGTCTTTCCTTCTCTCCCCCCGCCCCTCTCGTCCTCCCTCCTCTCTCCCTTCCCCCTCTCCCCTCAGGGTGGAGCGGTCCACAGACCAGGTGATAAAGCCGGTGAATGTGGAGGCCCTGTCCAAGTGGGTGGGGAAGCTCCCTCAGGACGTGGTGAGGGACATGTCCTCTATCGCCCCCATGCTGTCGAGGCTGGGGTACGACCCACACGCCAACCCCCCCAACTACGGACACCCGGACGCACAAGTGCTGGACAACACACGCCGGGTATGACCAGGAACTGGGACACACCATAGACTTTATACAGATTGACAATGCTAACAGCAGACCGTATACAGATGGACAATGACTTTAGTTCAGTCCTGACCAGTGAGATGTGAGAGAGACTGCTTTACATCTGGTCTTTGTAGAGTCCTGGTCCCGTGGTCTCTGTAGAGGCCTGGTCCAGGGATCTCTGTAGAGTCCTGGTCTAGTGGTCTCTGAAGAGTCCTGGTCCAGATCTATGGGACCATGTGGCATTGGCCCCTCCCCCTTCTCTCTGAACAAATATTTCTCTAACTCTAAGTGGAGACGCAGCCTCCACTTTTCAGGCTGCGTCTCAAAACAACTTAACTTCCTGCTCCAACCATAGACTGTACACAGACCAACAATGCTAACCTGCTAACTCAATGTATTGCAATAGGGAAGTGCTCGTGGATGAAGTTTGGATCTAACTTCAGCAGCTTTAATGTAAATCTGATGTGAAGGAAACTGGAACAAAGCCGCTGTTTCCTGATGCTAATAAGGAAGCTTCACCTCGAAACCACAAGGATCTGTTAACACTAGTTCATTTCAGTTGAATTTATTGTTATGATTATGATGAAAGTGGAGCTTGCGTCTCCCTGAGCTGCTCTGATGTGAGCGGACGTGTGAGTGTGATGAAGACAAACAGGCTGGTGCTGGTGCTGGTGCTGGTGCTGGGATAAACAGCCTCATACATTATCCAGCAGTTTGTCCATCAGCAGACATTAGCATCAGTCGTCTGTCTCTGGATCGATGCACAATAACAGTTATGAAGGAGCAGACCACGGCACAGTCTGGGGGGACTTTGAAGCTGGGGTTTCTAACTTTCCCCCATCAATAATACATGTTGTTTTCTCCAACAGAAAAGTTAAATTGCTGTTACGGTCTATTCTACTATAGACTGGACATACTGCTGCCAGTCCAGTCTCTCTTTCTCTGCTTTTTGTCTGGGCTCTCTCTCTCTAGTCTCTCTCTCTGTAGTCTCTTGCTCGAGTCTCTTGCTCTGGTGTCTCTGGTCTTTCGCTGGTCTCTCTCTGGTGGGTCTTTCTGGTCTCTTTCTAGTCTCTCTCTGGTCTCTACAAGCATGTGAAATTTGTTACAGAATCAAACTGTCTTAAAGCCAGGACCTTGATACACAGATGTTATGTTATTGTTGTGGTTTGAAAGTTACAGATACAAGCTTTAACTCTGGCTCCTGGTTTCAGCAGATCCACGGCTGATGAGTTTTTCTCATGCGATCGGCTTCTCGGCTTCATCATGTGGTTTTGTTTAAGTCTGAACCAGAAAGAGGAGAGGGACAGACAGGAGAGAGATTGTAGTAGTAGTAGCAGTAGCAGTAGTAGTGAGTATGACATTAGAAAAAGGGGAACTTACATATGGCTGATTTTGGAAACACAAAGAGGAAGAAGAGATAAAAAAGAGAGACCAGAGAGAGACCGAGGGAGAGACCACATCTGGAAGGACGCATGGACCTCTCCTCCTTGTTCCAGACCCCCAGTTGTTTTTAATTCCTTTCTGATTCACATTTTGTGGTTGTATCTTGACAAGGTTCCAAAAAGAGCCTTATTTTGCAGCAAGAGCAGAGAGAGAAAGAAGTGTTGGAAAAATGACTACACTGAGAGTCCAACAGCAGCAGAATGTTCGTACAAGATCTAAATGGAGATTTACAATGGACCAAAGGGAGAACATGCAAACTCCACAGAAAAGCCTGGGGTGGAATCAAACCCGGAGAGAGGTGCCAGAGAGAGAGAGAGAGAGGTGCCAGAGAGAGAGAGAGAGGTGCCAGAGAGAGAGAGAGAGGTGCCAGAGAGAGGTGCCAGAGAGAGAGCGAGAGAGAGGGAGAGGGGCCAGAGAGAGAGACAGGGGCCAGAGAGAGAGAGAGAGGGGCCAGAGAGAGAGACAGGGGCCAGAGAGAGAGAGAGAGAGAGAGAGAGGGACCAGAGAGAGAGAGAGAGGGAGGGACCAGAGAGAGAGAGAGGGACCAGAGAGAGAGAACATAATGAAACCATACTCAGATGTCTGCTCTGGTCTTGTTCAGAGCCTGTTTGTCCTTGTTGTGTATTGTGTGTTTGACTTCAGTGTTGTGTGTTTACAGCTGTATACATGTGTGCGTCTGAGACTTGCACGTGTGACGCGTGTGAGAGACAAACATTTGCAGAACAGAAACATTATCACAGTTCACTTCAAACGACACTAATTTCCTCTGAAGTGAAGTTGTTTATAGAGCCATTTCAAGGCCATAGTTCAGACTAGGGCTGGGCGATATGGCAAAAAAGTAAAATCTCGATTTTTTTTTTCCTGCTTTGGACGATTTCGATTTTTAATCGGTTTTTATTAAAGTCACCGAAGACTGACTTTGCCCTTAAAAATATGTTTTGATCTTTCTGCTCAATATTTAAGTTTCAAAACTATTTCTAATTTGTTTCCCTCAATACGTATTATAAAAGTCTTGTACAGACTGTGCTAATATTGCAAATATGATTAATGTGCTGCTGGAACTCTCACAATATCCTTCATTCGATTTCACGATTTTAACATTTTTCACAAATTCGATTAATTGCCCAGCCCTAGTTCAGATCCTCCTCCAGGACCAGAGAGAGAGACGGGGACCAGAGAGAGAGAGACGGGGACCAGAGAGAGACGGGGACCAGAGAGAGAGAGAGAGAGACGGGGACCAGAGAGAGAGAGAGAGAGAGAGACGGGGACCAGAGAGAGAGAGAGAGAGAGACGGGGACCAGAGAGAGACGGGGACCAGAGAGAGAGAGAGAGAGAGAGACGGGGACCAGAGAGACGGGGACCAGAGATAGAGAGAGAGACGGGGACCAGAGAGAGATACGGGGACCAGAGAGAGATACGGGGACCAGGGAGAGATAAGGGGACCAGCGAGAGAGAGAGACGGGGACCAGAGAGAGAGAGCGACGGGGACCAGGGAGAGAGAGCGACGGGGACCAGGGAGAGAGAGAGACGGGGACCAGGGAGAGACGAGTACTAGAGGTCATGTGAGTTGTTCCAGGAAGTAGCTCTAAATTAGCTATAAACTCAGACCACAATCTGACTGTAACCATAGTTGCCATAGTGACCAGGAGCGATGTGTCTGCTGCTCCACCACACTGTGAACCTGGAGACTCTATGGGAGGTTGTGATCTCACATGAACATGGACAGAACGTCCTCACACCCTGGATCCGCGGCTCACAGCTGGAGGTCCGACAGTTTGGTGTCTGTAGTTATAACAGTCGTTGGGGGAGGAGAGAGGGGGAAAAAGGAGGAGAAGCAGCAGCAGCAGCAAGAGGAGGAGAGACGGGGAGGAGGAGTAGTAGCGGGGGGATTTCCCGTGGACTGAGCCGTGGCAAATGTGAAACAGCTTCAGACGGTTTCACGCTGACGTCATGTTGAGTAGGTCCCTGTCTCACACATGACTCACTGTGTGCGTCTGTGTGTGTCTCTCTCTCTCTGTCTCTCTCTTCGTGACTCTCACTCTCTGTGTGTGCAGCATCTGGAATCTGTATCAATGTGTTGGTGTAAAGGGTGGAGTGGGGACTGATGTATACGCACACACACAGAGACACACACCATGGGGCCTTGTTGCATGCACTGCTCTTTAGAAAGTTTACAAAATAATGTCTGGAATTGTCACTATTTCGCCACAGTAGAAAATTTGTTTTACAGATGTGTTCTTTAAAGCTGGGGTACGTAGCTTTCAAACCGCAACGATAGAACTCTGTGTAGCCAGTTCTTGCCTCTAAAAAAGTTTGTACCTGTGACTAGTTTTTACATGCATGTGAGAGACCAGAGAGAGACCAGAGAGAGACCAGAGAGAGACCAGAGAGAGACCAGAGAGAGACCAGAGAGAGACCAGAGAGAGACCAGAGAGAGACCAGAGAGAGACCAGAGAGAGACCAGAGAGAGACCAGAGAGAGACCAGAGAGAGACCAGAGAGAGACCAGAGAGAGACCAGAGAGAGACCAGAGAGAGACCAGAGAGAGACCAGAGAGAGACCAGAGAGAGACCAGAGAGAGACCAGAGAGAGACCAGAGAGAGACCAGAGAGAGACCAGAGAGAGACCAGAGAGAGACCAGAGAGAGACCAGAGAGAGACCAGAGAGAGACCAGAAGAGACCAGAGAGAGACCAGAGAGAGACCAGAGAGAGACCAGAGAGAGACCAGAGAGAGACCAGAGAGAGACCAGAGAGAGACCAGAGAGAGACCAGAGAGAGACCAGAGAGAGACCAGAGAGAGACCAGAGAGAGACCAGAGAGAGACCAGAGAGAGACCAGAGAGAGACCAAAGAGACCAGAGAGAGACCAGAGAGAGGCCAGAGAGAGGCCAGAGAGAGACCAGAGAGAGGCCAGAGAGAGGCCAGAGAGAGGCCAGAGAGAGGCCAGAGAGAGGCCAGAGAGAGGCCAGAGAGAGGCCAGAGAGAGGCCAGAGAGAGGCCAGAGAGAGGCCAGAGAGAGGCCAGAGAGAGGCCAGAGAGAGGCCAGAGAGAGGCCAGAGAGAGGCCAGAGAGAGACGCTTGCTTTATTTTCTGCGTTTATTCTCTGCCTCAGTCTCTGCCTCAGTCTCTGCCTCAGTCTCTGCCTCAGTCTCTGCTTCAGTCTCTGCTTCAGTCTCTGCTTCAGTCTCTGCCTCAGTCTCTGCCTCAGTCTCTGCTTCAGTCTCTGCTTCAGTCCTGTCTCCTCCAGAACCTCCTGTTCACTGTGTTCTGTCTTGCAGGTTTATAAGGGTGACTTTCAGCTCCCTGATTTCCTCAGAGAGTCTCAGGTAATGCTTTGGTCTCTGCTCATCCTGCAGCCACAGCACCCCCTGTGGCCATCACTGCATCTGCCTCATGTCACCGCTCTCTCATCTGCACTGAGGAGGCGTGGAGCACCAGGAGGAAACCTACAGGATTCTAATGATCTGTGTGTTTGTGTTTGCAGATGCAGAGGTCAGCAGAGAGACCCAACCCCAGTTAGAACATCTGCACTCAGAGGTAACAGCTGTGAGACCAGAGAGGGAGAGACCAGAGAGGGAGAGACCAGAGAGGGAGAGACCAGAGAGGGAGAGACCAGAGAGGGAGAGACCAGAGAGGGAGAGACCAGAGAGGGAGAGACCAGAGAGGGAGAGACCAGAGAGGGAGAGACCAGAGAGGGAGAGACCAGAGAGGGAGAGACCAGAGAGGGAGAGACCAGAGATCTGATATTCCAGACTTTTTTTTAAATGTCCCATTCTCATCCCAAGCTATAACTATAATGGACTTTACATGTACTAACTCTTGTCTCTTTGTTTTTTCAGATCTGGTCCTCCCTCTCCCCTCCTCTCCTCTCTCTCTCTCACCTCTTCTCTTCGTTCCTCTCTCCTCATCCTCCTCGTCATCACCGTTGCCTCAAACTGAATGTCGGATTATTTCACGTCTGAACTCAAAGAACTATTTATGAAAGACTTTTATTTTCTGCTCATCTGAATGTCGTCATGTGTCATGGTACGAGTCACATGGAACTGTGGATGTGATAAACCCACACTTTTATACACACTGCCTCTGTGTCTTTTTTTACACTAAAGCTGATCTATGTAACTCCAGAACCAGAGAGACCAAAGAGGGACTAGGGAGACGCCTTATCAGTTCAAAGACCACAGCTGCCCTGGGGCACAAAGACAGAGGCGAGAGAGTCTGTGCTTACACACATCATACTCATTCTAATGTTGGATAGTGTCTTGCCTAAGTACGACCAGAGGTCTCTCATCACAGTACTAACCAGGCTCTGCCCTGCTTAACTTCAGAGGTCTGACAGGATCTGGCTTTGACCAAACTTGAGTCATTACACACACTTTAAATGTGTTTATATTCTGACATTGTAAAAGAATAACACAGATGCTCTCTTCAAGAAGGGCCAGAGTCTACTCTACCTACTGAGGAGGCTCAGGTCTTTTGGAGTGCAGGGGCCACTCCTGAAGACCTTCTATGACTCTGTGGTGGCATCAGCCATCTTGTACGGTGTGGTCTGCTGGAACAGCAGCATCACAGAGAGTGACAGGAACAAGATGGACAAGGTCATCAGGAAGTCCAGCTCAGTCCTGGGCTGTTCCCTGGACACAGTGCAGCAGGTGGGGGACAGGAGGGTCCTGGACAAACTAACATCTATGCTGGACCATGACTGTCACCCCCTGCAGGACACTCTCTCTGCTCTGGAGAGCAACTTCAGTGACAGACTTATTCACCCTCGCTGTGTGAAGGAGAGGTTTCGCAGGTCTTTCCTTCCTGCTGCTGTCAGACTATACAACGAGAATGTGTAACAGGAACTGCTGAGTCTGCACAAGTGTCACTGATAATTCACTAGTAGCTTTGTCACTAGTCACTTTACCTGTTATCAGTACTACTGTATTATTATAATTCTGCCTTTCACCAGTCACTTTACCTGTTGATATCTTACTGTATTTTACATATCCATCTGATAATTCTCCCATTCAAGTCACTTTACCTGTTGATATTATTTCTGATGTTTATTCTGCTCATATTCTCATATTCTCCGCTGCTAATGTATAATATAGACATCTGTAAATACTCCGAACCAAGTGCAATTATAGACCAGAGTTTTTCTATTTTATCTTAAATTTATTGTCTATTATCTTAAATAATAGGCTTTGATGTGTGCAATCTGAGTGCTCTTATTTCCTTTCTCTGCTGTAATGTGCGCAACGATGACACTGAAATGTCTCCACTGTGAGACTAACAAGGGTTTATCTTATCTTATCTAAACCACTGCAAATGTATTTATAATAATGTTAAAGCAGCAGTATTATGGTATCAAGCAGTGACAACATCGATAATACAAATAAACTTACATAATATCACGTACAGTATTTTTCCCCATGTAGAAAGTTACGTACACTTGGCGCGAGAACGGCTTCTTTTGTCTGTGCTCATTTAAACCAATGGAATTCCAAAAAAATTCCCCCAAAAATTTTAGTTTTCTACCAGCTTTATTAAAATAAGAAAATCATGTTTTTTCCCCTTTCCCCGGGTGAATATAACTGAAATATAGCGAAACCCGTTAAGGCTAATGTTGCTAAGAGTAAACTGTGTGTTGCTATGGTAACTAGTACTCTTCACTGGTGGGATTCGGGAAGACCCGTGCAGGACCAGTCCGAGACCAGTGCAGGGCCAGCAAAAAGCGGATTAAACTGTTATTGTATGCTGGTTGCCAAGCGAGCAAAAATGACCATTTGAATGTATGTATTGAGAACTCAACTCCCAAAAATAAATAATAACATAGACTTAAAGTATAAATAGTAAGTACAAACAAGAAACAGAAAATTTCAAGAAGTTATGAAGAGTAATTTCAAAATACAAATCAATGCTCTGGGTCTGGCACATTTTTGAACTTGTGTGTTTACAGTCTATGGTGTTTACATGACTCCCTACAATCTTGGTATTTCGTCCCGCTGCAAGCTAACCCTTGCCCCACCCCACTCTTAACAAACTTAACCTGAGCTAGTGTGTCTCTGCTTCTGCATATTGTGAATCAAGAAACAGCGACAACATATTGACCTCAGCTCGGGACGAAATGCCAATTTGTTAGCGAGTATGTGTTTGCGCAGCCTCTCCAGCAGAGGGCGCAGTGCATCCGCGTCCTCACCATAGACTGGAACTTCGAGTTTTTTCCTCTTCTCAAACTTTTTATGTAGCCGGTTTACTTTTCCCCACCGTTTCCCCGAAGTTTTCCTTGAGATATTCCCACAGTTTTCCAGATTATTTCTTCAGTCTGTCCGTGTTGTAAACCTTCGTGGATGAAGCCCAGATCCACGGCGATCTGAAAGGTGCGTGGAAACCAAATATTGGGAACTTTCCGAACCAAACACTGTAAAATATGACGCCTTTAACCTGCATTTGAATGTGTATTGAGTTATAATAACGTTATAACACGTTTGAACGTGTTGTAATCGGCGACAAGTGAAGCTACAGTAGTTTTAACAGCTCAATGATTGAAGTTTTTGGCTAACACAACAAGGCTAACATAAACACCTACTTTCTAAAGCCTCGTTTCCACCAGCTCTACCCTGCTCGTCTCTATACTACCCTACCCAACCTACCCACAACAAACCAGTAACCAGCAGCACTCAAGCCAATCACTATCAGTTAGAATACTTTAGTACCACCTCGGCCTGGATAGAACCAGGACCAACCAGTAGAGTAGAGTAGAGTAGAGTAGAGTAGAGTAGAGTAGAGTAGAGTAGAGTAGAGTAGAGTAGAGTAGAGTAGAGTAGAGTAGAGTAGAGTAGAGTAGAGTAGAGTAGAGTAGAGTAGAGTAGAGTAGAGTAGAGTAGAGTAGAGTAGAGTAGAGTAGAGTAGAGTGTTAGTGAATACAGGAGTAAGGTCTTAAAGGAATAGTTCACCGTTTTTACATACTGACAAATGTTCTTACCTTACCTTAGACTAGTTAATACGTACCTGTCTGGTCTTAGTCCGTGCGCTCTGTCATGCAAACGGAGCAAAAACGGGAGCACAACCGCAGCCTCCTCTGTATATTTTGTAGCACCAAAAGGTAGCTCCCGCTAGAAGCTACCAAACTCTTCCAAGTGTTCCCTATTAAATGTATATAGTTACGTGACGTGTTACACTGCAAAGTATAGTAACACAGAAATGTAACAGTCGATTTTCTCAGCGGATAAAACGGGTACTATATTGTGAGGCGTAGTAATCTGAGGGGCGCTACGTCCGCGCACTAACTTCTCTCCGGAGACTTCTCTCTCGCTCACTTCCGTCAATAGAAGCAGCGTGACTTGTAATACACACAGTAGCAGCGAGAGAGAAGTCTCCGGAGAGAAGTTAGTGCGCAGAGAAGTTAGGAGCGCTACGTCCGCGCACTAACTTCTCTCCGGAGACTTCTCTCGCCTCACAATATAGTACCCGTTTTATCCGCTGAGAAAATCGACTGTTACATTTCTGTGTTACTATACTTTGCAGTGTAACACGTCACGTAACTATATACATTTAATAGGGAACACTTGGAAGAGTTTGGTAGCTTCTAGCGGGAGCTACCTTTTGGTGCTACAAAATATACAGAGGAGGCTGCGGTTGTGCTCCCGTTTTTGCTCCGTTTGCATGACAGAGCGCACGGACTAAGACCAGACAGGTACGTATTAACTAGTCTAAGGTAAGGTAAGAACATTTGTCAGTATGTAAAAACGGTGAACTATTCCTTTAACTTGTGCTGAGTAAAGGCTTTGAAAACAGTTCTAAACATGTCATAAGGGATCTGACCTCTGAACCTCGTTCCATGTGTAATAGTTGTAGTGTGTGCAGTGCCCCCTTGCTGAGGCCTGTTGTCGTCACCACGGCCGGGTTACGGCGCTCCGTGTGCCGCCTGGTTATCTACCTCCAGAAGGACATGTCCGATCAGAGTCCCACACAGAGGCCCTGTCCCTGGGAGGAGAGAGACATCCAGGAGGCCCCTGTGGAGGACCAGGTCTGACACACAGAGACCCACAAAGACTGACAAAACAAGAGACACAGACTTATTTGTCTCTGGTATCTCTAGTATCTCTCTCTAGTCTCCCTCTCTCTGTTCTCTCTCTCTCTGGTCTCTCTCTCTGGTCTCCATCTCTGATCTCCATACATGTTAAGGAACCAGAGCCAACTAGGGACATGGACTTTTCTACAGCGTTCTAAAGTTACATACTTCAGCTTTTTTCTTGTCATCACTGTCCATGATAAACTTTGAGAACACCTGCTCTGGAACGACTTGTTGACTTGTACATCCAGTTATTCCGATGCTGGTCTTATTGCAAATGGCAAATCAACGGAATCTTGAATCTCGAGTCTGTGTGATCCCCAGGTCCTCTCTCCTCAAAACAGATGCACCTGCAGTCCGACAGCAGAGGGCGCTGTGAGGGAGCCGGCCTGTAGTACCTCCAGTCAGACAGCAGAGGGTGCTGTGAGGGAGCCTGCCAGTAGTACCCCCAGTCGGACAGCAGATGGCGCTGTGAGTGAGACGGCCTGTAGTACCTCCAGTCGGACAGCAGAGGGTGCTGTGAGGGGGGCATACGTACGGCTGAATGTGGGCGGGGCCTTGTTCCTGTGCTCTCTCAGAGTCCTGACGAGTCACGAGTCTCGTCTCCGCGACATGTTCAGCGGAAAAACTGAGGTGATGGTCGACTCTGAAGGTGAGACCCCGAAGGTCTCTGGTCTCCCTCTCTGGTCTCTCTGGTCTCTCTGGTCTCCCTCTCTGGTCTCCCTCTCTGGTCTCCCTCTCTGGTCTCTCCCTCTGGTCTCTCTCTCTGGTCTCCCTCTCTGGTCTCCCTCTCTGGTCTCCCTCTCTGGTCTCCCTCTCTGGTCTCTCTCTCAGTGTGTGTGTGTGTATGTTCAGGCTGGGTGCTGGTGGACCGCTGTGGGAGGCACTTCTCTCTAATCCTGGACTTCCTCAGAGAAGGAACTGTGTCTCTGCCTCAGTCCAGACTCAGCATCCAGCAGATCCACAGAGAGGCCCAGTACTACGGACTCAGAGGACTGGAACTGCACTGTCAGACTGCTCTACAGGTCAGAGAGAGAGAGACCAGAGAGAGCGAGGTCTTGGTTCAGGTCTAGACATGAAAGTAAAAAGGAGAGGAGACGAAAAGTTTGTTCACAACATTTTACTTTAAGACATTCTGTTCGACAGAAGTTACGTTCCCCAGCTTTAAATATATGATATGACTTGTATAAAACATCTATCAGGTGGTGAATATATTTGTCAACATGATTCTATAGTGGACCATGTTTCAGACTCAGCGTGGATGGAGCTAAACACAGCTGTGTTGAATGTGTTTTAGAAGTCTCTGCCGGAGCCTCCTGTGTGTGTGATCCCTGTGGTCACGTCCAGGAAGGAAGAGGAGGCACTCATCCACTCCTCCAGCAAGGTAACCACGGTAACCACACAGCAACCACCGTAACCACCGTAACCACAGTAACCACAGTAACCACACTGTAACCACACGACAACCACATGGTAACTATAGGAACCACAGTAACCACAGGAACCATAGTAACCACACGGTAACCACACGGTATCCACAGTAACCACATGACAACCACACGGCAACCACAGTAACCGCACGGTAACCACACAGTAACCACACGGCAACCACAGTAACCGCATGGTAACCACACAGTAACATCTTACTTTAAATGTTGCGTTTGTGTTTTCAGCCAGTGGTGAAGCTGGTGTACAACCGAAGTAACAACAAGTACTCCTACACAAGGTATGGAGAGCTAGTATAGCTCCTACTTTAGACCTGGTTTAGACCTGGTTTAGTCCTGGTTTAGTCCTGGTCTAGCCTGGCCTTAGCCACCCGTAATCTCCGGTCAATTACGATTTCCTACATGTACGTCTGGGTCTGATCACAGTGGCTGTAGTTACCTCGGTTGAATCCCCTCTGACCATTCAGCGAGCGGGGGAGGCGGGTGTTGCAGGGAAGTGTCAAGAGTTTACGCCAAATTTGCTGGTTGTAGTTTGGCAATGACGGCAAATCGGATAGTAAAGTAATCTGTTATGGTTCAGCTCCAAATATCAATACAATGAAGCTGGAGCAAGAGGAATATTTAGCAAGTTTCATTGCTGCAAAGATGTTGTCACTCTACTCCCCACGGGCTTCGTTAGAGGCAAAGGAGATGGCTAAATGCTAAATGCCTCACTCGCTGGAGCGCATTACATACGTCACGGGAAACTCAGCTCCAATTGTTTCAATCTGAAAAAGGAGTTAAGCCCTCGCACCTGTTAATGGAGCCCAATAAAGCAAATCCAGACTTTAGTACGAAATGAAACGAGTATGATGGTGTGGTAAGACCAGGCTATTCCTGGTCCAGTCCTGGTCCAGTCCGAGTCCAGTCCTAGTTCAGTGCTGGTTCAGTCCTGGTCTCTCCTGGTCTCTCCTCAGTTCCTCGGATGATAACCTCCTCAGGAACATGGAGTTGTTCGAGCGTCTGTCTCTGAATTACGGCTCCAGACTTCTGTTCATGAAGAACGTGATCGGAGACGACATCTGCTGCTGGTCCTTCTACTGCCAGGGGCGCCAGATCAGCCAGGTGTGCTGCTGCTCCATCGTCTGCTCCACCGACAGGAAGCACACTAAGGCAAGTCCAGACCAGGACCCAGACCAGGACCCAGACCAGGACCCAGACCAGGACCCAGACCAGGACCCAGACCAGGACCCAGACCAGGACCCAGACCAGGATCCAGACCAGGATCCAGACCAGGACCCAGACCAGGACCCAGACCAGGACCCAGACCAGGACCCAGACCAGGACCCAGACCAGGACCCAGACCAGGACCCAGACCAGTTTTCCTCATGTTCTAAAGGAGAAGTGAGCATTACACAGATAGCAGGTTCCTCTGTCACTGCAGATCTTTAGTAGAAACAGTTTGACCTATGTCTGAGTCTGTAGTTTAGGCCTCTCTCACCTATCTGTGTCTGGGAGTCTGTAGTTTGGGCATCTCACTCCTCTCTCTCCTCAGTAGTCTGTAGTTTAGGCCTCTCTCTCCTCAGGGGGTGTAGTTTGGGCCTCTCTCCTCAGGTCTGTAGTTTGGGCCTCTCTCCTCAGGTCTGTAGTTTGGGCCTCTCTCCTCAGGGGTCTGTAGTTTGGCCTCTCTCTCCTCAGGGGTCTGTTGTATAGGCCTCTCTCACCCGTCTCTCTCCACAGGTAGAATTCCCTGAAGCCCGTCTTTACGAGGAGACTCTGAACACCCTTCTGTTTGAGACGCTGCCGGATCAACACCTGCTGGAGGCCACCAGGAGGCGCTACCACCACAGCTGCCAGAGCGAGGAGGAGGAGGGAGGAGGACCAGGACTGGCTCTGCTCTAGACTTGCTCTAGACCTGCTTTAGTCCTGCTTTAGACCTGCTTTAGACCTGTTTTAGGACAACTTAGAGTTTTTAAGTCACCTAACAGAAGACCAGGTCCAGGATTATAATAAATGTACTGTATTTGTGATGATTCGGGTCTCGTGCTCCTGTGTTTGTACTATTTAAAATGTAAATATTATTGTACATAATTTAAATAAATATATACATTTGGATTTAGAATATTGTAAATGTCTGTGGGACTCACTGGTTACTATCCAGGTCAAATAAAAAACCTTCACTGGGTCCGGTCCGTACCGTGCTGCTGCAGTCTGGTCCAAGACTCTGACGTTAACTTTTACATCTAAGAACCATGTGTATTTGTCTCTAGAATTATGTTTAACTATTCTTTAGTCCTGCTTTAGTGCTGCTTTAGTCCTGCTGTAGACCTGCTTTAGTCCTGCTTTAGTCCTGCTTTAGACCTGCTTTAGTACTGCTTTAGTCCTGCTTTAGACCTGCACTTGTGTGTTTACTGAAGGAGTTTAAACCACGTGACCCTGGTTAAACGCTAACTAAACTGTTCTCATGGGTTTCTACAATAACAGAAAGTGAAGCTGGTCTCTGCTCTCTCACCGCTTCAGCTGCAGAGACAACCCCAGACTTTGGACCAGTCCCCAGCTCAGAAAAACTCTTCTCAAGATCTCACTTTAATATAGCTCTGTCTATGTACTGTACGTGCATGACACATTTATCAGAATGATCTACATTCAGCGTTAGTCCACATGAGGGCGCCACAATCAGTAGAATTAGAAATATAGAGAAACCAGAGAGAGATACCAGGGAGAGAGCAGCGAGGGACTAGAGAGACACCACAGAGAGAGACTAGAGAGACAGACCAGAGAGAAATAAACCACATATTTCTGGTGTCTCAGTCTGAGTCCCCCTTAAGTCCCCTTCCTCCCTCTACCTGCGCCCCTGTCGCTCTCCTCCCTCCCTCTGACGTCACCCTCTGCACGCACGCACACACACACACTCGTACGTCAGCTGTCACCGCGTCTCCCTTCTGTCCGCGAGCCTCCCTGCACGAGCCGCTCCAGAGCCCGGTACCGGATCTGAGGTACCGGAGCGGAGGCCCCTGAGGCCGGCCTGTGGAGCCCCCTCAGCGGCCGCCAGCATGGACAGCTCCGCGGAGGAGGAACACAAGGAGAAGCTTCTGTGGAACGTGAAGCGAGAGGTGAGGCCACACGGACAAAACAGCCGCATTCGCTCATTTCACAATCATGTAACATGGTGTGTGGATGTTGCTTTTTGAATGAAACCAGCGACGTGTCATCAGCCACAAGTGATGATTAAAGCTGCTGTCTGTAACTTCTGCTCCATCCTCCTTACGGCCGCGCGCTGCTGTGGTTAAAGCGCAGGGACTTTAGCGTCAGACAGATTTACAAATAAACACACACACACACACATCACATGTTTGTGATGCACAAAGAATGTTGTGAATGAATCACAACCTGCTGTCTCCATCTGATGAGAACCAGCCAATCAGCGTTCTCTGGTGTCTGACAGATGTCAGAAAGAGAGTGTCCAGAGAGGGACCAGAGAGAGTGACCAGGGAGAGACCAGGGTGACCAGAGAGACCAGAGAGAGACCAGAGTGACCAGGGAGAGAGACCTGCCATTGTCGCCCATATGACTCTTATCTGTCTATGTACCACTCCTGTCTGCGTTCCCCGGGTTGGGAATCACCTCGTTCACACTCTCGGCATAAACGTGATATCACGAGGCTGGTCGTCTTGACACAGAAGCCTGTCTCTGTTTGGGTTTAAACCAAAGACTGAATGGACTGACTGAGTGTGACATCACCACATAGCATTGTCCATCTGTATACCATAGACTATATATATTAACGGACGTAGTCACGCCTATCTCCGACGTTCCAACTATCCATCCATCCATCCATCTTCTACCCTTTAATCCATTTCTGGGTCAGGGGGGTGGCAATCAGAGATGCCACCCAAGTCTCATAGCACCAGCCCCTCACTGACCCTCTGCAGGTGGTGAGTCCACAGGAGGACGGCTGCTCTCTGACTGTGAGCATAGCCTTGATCTTTCAGTGGGGGCTTTGGGCAAAGTGGGGTTAAGTGTCTTGCCCAAGGACACAACGACAGCAGTCATCAGTGGGAGTCCGCTGATGACTGCTGTCCAACTAATGGGCCAAAAATTGGGCTTTCATGGAGCGATTAAAAATGGCCGCGGGGGCTGGAAAATGTGAAAAAAAGCATCTGGGCATGCGTCAGCCGGCACGAGCCCCATTCATTTAAACGAGTGACTTAAAAAATTCACAGCGAGTAAACTAGAGTGGTCCAAAGAAATTCACCCCCCTCAGCATTGACACACATGTGGAACGGAGCTTTGGGCCAAGAGCCAACTTTTGGACCATCCTGTAAAGACGTTTTCGAGACGTCTGCCGATGCTATATGTTAGCATTGGCTAATTCTTCTTCTGGGTCCACCCCCATCGGCCCGGGGTGGTATTGCAAGCATGTCAGCGCACGTCATTTTGGCCACTTTTGAGCCGGGACCCGCCCCCACTGGTATATAGTCTATATTAGCATTGTCCATCTGTATACAGTCTGTGTTAGCTTTGTCCATCTGTATATAGTCTGTGGTTTGAAACTGTGTTTTTGCTCAGTGTGAATGAGGCGTATATTATTTCTATCATGACCTTTCCTCAGTGGACGTGGCTTCGCTGTCATTGCCACAAACTCACATTTAACACCTTTTCCGTTTTGTCAGATTTAAACTGAAGACACGTCAGAATAAAACTGTTTATTACTAGTATAGACCAGAGAGAGAGACCAGAGAGAGAGACTAGAGAGAGAGACTAGACGACAGGCTGTAAATCCAGGACTGAGGCCCTATCTTTGCACATTTGTGTGTGTGCAACATATACGAACATCAGAGCAAACAGATCTATGCACTGACTTCGTCCACTAGGGGCCACAGAATACCCTTTAACGGGCTGCACATGGCCCGTGGGCCGGGTGAAACCACTGCTGTAGATCCAGGACTGAGTCCCAGTGTGTGTTTTTGTCCTTTCTTATCCCAGTCTATTCAATTCAATTCATTTTATTCTTGTATAGCCCAAACTCACAACAGTCGTTATCTTAGAGGATTTAACTAAAGCGTTTAAATCGCCACCACAGATCAGAGAATCAAACAGTTAAAAATACAAGAAATATAGAACACAAAGGTATTAGTCCATATGGAGAGACCAATGTCCATGAATGTTGATAAATGTCCATAAATGTTGAATGGGACAACGGGTGAATAGCAATGAACAGACTGCAATCAAAATCCTAATAATGCTAAACAGGTAAAGTAGGAAGGAGGAGATGATAGTGCTGAAGTTACCATACTTCTCCAGCAAACTGACTCCATCTGCAGCTTGACTGACAGTCTGAGATTTTTTGTCTTCCCTGAGACTTACCTTACTGAACATTTGCTAAATTCTGGTCCGACCTGAACCAGATATCCACCTCAGTCCTGGTCCCTGGTCCCTGGTCCTGGTGTCTGTCTCTTTAAGGCCTCTGCAGCCGTAGTCATGGCAACAGCAGCTCCACCTGACGTGAAATCACATCATAGAGGAGCAAGAGAGAGAGGGTCTAAAGCAGGACTAAAGCAGGTCTAAAGCAGGACTAAAATGGGCCTAAAACAGGTCTAAAGCAGGTCTAAAACAGGTTTAAAGCAGGTCTAAAACAGGACTAAAACAGGTCTAAACTAGGACTAAAGCAGGACTGAAGCAGGTCAAAAGCAGGACTAAAACAGGGCTGAAGCAGGACTAAAGCAGGTCTAAAGCAGGTCTATAGCAGGTCTAAAACAGGACTAAAGCAGGAATAAAACAGGAATAAAACATTTGCCATTAGCAGATTATAAAACACAATACACAATAAAGTCTTTGGTCCAGAGGATCATCTCCTGTGCTGAGAGACCCTCAAAAACCAGGACTGAAGCTGTAGATCCAGGACTGAGGCTGTAGACCCAGGACTGAGGCTGTAGATCCAGGACTGAGACTGTAGATCCAGGACTGAGGCTGCAGATCCAGGACTGAGACTGTAGATCCAGGACTGAGACTATAGACCGAGGACTGAGACTGTAGACCCAGGACTGAGACTGTTGACCCAGGACTGAGGCTGTGGATCCAGGACTGAGGCTGTGGATCCAGGACTGAGGCTGTAGACCCAGGACTGAGACTGTAGATCCAGGACTGAGACTGTAGACCAAGGACTGAGGCTGTAGACCCAGGACTGAGACTGTAGATCCAGGACTGAGACTGTAGATCCAGGACTGAGACTGTAGATCCAGGACTGAGGCTGTAGACCGAAGACTGAGGCTGTAGACCCAGGACTGAGACTGTAGACCCAGGACTGAGGCTGTAGATCCAGGACTGAGACTGTAGATCCAGGACTGAGACTGTAGACCCAGGACTGAGACTGTAGACCCAGGACTGAGGCTGTGGATCCAGGACTGAGACTGTAGATCCAGGACTGAGGCTGTAGATCCAGGACTGAGGCTGTAGATCCAGGACTGAGACTGTAGACCCAGGACTGAGGCTGTAGATCCAGGACTGAGACTGTAGACCCAGGACTGAGGCTGTAGATCCAGGACTGAGACTGTAGATCCAGGACTGAGACTGTAGACCCAGGACTGAGGCTGTGGATCCAGGACTGAGACTGTAGATCCAGGACTGAGGCTGTAGATCCAGGACTGCGGCTGTAGACCCAGGACTGAGGCTGTAGACCTAGGACTGAGGCTGTAGATCCAGGACTGAGGCTGTAGACCCAGGACTGAGGCTGTGGATCCAGGACTGAGACTGCACAAACAAATTTCTGTAAAATTACAATGAAATTTCCACATTAAACAAATGTTATTTTGAAACAATTCAAACATGCAAATTCAAGCATAAATTGGTTAAAAAACATCCAGTGGCGTTTTATTACCACAATTAAAATGTGATTACAAAAAACGTTACAATACCATAAAATCACAATGTGATTCACGTAATTTAACATAACATTTTTGCTAACAAACAACCATGAGTGTAAGAGGTGTACACTCCTGATTTTGTTAAAATGATGCTTTTGCAATGTTATAAAAGTAAAGATTGTATTACTATTTTCTTGCATAAACTGAAGATTGAAAAGTTGTGTTCATTGAAAGAAAACAAAATTAAACTGTGTAGTTTTTTGTTCAGTGAAACTAATTAGAAACAGAAACAGTCACATGGTGTAATAATACAAATGAACATAATGCTGTTTTTGGTGTATGTGAATGAACAGGAACGTACAGATAAATCCTGAAATCACAAAGACATAATGTGACTCAGTGAGACAGTCTTTAACTGTTAAAATTAGCAACGGTAATGCTATGTTGAGAAAACGGTAAATCCCTGGAACCATATTTGCCAGCTTTTTACCGTTTTTCCACAAGAAAATTCTTTACAGAGTGTGGTGTTTTCCAGGTGAAACAGATCATGGAGGAATCTGTGACCAAGAAGTTTGTTCATGAGGACAGCAGCCACATCATCGCCCTCTGCTGTGAGTACTGCAGTACTGCAATACTACTACTACTGTTACTACAATATCACTGCTGCTATATCTGTGTTCTCTGTGTTCTACTGTGTTCTCTCTGTGGTCTCTCTGTGTTCTCTGTGTTCTCTCTGAGTTCTCTGTGTTCTACTGTGTTCTCTCTGTGGTCTCTCTGTGTTCTCTTTGTGTTCTCTGTGGTCTTTCTGTGTTCTCTCTGTGTTCTCTCTGTGTTCTCTCTGTGTTCTCTCTGAGTTCTCTGTGGTCTCTCTGTGTTCTCTCTGTGTTCTCTGTGGTCTTTCTGTGGTCTCTCTGTGTTCTCTCTGTGTTCTCTGTGTTCTCTCTGAGTTCTCTGTGTTCTACTGTGTTCTCTCTGTGGTCTCTCTGAGTTCTCTGTGGTCTCTGTGGTCTCTCTGTGTTCTCTCTGTGTTCTCTGTGGTCTTTCTGTGGTCTCTCTGTGTTCTCTCTGTGTTCTCTCTGTGTTCTCTCTGTGTTCTCTATGGTCTCTCTGTATTCTCTCTGTGTTCTCTCTGGGTTCTCTCTGTGTTCTCTGTGGTCTCTCTGTGTTCTCTCTGTGTTCTCTCTGTGTTCTCTCTGTGTTCTCTGTGTTCTCTCTGTGTTCTCTCTGTGGTCTCTCTGTGTTCTCTCTGTGTTCTCTCTGTGGTCTCTCTGTGTTCTCTCTGTGTACTCTGTGGTCTCTCTGTGGTCTCTCTGTGTTCTCTGTGGTCTCTCTGTGTTCTCTCTGTGGTCTCTCTGAGTTCTCTGCGTTCTCTCTGCGTTCTCTCTGTGTTCTCTCTGTGCTCTCTGTGGTCTTTCTGTGGTCTCTCTGTGTTCTCTCTGTGTTCTCTCTGTGTTCTCTCTGTGTTCTCTGTGGTCTTTCTGTGGTCTCTCTGTGTTCTCTCTGTGTTCTCTCTGTGTTCTCTCTGTGTTCTCTCTGTGTTCTCTGTGGTCTCTCTGTGTTCTCTCTGTGTTCTCTGTGGTCTTTCTGTGGTCTCTCTATGTTCTCTGTGGTCTCTGTGGTCTCTCTGTGTTCTCTCTGTGTTCTCTGTGGTCTTTCTGTGGTCTCTCTGTGTTCTCTCTGTGGTCTTTCTGTGGTCTCTCTGTGTTCTCTCTGTGTTCTCTCTGTGTTCTCTATGGTCTCTCTGTATTCTCTCTGTGTTCTCTCTGGGTTCTCTCTGTGTTCTCTGTGGTCTCTCTGTGTTCTCTCTGTGTTCTCTCTGTGTTCTCTCTGTGTTCTCTGTGTTCTCTCTGTGTTCTCTCTGTGGTCTCTCTGTGTTCTCTCTGTGGTCTCTCTGTGTTCTCTCTGTGTACTCTGTGGTCTCTCTGTGTTCTCTGTGGTCTCTCTGTGTTCTCTCTGTGGTCTCTCTGAGTTCTCTGCGTTCTCTCTGTGTTCTCTCTGTGCTCTCTGTGGTCTTTCTGTGGTCTCTCTGTGTTCTCTCTGTGTTCTCTCTGTGTTCTCTCTGTGTTCTCTCTGTGTTCTCTGTGGTCTTTCTGTGGTCTCTCTGTGTTCTCTCTGTGTTCTCTCTGTGTTCTCTCTGTGTTCTCTGTGGTCTCTCTGTGTTCTCTCTGTGTTCTCTGTGGTCTTTCTGTGGTCTCTCTATGTTCTCTGTGGTCTCTCTGAGTTCTCTGTGGTCTCGCTGTGTTCTCTCTGTGTTCTCTCTGTGGTCTCTCTGTGTTCTCTCTGTGTTCTCTCTGTGTTCTCTCTGTGGTCTCTCTGTGTTCTCTCTGTGTTCTCTCTGGGTTCTCTCTGTGTTCTCTCTGTGGTCTCTCTGTGTTCTCTCTGTGTTCTCTGTGTTCTATCTGTATTCTCTCTATGTTCTCTCTGGGTTCTCTCTGTGTTCTCTCTGTGTTCTCTGTGTTCTATCTGTATTCTCTCTATGTTCTCTCTGGGTTCTCTCTGTGTTCTCTCTGTGTTCTCTGTGGTCTCTCTGTGTTCTCTCTGTGTTCTCTCTGTGTTCTCTGTGGTCTCTCTGTGTTCTCTCTGTGTACTCTGTGGTCTCTCTGTGTTCTCTCTGTGTTCTCTGTGGTCTCTCTGTGTTCTCTCTGTGGTCTCTCTGAGTTCTCTGCGTTCTCTCTGTGTTCTCCGCTTTTAATGATGTCACTTCAGTACTAACGAGAGGCACTAACGACCAATTAGCCGCGCTGCTAATTCTTAATTCTTCTGATGAACTCCAGACAGAGTGACAGTAGCTTGCCCTCTGTCTCCACAAGAACAGTTTCACTTAGAAGTACTGCTAACCAGTTCAGTCTACTACAGCTACTTCTGCTACTACTACTCCGAGTACAACTGAAACTATTAATACTATTACTACTAATGCTACTGCTACTACTACTTCTACCGCTACTTCTACTACTTCTACTCCTAGTACTACTGAAACTATTACTACTACAAACATACAGTATTGTGTTACCATTCAGTCTTTTTTGTCTCTCAAAAACTCTGACCTTTTCTGACGTAAAGTTGAAATCAGAACGCAGCATCGGCGGTGAGGTCACTGGTGTGAGAAACTTGCTGACCGCTGCTTCTGCTGCGTCCAGGGTCAGGGCCAGAGCGTGTCATAGTGACGTCTGGAACCTCTCATAACAACCACATAACAACCAGAGAGCCAATCAGGACCCAGGTTTGAGGCAGCAATGCCTCCTGGGACAGAAGGATCCTGATTGGTCAGATATTGATTTGACCCACAACAAGTAACCCACAGCCAGATACTACTACTACTACTGCTACTACTACAACTACTAATACTACTACTACTACTGCTACTACTACAACTACTAATACTGCTACTACTACTGCTACTACTACTACTGCTACTACTACTTCTACTGCTACTACTACTGCTACTATTACTGCTACTACTACTACTACTGCTACTACTACTACTGCTACTACTACTACTACTACTGCTACTACTACTACTGCTGCTACTGCTACTACTGCTACTACTACTACTACTACTGCTACTACTACTACTGCTACTATTACTGCCGGTTTCCTATGGTTGCTGCAGTTTTTGAGACTGTGGGACAACGGATGCAAATCAGCCCCCTCCCTCAGACTTCCCCCTCCCTCAGTCCTCTCCCTCTCTCAAACCTACCTCCGACTTCCCCCTCCCTCTGACCTCCCCCTCCCTTAGACCTCCCTCTCCCTCAGACCTCCCCCTCCCCAGACGCATCCCTCAGACAGTATTAGGTTCAGTACATGTTGCTAATGCAGCGGTCAGAGACCACAGCTGTAGCTTCATATTTGCCTAATACACTGGAAGTGATGCGACGCTGAGGAGGCCGCAGATGCCCCTCACCCCTTCCCTCATCACCCCCCCCCCCCTCACTCCTCACCCCCTCCCCCCTGACTCCTACGCCTCTCACAAAAATAGCCCCAGAGCCGTGAGAACCGGCCGTGGATCCATACGAGGCTAAGACCAGGTCCAGAGTCCAGAGACCAGAGATGGACCAGAGATGGACCAGAGAGAGAGAGACCAGAGAGAGAGGACAGAGAGAGAGAGACCAGAGAGAGATACCAGAGAGAGAGAGACCAGAGAGAGAGGACAGAGAGAGAGAGACCAGAGAGAGATACCAGAGAGAGAGACCTGAGAGAGAGAGACCAGAGAGAGAGAGGCCAGAGAGAGAGACCAGAGAGAAAGACCTGAGCGAGAGAGACCAGAGAGAGAGAGGCCAGAGAGAGAGACCAGAGAGAAAGACCTGAGCGAGAGAGACCAGAGAGAGAGGCCAGAGAGAGAGAGACCAGAGAGAGACTAGAGAGAGAGAGGCCAGAGAGAGACCAGAGAGAGAACCCAGAAAGAGAGACTAGAGAGCGAGACCAGAAGGATCTGGTGCAGTGTTTTTGTGAATGGTTGATTCTCCTGTGAGTCACAGCTGCAGCTGGAAATAACACCTGCAGCTTCATTTAAAGCAGTATTTTTAGGATCTGCTTCTTGTGGGAAACGTTCTCTGCTAACAACATAGAGAATGTGTTAGCTTTAGCACGTTAGCTTTAGAATGTTAGAGATTCTGGCTTTAATGAGGCCTGAAACACTCTCCTCTCTCCTCTCTGATCTCTCATCTGCCCTGCCCCTCTCCCTCACCTCTCCTTTCTCTCCCCTCTTTCCTCTCTTCCCTCGCCCTCTTCTCTCTCCTCTCTCTCCTCTCTCTTCTCTCTCGTCTCCTCTCTTCTCTCTACTCTCTTCTCTCTCTCCTCTCTCTCTTCTCTCTCGTCTCCTCTCTTCTCTCTCGTCTCCTCTCTTCTCTCTACTCTCTTCTCTCTCTCCTCTCTGTCTCTCCTCTCTTCTCTCTCTCCTCTCTCTTCTCTCTCTCCTCTCTGTCTCTCCTCTCTTCTCTCTCTCCTCTATTCTCTCACTCTAACATCAGGGTCCTCCCCACGCCCCTTCTGTCTCCTCGCTCTGTTCCCAAACTCGTTGAATGCTCTGAGTTTGAACAATGGAAGCAGTTTAAAAATAGAAAGTCTAAAATAACTAGGATGAGGAGCAGAGAGGTGGAGGAAGCGTCTGGGGAGAGCCCCACGCAGGCTGTTTCCACGGTAACGGCTGTAATGCTGAGATAATTGGCTTTGTTCCTCTGTGCACTTTATGTAATCTCCACGCTCCACAGACGAACTGAAGGAAGGAGGCGAGTGTGTTTGTATGCCACATTCTATTTACAAGGAGCGTAATGATCTGAGACAGGTTCATAAGGAAAGCAGCTCACTCTACTCTACCCTACTCAACCCTACTCCACTGAGCTACTCTACTAAGCTACTCTACCCTACTCTATTCTACTCTACTCAGCTCTACTTTTCCCTACTCTACTCTACTCTACCCTACCCAACCCTACTCTACTCTTCTCTACTCTACTCTACGGTATTCTACCCTACTCTATTCTACTCTACTCTACCCTACCCAACTCTACTCTACTCTACTCTACTCTACCCAACCCTACTCTACTCTACTCTACTCTTCTCTACGCTACTCTACCCTACTCTATTCTACTCTACTATACCCAACTCTACTCTACTCTACCCTACCCAACTCTACTCTACTATACCCAACTCTACTCTACTCTACTCTACTCTACTCTACTCTACCCTACCCAACTCTACTCTACTCTACTCTCCTCTACTCTACCCAACCCTACTCTACTCTACTCTACTCTTCTCTACGCTACTCTACCCTACTCTATTCTACTCTACTATACCCAACTCTACTCTACTCTACTCTACTCTACTCTACTCTACTCTACTCTACTCTACTCTACACTACTCTACTCTACTCTACTCTACCCTAGCCTACCCTACTCTACACTACCCTACCTTACTAAATGTAAAGTGGATGTATTCATGTTTGTCTTGGTTAATGGTGAAAGAGAGATTTGAGGCATCGTTACTCAATTACACAAGATATATTATTGAGAACAAAACTCCAAATGTGCTTTATCAAGAGCTCTGTTTTCGTTCTGGTGAGCACAACTATGAAACCCGACACGCCACAGAAGGCAGATTCAACTTACCCAAAGTAAAAACAAATTCTGTAAAAGCAACTGTAATGTACAGGTCAATGTTTGCCTGGAATCATCTCCTAAATGACATTATTATTACTGCAAACATTAAATACCAATTTAAAATCCTTTTAAAAAGACATCTATTGACAAATTAGTATAAACATGTGATATTACAACTGTGCTGTAATCTCTCTAACTACCATTGACAACTGAAATTGGGTCTGGGTCTTGTGTGTGTGTGTGTGTGTGTGTGTGTGACCCTTTGTCATCATTTGTATCATTTTTGTTTTTATTTTAGTATAATTATTGTCATGTATTTTTGTTAATGCACTTTGCCTGACTCCAGGAAGAATAGCTGTGTTGAACAGCTAATGGAGATCAAAATAAATACAAATACAAATACCCTACCCTACTCTACCCTACTCTACACTACTCTACTCTACTCTACCCTACCCTACTCTACTCTACTCTACCCAACCCTACTCTACTCTACTCTACCCAACCCTACTCTACTCTACTCTACCCAACCCTACTCTACTCTACTCTACCCAACCCTACTCTACGCTACCCTACTCTATTCTACTCTTCTTTACTCTACTCTACTCTACTCTACACTACTCTACTCTACTCTACTCTACCCTAGCCGACCCTACTCTACACTACTCTACCCTACCCTACCCTACTCTACCCTACCCAACCCTACTCTACTCTACTCTTCTCTACTCTACTCTACTCTACTCTACGCTACCCTACTCTATTCTACTCTACTCTACTCTTCTCTAATCTACTCTACTCTACTCAGCTCTACTTTTCCCTACTCTACTCTACTCTACTCTACCCTACCCAACTACTCTACTCTACTCTACTCTTCTCTACTCTACTCTACGCTACTCTACCCTACTCTATTATACGCTACTCTACTCTACTCAGCTCTACTTTTCCCTTCTCTACTCTACTCTATTCTACCCTACCCAGCTCTACTCTACTCTACACTACTCTACTCTACCCTAGTCTACCCTAGTCTACACTACTCTACCCTACCCTACCCTACTCTGCACTACCCTACTCTACTCTACCTTACCCTACCCTACTCTACACTACCCTACTCTACTCTACCCTACCCTACTCTACTTTTTCTTACCCTACCCATACCCTACCCTACTCTACTCCACTCTACTCTACCCTACCCTAATCTACTCTACTCTACTCTACTCTACTCTTCCCTACTCTACCTTACCCTACTCTACTTTACTCTACTCTACTCTACTCTACTCTACCCTACCCTACCCTACCCTACTCTACTCTAATCTACCCTACTCTACTCTACTCTACTCTACCCTGCCCTACTCTACCGTACCCAACCCTACTCTACTCTATTCTTCTCTACTCTTCTCTAATCTACTCTACTCTACTCAGCTCTACTTTTCCCTACTCTACTCTACTCTACTCTACTTTACCCTACCCAACTCTACTCTACTCTACTCTTTTCTACTCTACTCTACTCTACGCTACTCTTCTCTACCCTTCTCTACCCTACCCTACCCCACTCTACACTACCCTACTCTACCCTACCCTACTCTACTCTACCTTACCCTACTCTACTTTACCTTACCCTACCCATACTCTACCCATACTCTACCCTACCCTACTCTACCCTACTCTACTCTACTCTGCTCTACTCTACTCTACTCTACTCTACTCATCCCTACCCTGCCCTACTCTACTCTACCCTACTCTACTCTACCCTACTCTACCCTACCCTACTCTACTTTACTCTACTCTACCCTGCCCTACTCTACTCTACCCTACTCTACTCTACTCTACTCTACCCTACTCTACCCTACCCTACTCTACTCTGCCCTACCCTACTCTACTCTACTCTACCCTACCCTGCGGGAGTGGGAGTGTTTCCACTGGTCCTGTTTAACCAGCACTTGGCCAGAGTCTCTCTCTGTAGTCTATCTCTGATGTCTCTGGGCCTGGTCTCCTGGACTCTCTAGTCCTGGTTTCGCTGGTCTCTCTGGTCCTGGTCTCTGGTTTCTCTGGTCTCTAACCTGTGGTTCTATCCCCAGCTGCCATAGAGGCGTGTCTTGCTCACCTGCTGAAGCGGCGTGCGGCTGGTTTCCTGCGCAGTGATAAAACCGCAGCTCTCTTCACTAAAGTCGGGAAAGTTTACGATGTCGCAGCGGAAATCTGCCGGAAAGTTCAAGAACAACTGAACCAGCAGACGGAGATAACCAGGTGAGATACCAAAGACCAGAGAGGCCAGAGAGAGAGAGAGAGAGAGAGAGAGAGAGTGAGAGAGAGAGAGAGAGAGAGACCCCAGAGAGATAGAGAGACCAGAGAAAGACCAGAGGTAGACCAGAAAGAGACCAGAGAGAGACCAGAGAAAGACTACCCGAAAGAGCCGAGAGAGCCGAGAGAGACCAGAGAGAGACCAGAGAGAGACCAGAGAGAGACCAGAGAAAGACTAGACCCGAGAGAGCGGAGAGAGACCAGACAGAGACCAGAGAGACTTCAGAGAGACTTCAGAGAAAGACCAGAGAGAGAGACCAAAGAGAGACCAGAGAGAGTCCAACTAGTGCACATAATTTTTTGGCCAAACTGTATGCAATATCCAGAGCCTGAAGCTATGCAGGCTAGACACTTCACCCACATTAGAATCAGTCCGGTGTGTGTGTGAATGGTTGGTGGTGGTGGGAGGGGCAAAGACTGGTTGTCCTGTGGATGCCTTACAGAAGTGAGGCATCCACAGGGCGGCTGCGGCTACTGTAGTAGTTTATCACCACTGTGTTTGGAGAGAATGAATAATTATGTTTTTGAGCGTCCAGAAAAGCGCTATATGAAAACGATGCACTGCATTATTAAATTATATTTATACTGTGTATAACCGGCAGGATGATGAGGAGATTCAGTGACAATCTGAAATGGCAGTATTTATTACAGATGAGACATGTTCAGACTCAGCAGTTCTCATTGTACAGACTTGCAGCAACAGGAAAAAAGGACTGCAGAACCTCTCCTTCACAAAGTGTGGGTGGATCAGTTTGTCACTGCAGCAGCTCTCAGAGTAGCGTGTCCTGCAGGGGGCGACAGTCATGGTCCACACAGATGTTTGTCCAGGAACCCTTCTGTTCCCCAATGTCCCCCAGGACTGTGTCCAGGACAGAGCTGGTCATCCTGATGTTCCAGCTTCTTTCCTCTCTGTGATGCTGCAGCAGCAGACCACAATGATCGTAGAGCCTCCTCAGCCCCTCCCTCTCTTCCTCTCGTTACTGTGGTTACCACAGCGACTGATGAGGAACCACCACACTGCATCATGGGAAAAACAGACAAACACTGGTCATTACTGAGAATACTACTGCCACCACTGCCACCACTGCCACCACTGCTACTACTACTACAATTACTACTACTACAATTACTACTACTACTACAATTACTACTACTTCTGCTACTGCTACTACTACTACCATTACTACTACAAATACTACTACTACTACTACTACTACTACTACAATTACTACTACTAGTACTACTACTACAACAACAATTACTACTACTTCTGCTACTGCTACTACAACTACTACTACTGGTGCTACTACTACTACTTCAACTACTACTGCTGCTACTAATACTACTGCTACTATTACTGCTACTGCTACTATTACTACTACTACTACTACTACTGCTACTACAGCTCTCTTTCTCGTTCTGAGCTGGTTGAGTTTGTGATGATGTGTATTGACAAAGCTGTGAGTGTCGTGGTCGAACACCGCCACATCGTGACTGAGACACAAGAGGGAGGAGGGGGGTGAGGAAGAGAGGAGAGAGAGAGAGAGAGAGAGAGAGAGAGAGAGAGAGAGAGAGAGAGAGTATAAACAGGATGAGGCATTTTCCCATCAGGAACCAATACGAGAGATTTCAAACAGATCAGAGAGAGACCAGAGAGAGACCAGGGAGAGACCAGGGAGAGACCAGGGAGAGACCAGGGAGAGACCAGGGAGAGACCAGAGAGAGAGACCAGAGAGAGAGACCAGAGCATTGTCCATCTTTGTACAGTCTATGGCTTAAGGGCTATAAGGTGCAAGATGACTTGACTTTGCCTTCTTCATCTCCACTTCTCCTCCTCCTCCTCCTCCCCTCTCCCCCTCTCCTCCTCTCCCCCTCCTCAGACGGAGCCAGAGCGTCTCCTCATCCCATGATCCTTTGCGGCGGCAGACCTCCTCCTCCTCCTGCCGGTCTCCTCAGCCTCTGTCTCCTCAGGCTGTTCGCCACATCTGGGTCAGGACCGCTCTGTTCGAGAAGGTTCTGGACAAAGTCATTCAGCACATCGTGGACAACTCCAGGTCAGAGACACAGAGACAGAGACACTGATACACTGAGACACCGAGAGGCAGAGACGCAGAGACGCTGAGACGCTGAGATGCAGAGACACAGAGACGCAGAGACGCAGAGACACAGAGACGCAGAGACGCAGAGACACAGAGACACAGAGACACAGAGACACAGATAATGAGACACTGGGACACAGACACAGAGACACAGATAATGAGACACAGAGACACAGATAATGAGACACTGAGACACAGATAATGAGACACTGAGACACAGATAATGAGACACTGAGAGACAGATAATGAGACACTGAGACACAGATAATGAGACACTGAGACGCAGATAATGAGACACTGAGACACAGATAATGAGACACTGAGACACAGATAATGAGACACTGAGACTCTGAGACACAGAGACAGTGAGGCACTGCGACATAGCGAGACTGAGACAGAGACACACACAGAGACAGATAGAAACAGAGACACAGAGAGACAAGGTGATCCAGCACATCATGGTCAACTCTAGGTCCGAGACACAGAGACACACACACTGAAGTTTCCCATCACAGCACTGACCACATCCTACCCTGCTTAGCCTCCCTCCCTGTCTCGGGTCTCTTCTACAGTGAACACATGTGAGTTTTCCTCTGGTTCAAACTGTTCTGTGGTTGTTGCAGTAAATATTATGAGAAAGAGGCTCTGATGCACGACCCAGTGTATGGACCAATCCTGGCAGCTCTGTTGGGTGAGTGATGTCACCACCTCTCTCTGGTCTCTCTCTGGTCTCTCTCTGGTCTCTCTCTGGTCTCTCTCTGGTCTCTCTCTGGTCTCACAGTACCATGTTTTCAGTGGGACCATGTGCGCTGGAGTACACCAAACTAAAAACCTCTGATCACTTCTGGACTGATCCTTCCGCTAATGAACTGGTTCAAAGACACCGGATCCACGGGGCCCACCGGAGCCAAGAGACCACCCCAGGGAGAAGACCAGCACTCGGGGTGAGAGAGGAGGGGAGGTCCTGGTCCTGGTCCTGGTCCTGGTCCTGGTCCTAGTCCTATAGTTGTTCTTGTGTTTCAGATCCGGAAGCGTCAGTCCAGTGGGAGTATGTCTGAGGATCGCTTCGCTGCTTCGGCTCGAGACTATGTGGAATCTCTGCACCAGAACTCAAGGACCCACCTGCTCTACGGCAAGAACAATGTCCTGGTACAACCGGTGAGAGACCAGAGAGAGACCACAGAGACACCAGAGAGAGAGACCAGAGAGAGACCAGAGAGAGACCACAGAGAGACCAGAGAGAGACCAAAAAGAGACTAGAGTGAGACCAGAGAGAGACCAGTGTATAAACGTAATGTATTGTTGTGTAGAAGAAGGAGATGGAGGTGCTGAGAGGATACCTGTCGCTGCATCAGGCTGCAGAGAACCTCACTCTGAAGTGGACCCCGAACCAACTCATCAACGGCACTCTGGGAGACTGTGACCTGGAGAAAAGGTACACACACACACACACACACACACACCCAAGTCACTGAACTAAACTATAAGTTTACTCAGTGTCTGCTTGTGTGTCTCCCTCTGTTTCTGTCTCTGTCTGTGTGTGTGTGTATGTGTGTGTGTGTGTGTCTGTCCCTGTCCTCTCTGTGTGTTCAGTATTTACTGGGACTACGCTCTGACCGTCCCTCTGAGACAGATCGTCTGCCTTCACTGTCACCAGCGACGTGAGTCTCACACACAGATCTAAAGTCAGGACCCTGAGTTTTAAATGACCTGGTCCTCGCTCTCTCGCTCTCTCTCTCTCTCCTCTGACTCTTCTCTCTCTCCTCCTCCAGCGGACTGTGGTGGGACCCTGGTCCTGGTGAGTCAAGATGGGATCCAGCGTCCCCCTCTCCTCTTCCCTCCAGGGGGACACCTCCTCGCCTTCCTGTCCTGCCTGGAGACTGGGCTTCTGCCACGGGGACAACTGGAACCTCCTCTGTGGTCCCAAAAGGGGAAGGTAAGGCCTCTCTCGGTCTCGTTCTGGTCTCTCTCTGGTCACTGTCTGGTCCCTGTCTGGTCCCTGTCTGGTCTCTGTCTGGTCTCTGTCTGGTCTCTGTCTGGTCTCTCTGATCTCTCTGGTTCACCTCTCCTCTGGTTTCAGGGTAAGGTGTTCCCGAAGCTCCGTAAGCGCAGCAGTATGGCTCGTCTGGAGCAGGACCGCGATGAGACCGCAGCAGACTATGTGTTTCGCATCGTTTATCCGGGATATCGCTACGACGCAAGTAAGAAACAATCTGAGAGTCTGAAACAATCTGATGCAGAGAGGAGCCTCACACCTACATATCTGTGAAGGAGGAGATTTTTTTATCCTAATGTTCTACCAGCTTTCCTTCATGTTTTGTTTCTCTGGTCACTCTTTGGTCTCTCTTTGGTCTCTCTCTCTGGTTTCTCTGTCTCTCTATGGTCTCTGTGTCTCTGGTTTTTCTCTGGTCTCTCTCTGGTCTCACGGTTCCTCTCTGGTCTCCCTCGGTCTCTCTCTGGTCTCTCCTCTCTCCTTTAGTCTAAGTGAGTTTCCTCTGGAGAAGTCTCTGTTCTTTATGAGTTTCTTCGGAACAAACTTTATAAGTGTTTTAGCGGCTGCAGAGTCTGAACATTTGAGACTTTAGATTTGATTCTGGTCTTGGTTAAACGGCCGCAGCCTCAGGTCAAACAGAGAGAGAGAGACTGGACTCACAGGGGACCAGGGCAAGATGTGTTTGTTTATGAGGACAGTGAGAGTGAAGAGAAGCCACAGAAATCTAAAATATATGAGATTCTCAAAGCTGTTTCTGTCAGAGACTAAACTGAGTTTAATCTCTTTGAGCCAATACCAATATAAAGTTTCTACCAATTGTCTCTCCCTTGCCTTTCTCTGGTTTCTCTCTGGTCGCTCTCAGGTTTCTCACACTGGTATCTCTTTGATCTCTCTCTGGTCTCTCTCTGCTCTCCCTCTGATCTCTCCCTGGCCTTTCTCTGGTCACTCTCAGGTCTCTCTCACTTGTCTCTCTTTGATCTCTCTCTGGTCTCCCTCTGGTTTCTCTCTGGCCTCTCTCTGGTCTCTCTCTAGTTTCTCTCTGAAATCTCCCTGGCCTTTCTCTGGTCTCCCTCTGGTTTCTCTCTGGCCTCTCTCTCTGGTCTCTCTCTCTCTGGTCTCTCTGGAAACATGGTGAAAGCTCACTGCCTTTGACTCTCACATATACATTACAGCCTCTTTCTTCTTGCAGCTGGAGGGGGCAGTATCGTGCTGTGTGTATATGTCTGGGTGTGTGTGTTTGTGTATCTGTCTAACGCTCTTGTGTGAACGCAGTCACCATAAACTACCACCACTCGACCGGCAGCCGTGCTCCTTCTCTGGACGATGATGAGGAGGAGGAAGACCGGCTCCACGCCATGATCTCAATGATCTGCTCGCGGAACCTGTCGCACCCAAATGCACACACAGGTTACAGCTCCAGCTTTACCCCAACCCCTCACCCTCTCCCTCACCCTCTCCACCTCCTGACCATACATTAATTTGCTATCTCTCTCCATTTAGCCACAAGGCTACGGATTCCGCTAATCGTGTTAGAAAGTCTCTTACTCCAGTCTCTCTCTGGTCTCTCTCTGGTCTCTCTCTAGTCTCTCTCTGGTTTCTCTCTGGTCTCTCTCTGGTCTCTCACCCCTCCCTCCATCACCTGCCTCTGCTCTTTCCTGCCCCCCCTGTAATCTGCATGTTCTGCTGCTTTTGTAACTCCGTCACCTCTGTCTCTACTCCTTCTGTTTCTCCATGTTCAGTCATTTACTGTTTTCAGTCCAGAGGTGGAAGGTCACTGGCATTGGCAAGTTGTGGTCTGGTCTCTCTGCTCTCTCTCTGGTTTTTCTATGGTCTCTCTCTGTTCTCTCTCCATTCTCTCTCTGGTCTCTCACTCTGTTATCTCTCTGGTTTCTCTCTGGTCTCTCTCTGGTCTCTCTCTGCAGCTCCCTCTAGAGTGAATGATCCGTCACTCGGACACCTAGCCTTAAGTTCACAGAAGAAAGTAAAAGTATGAACTACCAGATGAGCTGCTGGTTTCTGAGAATAGAGATCTTTGATGCTGGACAGGAGTGAGTTGTTCTTCAAAGTGCGAGTGTTTTTGGTCCTTAGAGACAGTTCCCAAACCTGCTGCAGCGGCCCAGGCCTTTCTTTGGTCCCTTCATTTAAATTCTCTGAGGCGTATTGTGAAGTTGTGGTCTCTCTATGGTCTATCTATGGTCTTTCTCCGGTCGGTCTGTGGTCTCTCTCTGGTCTCTTGAAGTTTGAGCTGAAACATAGAACTGGTCTCTGCCTAAAATGGTGAGTATGACTCAAATAATTCCTGAGCTAAAGGAGTTTACTTTTACATGGAAGTCAATAGGAGCCAGAGAGAGGAACCAAACCTCATCGAGATAGCGGGTTAGCATTGTCCATCTGTATGCAGTCTATGTTAGCATTGTCCATCTGTATGCAGTCTATGTTAGCATTGTCCATCTGTATACAGTCTATGTTAGCATTGTCCATCTGTATACAGTCTATGTTTGCACTTTACATATGTATACAGTGTTCAGCCAGCCCCTCCTCAGACTCTCTCGCTGCATGGACCTCCCCCTTGCCTCCATCATGTCTCGTCTTTCGTCCCTGTCGTGTCTTCATGGCTGAGGCTGCTCACCCCTGACCTCCCCCTTCACTCCCCTCTCTCATGGTCCTTTGGGGGCCCCCTGGTGCTTTGGGTGCTTCGGGGTTCCGCGGTAGACGCTAGGGACCAGGACAAACTTCACCCACACATAATTCTCTCCGGACAGGTCCCAGGTCCCAGTGGACGAGAGCCTTTGCACTTTTGTTGGTTCCCCATCTCTGTCTCTTGTCGGCCATCTTGTGTTGGTTCCCCATTTCTGTCTCATCTGAGCCATTTTGTGTTGGTTTCTTCATCTCTGTCTCTTGTCGGCCATCTTGTGTGTGTATTTCTTTCCTCCCCTCACCTCCTGGCATCTGCATGGCTTCTGCGTCTGTCCAGTTCTCTCCTCTCTCTCTGCTTGGTTCTTTTCCTTTGTCGTCTTCTGGACCCAACTCCCACTGTCCACCCATGTCCAATCCTAAAGGGATAGTTCACCTTTATAAGCACTGAAAGCTGGGGTACGTAACTCTCAAAGCACATCAAGAACTCAATCCAAGTTCCTGGATCTAAAACATTTGTCTTCAATCAATGTAATTTTGGCCTTTGACACAGCTTTTTTTGCTGCTATTACTACTATTAGTTCTTCTGCTACTACTACTACTATACTACGACTGCAACTTAGACCACGCCTGATTAGATTTGCCTGATAAAGCTGGGTAATGTAATTCCCGGTCTCCAGCAGCAGATGTTGTAAATCGAACTATCCCTTTGTTTCCTCAAAACCAACAAAAGCGCGTTCTTCTTTGAGTGTTCCGTGGTATCTATGACGACAAAGGCCTTGACGGATGGCTGCTATCCTCTCCGCAGATCTGGCTGAGGGGGCGGAGCTTCCCGGCCTGGGCGGCAGTCCGTCGTCGTGGCAACAGTCCGAGTCCGAGTGTGTGTCCTGCTCTTCCATCGACCCGCCACCAGGGTGCTCCTGTGCCAGCGATACTACGGATATACACACGTAAGAATACTATTACTACTACTCCTACGCCTACTGCTACTGCTACTGTGCAGGCTGCAAGGGGCGCTGTATTTTTTGTTCTGATGTTTTGCTGATATCACAGGGTTCCTCTGAAGATGCTATGTCAAAACATGAAGAGACAGATCGTGTCTAGAGCCTTCTACGGATGTGAGTACTTCTACTACTACTACTACCACTTCTGCTACCACTTCTACTACTATTACTATTATTACTACTACTACAACTATGACATTACACCTAGCAGTAGTAGTACTAGTGTACTGCTTTCTGCCTCTCTCTGGTCTCCCTCTCTTTCTGGTTTTTCTGCGGGTTATAATCTCTGACAACCGAACGAGCATTTCAAATCTTGATGTTGACATCAGTGACATTTGTGCTGGGGTCCCACAGGGGTCTATAATTGGTCCTTTGTTATTCTAAATGTGCGACATCAAAGAGGGGCCTATAACATGTCTATGTGTTGTGTGTCTCTGTTTTGTGTACAGGGCTGGGATACTGCAGACACCTGTCCACTGTCCGCACTCACCTCTCTGCTCTGGTCAACCACAACATGGTGCCACCGGACAGACCATGTGAGGCCTCAGGAGGGCTGAGCAAGGAGGTGTGGAGCAAGTACCAGAAGGACTGCAAGGTACTAGCACTACTGCTACTGTTACGGCTACTGCTACTACTACTATTACCTACTATTTACTCTCTGGTCTCTTGCTGGTCTCTCTCTGGTCTCTCTCTGGTCTGTCTTTGGTTTCTCTTCTGACGTCTCATGGAGTATGAATGAACTAATCTCAGCTGTTGCTATTTTTAACCACTTTTTCTTCAACCGTTAATTAATTCATAAAGAGTTTGAGAGATGATCCGTCTGCTGCGACACCAGCTCGTTCTCACCAGAAACAGTAAAGAAAGAGTCACGAGAGAGACAAGAGAGAGACAAGAGAGACTGAGAGAGATGAAAAAGACCAGTGAGAGACCAGAGAGAGACCAGAGAGGGACTAGAGAGAGAACAGAGAGAAACTATAGAGAGGCTATAGAGAGACCAGAGAGAGAGACCAGAGAGAGACTATAGCGAGACCAGAGAGAGACTAAAGAGAGACTAGAGAGAGACCAGAGAGAGACTATAGCAAGACCAGAGAGAGACTAAAGAGAGACTGGAGAGAGACTAGAGAGAGAACAAAGAGAGACTAGAGAGAGACCAGAGAGAGACTAGAGAGAGAACAAAGAGAGACTAGAGAGAGAACAGAGAGAGACTATAGAGAGGCCAGAGAGAGACTAGAGAGAGAACAGAGAGAGACTATAGATTGGCCAGAGAGATCAGAGAAAGACTAGAGAGAGAACAGAGAGATCAGAGGGAGAGAGAGAGAAAGATATCTCCACATTCCTGTCTTCCCTGTGGTGAAGTGCCGACACGGGTCAGATCTACACGCCTTCCTTTCCCTCTCTTTGTTGTGTGCAGAATTACAAGGAGCTGGAGCTTCTGCGGCTGGTGTACTATGGAGGAGTGGAGCACGACATCAGGAAGGAGGTCTGGCCCTTCCTCCTGGGACACTACAAGTTTGGGATGAAGAAGAAAGATCTGGGACAGGTACAACCCAGGACCTGAACCTCTCTGGTCTCTCTCTGGTCTCTCTCTCTGGTTTCTTTCTCTGGTCTCTTTCTCTGGTTTCTCTCTGGTCGGCTGAGCTAACTGAATAAATGTGCCTCGCAGGTTGATGCGCGTGTGTCTGAGAGGTACCTCCAGGTGCTACGGGAGTGGAAGGCGTGTGAGCTGATAGTGAAGCAGAGGGAGAAGGAGATGCAGTCGGCCATCTTTGCCAAACTATCGTCAGGAAGCAGCATCGACAGCCATGTGCTGCGCATGGTGCACCGAGACTCTACACTCAGCAACGAGGTCTGTACCAGCAACACAGGCTTCTGGTCCTCTCTCTCTGGTCTCTCTGCCATCTTTCTGGTCTTTTTCTGGTCTCTCTTGCTGGTCTCGCTCTCTGATCTTTCTCTCCGGTCTCTATGGTCTCTCTCTGGTCTCTCTCTGATCTCTCTCTGATCTCTCTCCCTGGTTTCTCTCTCTAGTCTTTCTCTGGTCTCTCTCTCTGGCCTCTCTCTGGTTTCTCTCTATGTTATCTCTCTGGGGTCGCTCTGGTTTCTCTCTGCTCTCTGCTCGCTTTCTGGTCTCTCTCTGGTCTCTCTCTGGTCTCTCTCCGGTCTCTCTCTCTGATCTCTTTCTGGTCTCTATCTGTTCTCTCTCTGGTCTCTTTCTGGTCTGAGTGTGTGTCTGACTGCAGGTGTTCATGTCTGTGGATGAGCCGGAGGGGGGGAGTCAGACCACCCCCAATGCAGAGGAGAGCTCCTCCCCCTCCACCGTGCTGCCTCCCCCGCCCCTCCCCCACGCCCTCCCCCCTGAGGAGCGCGCTCAGCTGGAGTTTGACTCTCCGGACTCTGGCCTCCCATCGTCCCGGAACTACTCTGTCACCTCTGCACACTCACAGCTCATGTCCAGCACGGAGGAGGAGGCCGGCGAGGAGCCCAGGGACCAGGGGAGAGACCAGACCAGGGGAGAGACCAGGACCAGCGACACGGACAGGCTCTGCTCTCAGCTCGACAGACTGGTCACAGACGCAGACCAAGGAGAGAAGACCTCCCCCTCGCTGTCGTCCTATACGGTTGGTTTTCTTTAGACCTTTTTTCCACCAAGAGTTACGGCTCGAACACACTGCTAGAGACCAGAGAGAGACCAGAGAGAAAAAGTAAACTTCTAGGATCCTATGTGATATTGTTTTTGTAAATCCAGGTATGAGCCATGTAAGGACTGACCAATCAGAGGCTTTCATTCATTCAAAGCTAACACCGTCAGAACAAATGCCCATATAAGGAAACTGTCTCCAGCTTTTGTTCAAATCAGCTTCTTCGGCGTTAAGGCTAAATTGGCTTTCACCCCGGATCATTTGTTGCGTCCATGTAAAGTCAATGCATCCGGCGAAGGCAGGAGGTGAACATGGTTGGACTTTTTCCGCTGGCCACTTCCGCAACCAATCAGAAGGCCGCAAAGTGGTCACGGAGACACAAGCGGTCTCCGTGACCAGACAAAAACACTTGAAAACCAGGATTAAAACAAGATAAACCAGGACTAAACCAGGATTAAACCAGGACTAAACCAGAGCTGACAATGGGAGACACAGTGTGAACATATGCCTTTAGCCTGAGCTCTCATTCTCCTGTGACTGTAAACAAGGGCTGCTACGTGTTCACCAATGCAGAAGTACTGGTTGATAATGAAACAAACCTATGGCGCAGCTCCGTGAACTTATATAAAGTCTCTAAAAGATCTCAGACACAGTGACGCTGCCGAGCTGCATTCGTGAAGAAGAACTGTACACAAAAGCTGCGGCTAGCTTAACCTCGTTACCGTGAAAGACCGCCCGTCACTTCCGCCCGCCACTTCCGCCAATTACTTCTGCCCGCCACTTCCGCCCACCACTTCTGGCGGAGCCCACCACTTCTGGCGGAGCCCACCACTTCTGGCGGAGCCCACCACTTCTGGCGGAGCCCACCACTTCCGCCCGCCGCTTCCGCCCGCCGCTTCCGCCCGCCGCTTCCGCCCGCCGCTTCCGCCCGCCGCTTCCGCCCGCCGCTTCCGCCCGCCGCTTCCGCCCGCCGCTTTCGCCCGCCGCTTTCGCCCTGTGTTTTGGGGCATCACAGCAATACTTCAGATTTTCTAAACTCATAGGGCTGAAATGTCACACTGCGGTGATGTCACACTGCAGTGATGTCACACTGCGGTGATGTCACTCTAGTGATGTCACACTGCGGTGATGTCACATTGCAGTGATGTCACACTGCAGTGATGTCACACTGCGGTGATGTCACACTGCGGTGATGTCACACTGCGGTGATGTCACACTGTGGTGATGTCACACTGCAGTGATGTCACACTGTGGTGATGTCACACTGCAGTGATGTCACACTGAGGTGATGTCACACTGCAGTGATGTCACACTGCGGTGATGTCACACTGTGGTGATGTCACACTGAGGTGATGTCACACTGTGGTGATGTCACACTGTGGTGATGTCACACTGAGGTGATGTCACGCTCCCTCAGTCCGCCCCTTTACACAGTCTACAGTATGGTCTGAACTGGGGCCAGATTTAATAATATTTTGAGTGTAATTTGAAATAACTGGTTCTGAAATGTGTGTGTTTGTCTTCAGATCGAGTTGTTGGACACAGTGGCTCTGAACCTGCATCGCATCGACAAAGACGTGCAGCGCTGCGACCGCAACTACTGCTACTTCACTACCGCTAACCTGGAGAAGCTCCGCAACATCATGTGCAGGTGCACCTAGTCCCTCTCTGCTGGTACTGACCATAGACCTTGGTCTGAGCCTGGTCCCTCTCTGCTGGTACTGACCATAGACCTTGGTCTGAGCCTGGTCCCTCTCTGCTGGTACTGACCATAGACTCTGGTCTGAGCCTGCTCCCTCTCTGCTGGTACTGACCATAGACTCTGGTCTGAGCCTGGTCCCTCTCTGCTGGTACTGACCATAGACTCTGGTCTGAGCCTGGTCCCTCTCTGCTGGTACTGACCATAGATTCTGGTCTGAGCCTGGTCCCTCTCTGCTGGTACTGACCATAGACTCTGGTCTGAGCCTGGTCCCTCTCTGCTGGTACTGACCATAGACTCTGGTCTGAGCCTGGTCCCTCTCCGCTGTTACTGACCATAGACTCTGGTCTGAGCCTGGTCCCTCTCTGCTGGTACTGACCATAGACTCTGGTCTGAGCCTGGTCCCTCTCTGCTGGTACTGACCATAGACTCTGGTCTGAGCCTGGTCCCTCTCTGCTGGTACTGACCATAGACTCTGGTCTGAGCCTGCTCCCTCTCTGCTGTACTGACCATAGACTCTGGTCTGAGCCTGGTCCCTCTCTGCTGGTACTGACCATAGACTCTGGTCTGAGCCTGGTCCCTCTCTGCTGGTACTGACCATAGACTCTGGTCTGAGCCTGGTCCCTCTCCGCTGTTACTGACCATAGACTCTGGTCTGAGCCTGGTCCCTCTCTGCTGGTACTGACCATAGACTCTGGTCTGAGCCTGGTCCCTCTCTGCTGGTACTGACCATAGACTCTGGTCTGAGCCTGGTCCCTCTCTGCTGGTACTGACCATAGACTCTGGTCTGAGCCTGCTCCCTCTCTGCTGGTACTGACCATAGACTCTGGTCTGAGCCTGCTCCCTCTCTGCTGGTACTGACCATAGACTCTGGTCTGAGCCTGGTCCCTCTCTGCTGGTACTGACCATAGACTCTGGTCTGAGCCTGGTCCCTCTCTGCTGGTACTGACCATAGACTCTGGTCTGAGCCTGGTCCCTCTCTGCTGGTACTGACCATAGACTCTGGTCTGAGCCTGGTCCCTCTCTGCTGGTACTGACCATAGACTTACATCAGTGTGACACTCTGTGACACTGATCAAAAGGGGAATATGTAACTGATTTTATTTTTCTTGATTCCTAGTATTTGTAATAGTCAAATCAATGACCAACAAACCAAAGGAGAGGAGCTCAGAGTAGAGCCACTGCTCAGACAGGTGTAATAATGATGGTCTCTGGCGTCTCTGTGTGCAGTTATGTGTGGGAGCATCTGGAGACGGGATACGTCCAGGGCATGTGTGACCTCCTCGCTCCTCTCATGGTCATACTGGACGATGGTACAATACACAGAAACACACACACACACGCAGACACACACACACACACACACACGCACTCACTCTCTCTCTCTCCCTCTCTGTCTCCCGCCCACCTCTCCCTCTCTCCCTCTGTCTTCCTCTCCTTCTCTCTCCCTCTTTCTCTCTCCCACCCCCCTCCCTCTCTCCCTCTCTCCCTCTATTTGCAGAGTGCTTGGCCTACAGCTGCTTCTCTCAGCTCATGAAGAGAATGACTCAGAACTTCCCCAACGGAGGAGCCATGGACTCACACTTCAGCAACATGAGGTCCCTGATCCAGGTGAGTGCCCCAACATGAGGGCCTTCCTGTATACAGTCTGTGTTAGCATGTGTTAGCATTGTCCACCTGTATACAGGGATCAAGAGTTCCGAGCTTCCGGCTCGACCGCACTGCATTGAGGGTAGTTTTCTCAAAAAGTGGGCATCAAATCTCTCCTATTAGATTACCTGTTGCGAGCGTGATCTGTCTCTCTTTTTTCTTTGTTTTAATCGCTACAAAAATCACCAATTTCAGAGATTTTGAAGGTAAGGTAAAGATTTTTTCATGTAACAAAAAAGCTATGCATTTTTTTCTTGTGGTTTTAGATGTAAACACAACCGACTGACTATAGAGCTACATGTACAGTAGCTTATGCTACTTACGAGGATAAATAACATTTCTGATCAGAGCATTCAGAGTGGAGACATAATTAAGAACAAACAGTGAGCTGGCAGTATAGAGAGGTGTGCAGTAAGCTTTAAACAAAGTTATTTTCACTTTATCTGTACACATGTGAAATCTCCGTGCTTAAATGTTAGCCAGTCCATACAGTACTGCCTCTGAATGTCATCGTCTTCACTGAGGTCACTCCTGATGACGTGCCCCAGGTATTTGGCCTTCCCTACATTCAGAAGCTCCACACCAGAGTCTTGACTAGAACCAGGAAGTACGACCATATTAGTCCGGTCCTCAGGTCTCTGCACTGGCTTCCTGTGGCTCAGAGAATAGACTTTAAAACAGCTCTGCTTGTGTACAAGTCTCTCCATGGCCTCGCACCAAAATATATTAGTGACATGTTAGTCCCATATGAACCAGCCCGGACTCTGAGGAGCACAGGGACTGGACTTCTGTTAGTGCCCAGAGTCAGAACTAAACATGGGGAGGCTGCTTTTCAGATTCATGCTGCTAAAATCTGGAACAATTTTCCTGAAGATGTGAGACAGGCCTCCTCTCTGACAATGTTTAAAACCAGGTTAAAAACGGTGCTGTTTAGCTGTGCATACAACTGAGGGATTTTATATTTCTATCTTTTCTTTTTAATGTTCTGTGATTATTTATGATTTTAATGCTTTCTTGTTTTGTTCAGCACTTTGAGTTGCCTTGTGTATGAATTGTGCTATACAAATAAACTTGCCTTGCCTTGCCTTGCCTTACCAGACAAATATGTCCAAAGTACAGCTTTGGGCAAGTTTATAAAGCTCGCGTGTAAGTATTCGATCCTCGTAAGTAGCATAAGCTACATGTAGCTCTATCGTCAGTCGGTTGTGTTTACATCTAAAACCACAAGAAATAAATGCATTGCTTTTTTGTTACATGAAAAAATCTTTACCTTACCTTCTAAATGTCCTAAATTAGTGATTTTTGTAGCGATTAAAACAATCGATGGGCTGGAAAAAAACAGAGACGGATCACGCTCGCAACAGGTAATCTAATAGGAGAGCGTGATTTGATGCCCACTTTTTTTAGAAAAATTCCCACAATGCCGTGCGGTCGAGCCGGAAGCTCGGAACTCTTGATCCCTGTATACAGTCTGTGCATGCGTTAGCCGGCACTATCCCCATTCATTTTACAAGTGCCTTGTGAGGTCCACAGCAGCTAAACTAGACTGGTCCAAAAAAATACAGTGCCTTGCGAAAGTATTCATTTCGCCACATTTCAGGCTTCAAACATAAAGATATAAAATTTTAGTTTTTTGTCATGAATCAACAACAAGTGGGACACAATCGTGAAGTGGAACAAAATTTATTGGATAATTTAAACTTTTTTAACAAATAAAAAACTGAAAAGTGGGGCGTGCAATATTATTCGGCCCCTTTACTTTCAGTGCAGCAAACTCACTCCAGAAGTTCAGTGAGGATCTTTGAATGATCCAATGTTGTCCTAAATGACTGATGATGATAAATAGAATGCACCTGTGTGTAATCAAGTCTCCGTATAAATGCACCTGCTCTTTGATAGTCTCAGGGTTCTGTTTAAAGCGCAGAGAGAACCATGAAGACAAAGGAACACACCAGGCAGGTCCGAGATACTGTTGTGGAGAAGTTTAAAGCCGGATTTGGATACAAAAAGATTTCCCAAGCTTTAAACATCTCAAGGAGCACCGTGCAAGCAATTATATTGAAATGGAAGGAGTATCAGACCACTGCAAATCTACCAAGACCCGGCCGTCCCTCCAAACTTTCATCTCAAACAAGAGGACAAGAACAAGAAGACTGATCAGAGATGCTGCCAAGAGGCCCATGATCACTCTGGATGCACTGCAGATAACTACAGCTGAGGTGGGAGAGTCTGTCCATAGGACAACAATCAGTCGTGCACTGCACAAATCTGGCCTTTATGGAAGAGTGGCAAGAAGAAAGCCATTTCTCAAAGATATCCATAAAAAGTGTCGTTTAAAGTTTGCCACAAGCAAAGCAACACAGCTCATCACCCTGAACACACCATCCCCACTGTCAAACATGGTGGTGGCAGCATCATGGTTTGGGCCTGCTTTTCTTCAGCAGGGACAGGGAAGATGGCTAAAATTGATGGGAAGATGGATGGAGCCAAATACAGGACCATTCTGGAAGAAAACCTGTTGGAGTCTGCAAAAGACCTGAGACTGGGACGGAGATTTATCTTCCAACAGGACAATGATCCAAAACATAAAGCCAAATCTACAATGGAATGGTTCACAAATAGACGTATCCAGGTGTTAGAATGGCCAAGTCAAAGTCCAGACCTGAATCCAATCGAATCTGTGGAAAGAGCTGAAGACTGCTGTTCACAAACGCTCTCCATCCAACCTCACTGAGCTCGAGCTGTTTTGCAAGGAAGAATGGGCAAGAATTCCAGTCTCTCGATGTGCAAAACTGATAGAGACATACCCCAAGCGACTTGCAGCTGTAATTGCAGCAAAAGGTGGCGCTACAAAGTATTAGCGCAAGGGGGCCGAATAATATTGCACGCCCCACTTTTCAGTTTATTTGTTAAAAAAGTTTAAATTATCCAATAAATTTCGTTCCACTTCACGATTGTGTCCCACTTGTTGTTGATTCTTGACAAAAAATTTAATTTTTATATCTTTATGTTTGAAGCCTGAAATGTGGCGAAATGTTGAAAGGTTCAAGGGGGCCGAATACTTTCGTAAGGCACTGTAAAAACATTTTCGAGAGGAAAGTAGATGCCATACAAAAGCACTGGGTAACTCTCTTCTCGAGTCTACCTCCACTGGCTAGGAGTGGTATTGCAAGCATGTCAGCGCACTTGCACATGGACCTTTTGGACCCGGGACCCGCCCCCACTGGTGTTGACCTGTGTCTTTCTCTGGTTCAGATCCTGGACTCGGAGCTGTTCGAGTTGATGCAACAGAACGGAGACTACACTCACTTCTACTTCTGCTACCGATGGTTCCTGCTGGACTTCAAGAGAGGTAAGTGTGTGGGTGTGTGTGTGCGTGTGTGTTTGTGCAGGGCCGGAGTGGGACAATTTTTTGGCCCGGGAATTCTGGGTCAGACCGGCCCTTCTGATAAAGTAGTCTATCAAAAAAAAACTGAACTGCCTGCTGTTGTAATATCCATAACAACCAGCAGGTGGCCTAAAATCAAGTTTTGTAAATTACAAGACTAATGGTATTAAAATTATTCTTCGTTCACTCCTTTAGACTTCTCAGTGCTAGTCACAAAATAACTCAATAATGCATTTGAATAAATCATGATATTTGAATATTATGGTATCACAATATGAATTGTAGCAAATTTTAGACTGACCCTAGACTTATGTGGATATAAAAAGCATGAATTTCACAAATTTTAGAACAATGTCAATTTTCATTCAAATAATTGTCATTCACAAAGATTTGGCTATATTTTTTTTATAATACATTGAATTGACTCGAAACCATTAAACTATCATCCTCCTTTCAAGACTAAACAAAAACAAAGACTAATGCAAATACAACACTAAGACAAAACAGTGCTTGCTACAACTTTATACAAAACCAAAATTAATCTTAACGTACTTGAATGTTGTCCCAGGGGAGAACTAAAAGCAAACTAAATGTTAACCTCTATCAAGACGAGAAAACACAAACTGCACACTATTTAAATCAATCAAACCCAAATTAACAATAGCAAAATGAAGCACATTAAAACATGAGTAAACTCTGTAGAAGTGCACTTGTTTATGCAACTTTGTTTATGATAATGTTATTATCCAATGACAAAGGATGTCTTTTCTGTAGATATGAGCATAAATGCTTCACATCTTTTGACAAACACACAAAATATTCAACTGTTACTTTCCTAATGTACAAAGAAGTTAAAAATGTAATTTATGCAATATACATTATACATTATGAAATAAATAAATTCATGGCCTTAGTGGCTTAGTCAAATTTGATTCAAAATACAATCTTTTTGGTTTTTACCTGCCCATTCCTGAGGCTCTTCATTAATATGAATGAACGATTGTTGTATCTGAGGACCCAAGAAGCAGTAAATGTAATGACGGAGTGCTAATTATTTAGGGAATCACGTCGTCATGTTTTGCCACAGTGTTATGCATGTTTTTTTTTGCTAGCTTACCGCGGTCTGATGCCTCTTCATCGGCGGAGCACTTTTTATGGAAAAAAAATACCAACTTTGCACATTTGGCTGCTTCAGCTTCAAGAGCTTTCCTTTTTTTATTCTAATCTTTTCTGCTCAGCCCTTGATTTTGTTCCTTTCCATTTTAAAAACACTCGTGTTGGACAGATGTCATGTCTGTGAGAAACGGCGCTTGCTTCAGTTCTATCTGTCATTCAACCTGATCTATGGCCCGCGCTCTCGCTTAATCCCGCCTACAATCTACAGACAACCAATCAGGCCGTTGCAGAACACATCGTAACCAATGAAAGCGGCCAAATGAGACTAGCCAGAAGTGTGTGTGCTGTTTACTCGTGTGTGCGTGTGTGTGTGGGTGAGAGAGAGAGAGAGCGAGAGAGAGAGGCAGTGTGCACGGGCGAGCGACAGGTCCGAGAAGGCTGCGGTGAACAGCGGTGTCAGGAAAGCACGGCCGCTGGCCAAGTCCGAACCAGCAACATACAACATCCAGCCCACCGGCCCTTAGCCCAACCGGCCCACCGGGAAACCTCCCGGCTCTCCCGATTAGCCACGCCGGCACTGTGTTTGTGTATTGATGGTGTGTGTTTGTGTATACACAGAGCTGCTGTATGAGGACGTGTTCTCGGTCTGGGAGGTAATCTGGGTCTCTCCTCTGGTTTCCTCTCGTCACTTTGTTCTGTTCTTGGCTCTGGCTCTGGTAACAGTCTACAGAGAGATCATCATCCACAACAACATGGACTTCACCGACATCATCAAGTTCTTTAATGGTAACTTGTCTCTCTCTGGTCTCTCTCTTTGGTGTCCCTCACAGGTCTCTCTCTGGTCTCTCTCTCTGGTCTCCTTCTCTGGTCTCTATCTGGTCTCTCTGGTCTCTCTCTGGTCTCTCTCTCTGGTGTCCCTCACTGGTCTCTCTCTGGTCTCTCTCTCTGGTCTCTCTCTCTGGTCTCCTTCTCTGGTCTCTATCTGGTCTCTCTGGTCTCTCTCTGGTCTCTCTCTGGTCTCTCTCTCTGGTCTCCTTCTCTGGTCTCTATCTGGTCTCTCTGGTCTCTCTCTGGTCTCTCTCTCTGGTGTCCCTCACTGGTCTCTCTCTGGTCTCTCTCTCTGGTCTCTCTCTCTGGTCTCCTTCTCTGGTCTCTATCTGGTCTCTCTGGTCTCTCTCTGGTCTCTCTCTGGTCTCTCTCTGGTCTCTCTCTTTGGTGTCTCTCACCGGTCTCTCTCTGGTCTCTCTCTCTGGTCTCCCTCTCTGGTCTCTCTCTGGTCTCTCTCTGGTCTCTCTCTTTGGTGTCTCTCACCGGTCTCTCTCTGGTCTCTCTCTCTGGTCTCCCTCTCTGGTCTCTCTCTTTGGTGTCTCTCACCGGTCTCTCTCTGGTCTCTCTCTCTGGTCTCCCTCTCTGGTCTCTCTCTGGTCTCTCTCTCTGGTCTCCCTCTCTGGTCTCTCTTTCTGGTCTCCCTCTCTGGTCTCTCTCTCTAGTCTCCTTCCCTGGTCGCTCTCTGATGTCTCTGGTGATGTTGCGTAAGACAGAGGCTTGTGTGTGTTATGACATGGGTGTCAAAGTCAGATTCGGCCCGCGAGTAAATGATCTTTGACCTCCAAAGGAGTGTCGCTCATTATGGTCGTCTCTTATTCAATTTTCTTGCAGAAATGGCCGAGCGTCATGACGTCCAGAACATCCTGAAGATCGCACGAGAACTGGTCCATCGAGTCCAGTCTCTGATGGACCCCAAGTGATCCAGACCCAGACCAAGATCCAGGTCCTGTTCCAAGACCCAGACCCTCCCCCTCCTCTTCTTACTCCCCTCCTTCTTCCCTTCCCTGCCCCTCCTCTATCTCCTCCTCTTCCTCTCTCTCCTCTCTCCTCCTCCACTCCTCCTTCTCCTCTCTTTCCTCCTCCTCCCCCTCTCCTCCTCCTCTTTAGCCCTCTGTGTTGCTGCAGTGTTGATGTTTACAGATTTGGGTTTTGTTTGTTGCATGCTCCTCCCACACTGTGTCCCCGAGTCTCAGACGCTGCACCTGGTTCATCACCAGAGTGTGACATCACCTTAGTGTTAGCCTTAATGTGGAAGAGGTGCTAAACCACAGATGGTGACTGAGTATGAGGCCTTGTAGAGCTGAGGATAAATTGAGTAACTTGTGAGGGGGCGGGGCTAGTCTGTATGAGCGTTTAAGCTGACTGTTATTGTAACTAAAAATATAGCAGTTTTACTACATTAGTTTCACTCTGGTCTCTCTATGGACTCTCTCTGGTCTCTCTCTGGCCTCTCTCTGGTCTCTCTCTGGTCTCTCTCTGGTCTCTCTTGTCTCTCTCTGGTCTCTCTCTGGTCCCTCTGGTCTCTCTCTGGCCTCTCTCTGGCCTCTCTCTGGTCTCTCTCTGGCCTCTCTCTGGTCTCTCTCTGGTCTCTCTCTGGTCTCTCTCTGGTCTCTCTCTGGTCTCTCTCTGGTCTCTCTCTGGTCTCTCTCTGGTCTCTCTTGTCTCTCTCTGGTCTCTCTCTGGTCCCTCTGGTCTCTCTCTGGCCTCTCTCTGGCCTCTCTCTGGCCTCTCTCTGGCCTCTCTCTGGTCTCTCTCTGGTCTCTCTCTGGTCTCTCTCTGGCCTCTCTCTGGTCTCTCTCTGGTCTCTCTCTGGTCTCTCTTGTCTCTCTCTGGTCTCTCTCTGGTCCCTCTGGTCTCTCTCTGGCCTCTCTCTCTGGCCTCTCTGGCCTCTCTCTTGTCTCTCTAGTGTCTCTCTCTGGTGTCTCTCTGGTGTCTCTCTGGTCTCAGGACCAGGTGTCGCCCTCTGAGCCTCTGTGAGTGTGGGTGTTTTGCCTTTTGCCTGGAGCGTTTCTTGTGACCAAATACGACTGTGCCATCGAAGCATGTGTTCTCGTCCGTGTGTTTTTTGTTGATAGTATTTCTCTCTCGTTGCCTTCGACTCATGGAGATGCGGCTCTTCACACCGAGAGAAACTCTGCAGCCAACTTCTCCAGGAGACGAGGGAGGCTGGGGTCAAAGCATGAGGACAGCTTCAGAAACGTATACATGTACATATTTATATATTTATAAATACATATATTACATACATATACTGTATATGAACCAGAAGTCTCAAAGAACTCGTATTATAGTAAGGGCCCAAAACGCATGCTTGTGGCACCCCGGACAGTATTGCTGAGTTGCAACCACGTGACCAAAAGGGGGCGTGGCAAGGGGCTGTAGGACAGTGATTTTGTCCTATTAGTTTGAATGGGCGATGCGGGAAAATGTACACATAAGAGCTTTTCGCGGCTCTCTCTCTCTTATTTTGAGTGAAAACTGGTTTCAATGCAGCGTACGCGCTGTGTACAGTTTGAATGAGTCCAATTTTTTTTTTTATTAGGAGGATTAAGTGGCTGTTATAGAGACAGCATTGGAGTCACTCTGGGATCAATGGAACCAGGTCCAAGATTACGGTTATGATCAATAATACTATAACTGGGGCACAAATGTAACCTTTAACAACATTTGAGACGAGAAATGTGACCCTTTATTGTGATTGCAATGATTTGTTGAGTTGTAAATAATATAAAGTTCGGACTCAAGCTCCAAGGGGAAGTTCCGGATCGTTACGCTAACAGTAGTAAGCTAACATCAGTAAGCTAACAGCGGGGGGCGGCAACAAACACCGCTGTTCTTGGAGCACAGAGCTCGGATACAACTTCAGACATTACCCTGGTCCTCACAGTCCCAGACCCTGGTCTTCACAGTCCCACTCTCCGGTCTTAATAGTCCCAGACCCCGGCCTTCACAGTCCCATTCCTGGAAATAATGATGAACAATGACTCTTATAACACAATGGCTAGATTCTACGTGAGAAGGTTCAGCTTGTACAGCCTGCTTTTAGTTTTTTATAAGAACACCTTGGTTTGAGATGACCTTTGGCATTTAAAAATGTATTTAACAGTTCTTCCTCCCTGTTGACTTGGTTACTAAAACTGTATAACACTGCTGCAACCCAGCAATACACACACACATCCAGACAGTATACGCACATATTACACTTTTCTCCAGGTTTCAATATTGTTCCTTACGAGAATATAATTGGCCCCAAAACTCATACTTGTGGCACCCCATTCACACACACACACACACACACACACACAAGAGCTCTTTGGCACCAGTGCATCTTTCAGCTTGTATCAAAGCCATCCATTGGCTCAGCTTATGTCACAATCTGTGGTCCAGGGAGTTTAGCGTTAGCTTTTAGCTTTTCAAGGTAAATGTTAAAAACCCCATTATTTACTCACACTTGACCTGGTCAAAACTGGGACATTCTCTCAGAATTCTATGGGTTTGAATGGGAGCAGTCAAAATGACGGCTGTGGAAGTCCTCAGTAGATATTGCCCCGTCCCTTCAGCCTAAAAGCTGTTTTTAAACTCGCTGCATTGACAACGACTGTTTTGGAATTTCTTGCCTCTAACTCGTTTAGTGAATTTCTCCGTGAGACAGTGTGCCTTCAGCTCAACACGACAGCAACGACACCGCGCCACCTGGTGGCAGAAGTAGGACACACACCACACATTACATCATACTCTGCTCTCAGCTTTGATCCCAGACTTTCTCCGTTTCCTTTTTACTGAGACAAAAATAGCACAAAAACCCAGAAGCACAGTCTGTGTATTTTTGGAGCCTTTATCGTTTGTACGTTTATAAATAAAGGACATTTCCCTTTGGAGCTGTTTCTATGCGGTCGGTGCCAAAACAGAGAAGTTGGCTGCAGCTTTGTGGACGTTCAGAGGAAAACCCGCTGGAGATACAGTTTCGGACGCAAGCGGAGATGCAGGCCCTTTAACAGGACCGGAACAGGACTGAAATCGAGGGAAACTTGGACAAAACTCAAACAGGATCCGTACAAAGTTTAGTACTGCTTTAGACCTACTTTAGACCTGCTTTAGTCCTGCTTTAGACCTGCTTTAGTCCTGCTTTAGACCTGCTTTAGACCTGCTTTAGTCCTGCTTTAGACCTGCTTTAGACCTGCTTTAGACCTGCTTTAGACCTGCTTTAGACCTGCTTTAGTCCTGCTTTAGACGTGCTTCAGTCCTGGTTCCTCTGACTCTGTATTTCCAGCTGTATGTATAAGTATTCTCGCCACAGTACAATGTTACTGTGTATCCGTGTCCCCGTCCACGCCCCAAACGGCTGCATCTAATTGGTCCATGGGTTGGACCTCCAGCTGTGATCCAGACGTCTTCCCCCAGTCCAGCACCAACCAAGACCCGCAAGGTTTTAGACCTGGTGTTCATGTTCCAGACCAGACCTAATCCTTCTGACCCCTCCCCTCCAGATCACTCTGTGCTGAATCTGTCTCCACTGTTTATCATAGATAGAGCTGTGGAGATCTTTAAAGCTGGGGTTTGTAACTTTCAAACCACAACAGTTGAACTCTGTAGTAACATCCTCTCTCTGGTCTCTCTGGTCTCTCTCTGGTCTCTCTTTATGGCCTCTCTCTCTAGCTTCTCTCTCTGGTCTCTCTCTCTGGTCTCCCTTCATTACAGAGCTCTACTGCTATGGTCTGAAAGTTACATCCCCCAGCTTTAACAAAAGTTCGTTGGTTGTGGCTGGACTCAGTCTCTGTACTGTACCCCCTCCTCTCCCCTTTAAACACATTCTAAAAACACTTGTAAAAACTCTAAAATCGCGTGTTTCTTGCTCCTCCGGGACTCCGTAGCACCGCCTCCTCTTCCAACCAGGACCATGTGTAACCAAAGCCTTGAAACAGCCCCCTCTTGTGGCATGATGGTGCGACCCCCACTGCATCTTGAAGACTGTTTCTATATAAATCTATATTCTCCATGTTGTATAAACCTCTTTACGACTGTGCGTTTGTGATACGTCCTCCTCTGTAAATAGAGAGTGATTTGTGCCACACTCTGAGATGAACCTATTTTTATCTGTGACGTGAACTTCTTGTGGTGCACATTACTCAGACACGTACAGACGGATGTATCATTTGCCTTGAATGTAATGTATTATTATTATAATTATTATTACGGAACTATTATTAAACAGTTTGTTCAAGATCTGGTCTCGTGTCGTGTGTTTACCAGACGGACAGAGTGTGACATCACCATCGTGTGATATCATCACAGTGTGACATCATCACAGTGTGACATCAACAGATGTGTTAGCATTAAGCCGATTTGAACACAAGCTGGAGCCAGTTTTCTTATATGCAGATCTCTGATGCCCAGAGAAAGAGGCCAGAGAGAGAGACCAGATGAAGACGAGAGACTCGTCTTCATGGTCTCTCTCTCTTCTCTGGAATCTCTCTCTGGTCTCTCCCTGGTCTCCCTCTCCCTCTGGTCTCTCTCTCTCTGGCCTCTCTCTCTGGCCTCTCTCACTGGCCTCTCTCTCCTGCTCTCGCACCAGAACTCAAAGATTAATTTTGAAAATCTGAAGTTAGTTTTAACCCTTTTTATTTTCGACACGGGTTCAAACAACGTGCCAACCTTCCCCGTTGTTGTCGCAGATCCACACTATGAAAAAATCTATTAGTGTACGAATTCTGCTCTCATTAATATTGTGCTGTTTGTTGAATTGACGTCAGATGATGTTTTTGGTTCAGTTTCCTTGACAACGGGAGGAGACCGTTCAGAGACTCTTTCGAGCAGAGAGATTTTAGTTTGTTGGTGGAAATAGTCGTTTTTAATTCATAAAGCGACTCATATCTAAAATACACGTATGTGTTACATGTGTATATGCCTCTTAATGTAATAAAATAGTTAAAACATCGTGGTGAATAACAAAATGTGCCTAAAAGGTGAAAAGTCATGTCTAATGCGGAAGTGCCGTGATCTCCCGAATGTGAAGAGTCTCTGAAGTCACCGCTGCCACATCACAGCAACAAACACGGAGCAAAACTTCTCTTCTGCTCAAAATTCAGGTTTTAAGTGCAAGTATTTACACTTATCTCACCCAATAAGAGGCTGTTCTCCCACAAAAATTGTAAAGGCGCAATAATTACTTTAAAACAGCGGTAAAACTGTGCGATGCTAATGTTGTGGTGCGCAGCTAGCGGCTAATGTGCTAATGCCTTTGTATCTGATAGAGTTCATTCATCTGTGGATTTAGAAACAAGAGGCACTATAATTCAAGCTTTAAACGCACTGATATAAACCGTGTGTATCATGTCCACAAGAGTAGCTGATGTCAGAAAGCATATGGCTGAGTGTGTTACGGACACATTTGTGTCTGAGTAAAGTGTTTGTGACATGAGAAGCACATAAACACAACACAAGATGCGTATAGTACTAATTATAGCACTAATTCTGTGGTTAAGTACATACAACATCTTGAAACGTACTCTTTCCGAGTTCTTACAGGAAAAATGTTTGTTAAACATTCACTTTCATCATTTTGAACAAAACAGACGTTATCTGAGCTCAGCTTTATCTACAACAGGTCAGAGTTTGAACTGTCGACAAAACTCGAACATATGATTGTGAGACGATACAGCCCTGGAATTACAAAGAACCAATATTTTTGGGCTCTCTCTGGTTTTTCGGACTGAGACCAGGTCTTTAGTCCTGTCTCTCTCCTCAGGGGCCTCAGACCTGTCTCTCTCTCCTCAGGGGCCTCAGACCTGTCTCTCTCCTCAGGGGTCTCAGACTGGGACCATGGCGAAGGAGCCGCTGTCGGACGCCGGCTTTTACTTCGATGACTTGAACAAACTGCGTGTCCTGGATCCAGAGGTGACTCACAGCACGAGTGAACTGAAAGAGGAGTGCCGAGACTTTGTGGACAGTGAGTGACAAGTAATCGTCTCTCTCTGGTCTCTCTCTGGTAGCTCTCTGGTATCTCTCTGCTCTCTCTGTGTCTCTTGTGTCCCTCAGAGATTGGACAGTTCCAGAAGACAGTGGGAGGACTCATGGAGCTGGTGGACACTTTGGCCAAAGAAGCAGAGACTGAGAAGATGAAGGTTCAACACAACACACACTGAAGTAAAGCTGGGAGGCCAGAGAGGGAGGCCAGAGAGGGAGGCCAGAGAGGGAGGCCAGAGAGGGAGGCCAGAGAGTTTCTTTTTAATGAAACTTAAGTTAGGTCCCCCAGCTTTAAGTAAAATGTATCTATGTCCTGTTCTCTGTGTGTTGTGTTTTAATTTTTTTGTCTGTGTTGCCTCAGGCCATCGGGGCTCGGAACCTGCTGAAGTCTGTGGCCAAACAGAGAGAAGCACAACAGCAACAGCTGCAGGCGCTGATCACAGAGAAGAGAATGCAGCTGGAGAGGTGATAGAGGGAGGAGAGAGAGAGGGGAGGAGAAGGGGGAGGGAGAGAGAGGGAGGAAAGAGGGAGAGCAGAGGAGAGGAGAGGCTGTATATTGTCCATCTGTATACAGTCTATGTTAGCATTATTCATCTGTGTAGTCTTGCAGTATATTTTCAGTAGACCTGAAGCTGTGTTTGTCCTATTCCAGGTACAGGATCGAGTACGAGGCTCTGTCCAAAGTGGAGTCAGAGCAGAGCGAGTTCATCGACCAGTTCATTCTGCAGAAGTGACACAGACTCCGACCAAACCCTGAAGTGCCTCCTGAACCAGCTGCAGTCCTCCCAAACAGTCTACCAAATGTCTCTAATCTCTCTCTGGTCTCTAACTTTCTGTGGTCCTTCAAACACATCAGAAACCATTCATTCCCTTATTGCAAACATCTTTGTATGTGGAGCTGTCTGTGTCTAATTTTATTTATAATATATTTATATACAAGAACAATGTGTAAAATCTATGGACTTTTTATGGCTTTATACCAGTTCTGCATGTCTCTGTATATACTGTAAGTGTTCAATGTCCAGATTCAAAATGTCGGACGCAAATACTTGAATTAAAAACATGAAAAACTGTTGAATGTTAAAGCTAGCTATTTTTCTCCCCATCGGGTCTTCCTCTGGTCTCTCCCTCTGTGGTCCCTCTGTGGTCTCTCTGTCTGGTGGTCTTGGACCTAAAAAGTTTAACTTGCAACAATAGCAGCTGAACCAGGAAGGATCACATTAATACAATTTCGTTATTTTTTATTTTAAGGTCTCCCTTTAACTCCATATTTTAATGTAAAATTGTGGCAAATGTAGCATTTTCTGTTGCTTGGCAACTAACATTATGTGGCGGTCCTGGTTCAGCATGAAGAGCTGAAGAGAGTGGGCAATCATGCTGAACCAGCATGTTTGTCCATAGCAAAAGAAAATATAAACCTATTCAACAAACTGAACCAGGACAGCTCTCAGTCAAATAGTAAAGGTAAAGCAAACTTTACAAAAATACTGACTTAAATCTGGCAGCAAACAAAATCTTTTTTGGGGAATTCCCGTTATTATAATAGATCCATGGGAATTCCTCAGAATTCCATGAGCTTGATGTTTGAACGGGAGTAGCAGATAAACATCAGTTTCCTGTGAGACTTTCCTGATTGGGCTGTTGTTATCGTAGTTCCGTTAGTGTCCAGTGAGCTGCGCTGTTTCAACTTAAAAATAAATGTTTAAATGTATTTTACTATTTTTGTTTTTTAAGTGATCGTTGTTTTTTCATCATTAATTCGTTGGTCCTTTTCAATATATAATTTATTTATTTATAGGTCTTCAGTAATTACCCATCCGCACGTTATTATTATAGATCCATGATCCGCACACCTGTCATGACCCACGTGACCACACAACTGTCATGGCGGCCTCCTGCTCTGAAATCTATGAAGGAGTCGAGTTCTTTACATCACTTTAGAGTTTAAACCCAACAACAGTGAGTGTCTGTTGTGCCTACAATTATGGTCTCTATTTTTGGTCTCTCTCTCTGGTCTCTCTCTCTCTGATCTATCAATACCCTACAGTAGAGCCGTGTAGGGTATTGCATCTGCTTAGAGAGGCTGTAGGCCCAAGACTGAGGCTGTAGATCCAGGGCTGAGGCTGTAGACCCAGGACTTAGCCTCTAGACCCAGGACTTAGGCTCTAGACCCAGGACTTAGGCTCTAGTCCCAGGACTTAGGCTCTAGTCCCAGGACTTAGGCTCTAGTCCCAGGACTTAGGCTCTAGTCCCAGGACTTAGGCTCTAGTCCCAGGACTTAGGCTCTAGTCCCAGGACTTAGGCTCTAGTCCCAGGACTTAGGCTCTAGTCCCAGGACTTAGGCTCTAGTCCCAGGACTTAGGCTCTAGTCCCAGGACTTAGGCTCTAGTCCCAGGACTTAGGCTGTAGACCCAAGACATAGGCTGTAGATTCAGGACTGAGGCTGTATATCCAGGTCTTCTCTCCTTGTTGCAGATGCCTCTGGTGGGAGCAGAGCTGGTCCACACTCCTCCTCAGCTTTACAGATATCTGCTGAGATGTTGTAAACTGCTGCCCTCTGCTGCCATGCAACAGCACTACAAGCACGCCATCCGACAGGTGACATCACAAAAAGGACTGCACGATTTTGGACATTTACAGCCATATTCAACATATCTTTTGAAAACGAATTTTTTGTCTTTAACCTAAAAATACAATCTGCTTTGAACGCAAGAGAAAAATCTCTAACAAAAATTAAGCACAATGTTAATTGTGGCGGCACAAGGTCGCAGCAGTTTTGTCAAAGTGCACGTTCAAGAAATGCATACATCAATATTTCAAAATTATCGCGCATATTTTAGATATGGATATTGCACGTACCAATATCGCGATGACAATATTTTTTCCATATATCGTGCAGCCCTAACCATAACCAGTGGAACCAGGAAGTGTAGAGCCTGATCCTGTTCTGTGTTTAGGGCTTCACCAGTCACACTGACGAGGACGATCCAGAGAGAGTCCAGAGCATCATCCACAGAGCCATCGCTGACGCAGACTGGGTCCTGAGCAAGGTCTGGTCTGGGTCTCTCTCTCTATTCTCTCTCTCTGGTCTCTCTCTGGTCTCTCTCGTTATATAAATAAGGATTATTTACGTACTTATTTAGATGTTTCCTTTCAGTATGTGAAAAAATCCTGAGACCAGAGGAAACGAGAAAGAGAAGGATGAATCCCCCTCTCGCTGTCTGCTGAGATACTTCCGCTTCTGCCGACCCCTTATGACCTATTCTATTGTTATTATTATTGTCTTTCTTTTACATTGTAAAAATAAAAGATAAATGGAAAAAAAATCTCTTATATTTATGATTATTATTATTATTAAACATGGATCATTCTAATCAAGTGTATTTGCATAGCATGTTTTTATACCTGGTCCATACCTGATCCATACCTGATCCAGTCCAGGTTCAGTCTGGGTCCAGTCCAGGTCTATTTCAGTCCAGACCTGGTCCAGTCCTGGTTCAGTCCAGATCCAGTCCAGGTCCATTCCTGGTTCAGTACAGATCCAGTCCAGGTCTAGTCCAGGTCCAGGTCCAGTCCTGGCAGCTGGAGTTGTGTTTACAGTTGCGTCACGTGATCCCTGAGGAGCAGAGTCTAGTTTTTTGTGTGGTGAACGTGTGTGAATCTCTGCAAAGTCCTCAGTACAGTCTGAGACCTCAGTCCACGGAGATGGGACGTCCTGAATGCTGCCTGTGGTGGGCCCTGCTCCTGTTCCTGAGCCTGGAGGCCTCTGCAGAACCGTGAGTGTCACTTTTGGAACCCCCACAGAGGTCAGAGGAATGTGGTCTGTTTTAGTGTTAATTATTTTTACTTAGACTTTATGACGGACTCATGGATCTAGAGCTAATTAACCAATTTAACCAACGGAAGGGAAGTCTGGGTCCAGTCAAGGTCCAGTTTTAGTCCAGTCTTTGGTCTTGGGTTCAGTCTGTTCTTGCCCCAGTCATGGTCCATTCTTGGTCCGTACTGGTTCTTACTGAGAAGCGAGTGCTAACTACTCTGCCACCGTGCCGTACAGCCCTGGTTCTATACTACTTCAGAGGAAAGCTAGAAAGGGCCCAGGATCGACCCCTGGGGGACTCCAGCGTGGCGGAGATACCAGAGAGATACTGGAGCGATACCAAAGAGAGGCCAGAGAGAGAGACCAAAGAGTGACCAGAGAGAGAGACCAGCTCACGTGGACCTGACTCTGAATTTGTATGTGTGTTGGTGCAGGCAGTTCGTGGTGGTGCTCCCCGCGGTAGTGGAGTCTGGTACTGCAGTCCGCTTCTGCCTCAGTCTGCTGCAGGTGTCAGAGGAGCTGAGTGTCTCCGTGTCGCTGCAGAAGGGAACAGAGAACACACTTTTGTATAAAGAGACACACAATGATGACACGAACAAGTGCAGCAACTTTCAGGTCTGAACCACGCGGATGGACAATGCTAACACAGACTGTATACAGATGGACAATACTAACACAGACTGTATACAGATGGACAATACTAACACAGACTGTATACAGATGGACAATACTAACCCGCTAGCTCAATGAAGACCAACTTGCTCTGACTCCTATTGAGAGATCAGAGAGAGACCAAAGAGATTGAGAGACCAGAGAAACCAGGGAAATCAGAGAAGGGGACCAGCTCTCAGCCCAAAGAGACTAATAATGACACAGGGGCACGGGGCTATATCTTACACAAAGGCTCCCTACACATTACTTTAACAGGACTCTTTCTGTTGGGACAAATTGATTTGAAAATTACGTAACCCTACTTTAAATGGTCATGCGTTTGTTTTTCAGGCTCCTGTTGTGAAAATAGAAAAGATTGCGATCTTTGAGGTCGAAGTTGAAGGAAAAAACTTCCACAAACAAGTGGAAACACGAAAGATTCTGATCAAGAACCACAGCCTGAAAACTTTTATACAGACGGACAAACCACTGTACCTACCAGGACAGACAGGTGAGAGAGACCTGAGAGAGAGACCAGGGAGAGAGACCAGGGAGAGACCAGAGAGAGACCAGAGAGAGACCAGAGAGAGACCAGAGATACACCAGAGAGATACACCAGAGAGATACACCAGAGAGATACACCAGAGAGATACACCAGAGAGATACACCAGAGAGATACACCAGAGAGATACACCAGAGAGATACACCAGAGAGATACACCAGAGAGATACACCAGAGAGATACACCAGAGAGATACACCAGAGAGATACACCAGAGAGATACACCAGAGAGATACACCAGAGAGATACACCAGAGAGATACACCAGAGAGATACACCAGAGAGATACACCAGAGAGATACACCAGAGAGATACACCAGAGAGATACACCAGAGAGATACACCAGAGAGATACACCAGAGAGATACACCAGAGAGATACACCAGAGAGATACACCAGAGAGATACACCAGGGAGAGAGACCAAAGAGAGGCCAGAGAGAGGCCAGAGAGAGGCCAGAGAGAGGCCAGAGAGAGGCCAGAGAGAGGCCAGAGAGAGGCCAGAGAGAGGCCAGAGAGAGGCCAGAGAGAGGCCAGAGAGAGACCAGAGAGAGACCAGAGAGAGACCAGAGAGAGACCAGAGAGAGGCCAGAGAGAGGCCAGAGAGAGACCAGAGAGAGGCCAGAGAGAGGCCAGAGAGAGGCCAGAGAGAGGCCAGAGAGAGGTCGCGATGGGGAACAGCTCTGTGATGATCTGGTTGTGTTTCTGTTTCAGTACATTTCCGTGTGGTGACTCTGGACTCCAGCCTCAGGCCGGCTCTGGGACTGGTGAGTTTGGTTTTATGGGTTTCTCTGTCTCAGGTCATGGCCACAGGGACTGACTGTGCTCACTTGGACCTGACTTGGACCTGACCTGGATTTGGACTCTCTGGACACTTGTGTGTGGACTTCAGTCTCTTTCATCACAGCACAAACATTGACTCAGACTAAGTAGAACATGGACCTCTGTTTGAACAACAATGTGCAGGAATTTACGTGTATGATCTGAACCAATCAAGAAAGAGACCAGCGAGAGACCAGCGAGAGACCAGAGATAGACCAGAGATAGACCAGAGATAGACCAGAGATAGACCAGAGATAGACCAGAGATAGACCAGAGATAGACCAGAGATAGACCAGAGATAGACCAGAGATAGACCAGAGATAGACCAGAGATAGACCAGAGATAGACCAGAGATAGACCAGAGATAGACCAGAGATAGACCAGAGATAGACCAGAGATAGACCAGAGATAGACCAGAGATAGACCAGAGAGAGACCAGAGTGAGACCAGAGTGAGACCAGCGATAGAGACCAGAGATAGACCAGAGAGAGGACTAGAGAGGACTAGAGAGGACTAGAGAGGACTAGAGAGGGACAAGAGAGGGACAAGAGAGGGACAAGAGAGGGACAAGAGAGGGACAAGAGAGAGACAAGAGAGAGACAAGAGAGAGACAAGAGAGAGACAAGAGAGAGACAAGAGAGAGACAAGAGAGAGACAAGAGAGAGACCAGAGCGAGACCAGAGCGAGACCAGAGCGAGACCAGAGCGAGACCAGAGCGAGACCAGAGCGAGACCAGAGCGAGACCAGAGCGAGACCAGAGCGAGACCAGAGCGAGAGTCCAGCGAGAGTCCAGCGAGAGACCAGAGAGGACCAGAGAGGACCAGAGAGGACCAGAGCGAGACCAGAGCGAGACCAGAGCGAGACCAGAGCGAGAGTCCAGCGAGAGTCCAGCGAGAGTCCAGCGAGGACCAGAGAGGACCAGAGCGAGACCAGAGCGAGACCAGAGCGAGACAAGCAAGAGAAGACAGAGGGACCAGGCTACAACATGAAGCCTTCCGTTACATGTTGTCAGGGAGATGGTCCACAAACAGGGACCATCAATTGAAAAGACACAAAAATAAATTCCCTCCCAACAGTGCGTATACAGTCACGTACAGTGCACCGGTGTGTGCTGCTTATTATTAATGTTGGTGAACTTTCTAACTGTGGCTTTCTTCTTTTGCAGTATCAGCTCATCCAAGTGACGGTAAAGCTCTATTCTAACTCAGAGTCCGCTTCCAAACTTGCCTTCTATCTCTGGTCTCTCTCTCCACTCTCTCGCTCTGGTCTCTCTCTAGTTGCTCTATGGTTCTCTCACTTTTCTCTCTCTCTGGTCTCTCTCTGGTCCCTCTTTTGTATCTCTCTTGTCTCTGTCTGGTCTCTCTCTGGTCTCAAACACAGCTTTAGAGCACTTTCTTAAATGTCTTAAATGTCAAGTAGTAGAAGCTTGATTGTTGACACATGGTCTCTGCACAAGCCCAGGAGCCGCAGCAGAACCGTGTAGCTCAGTGGTTGGACCAGACGTCTCAGGGGGGGATCTTGCAGCTGTCCTACGAGCTGGATCCTCAGGCAAAAGAGGGATTCTACAGGATCACTGTGACAAAGGGCTCAGAGCAGCTCTCACACACATTCCAGGTGGAGAAGTATGGTGAGATATCTGCTAAGTAGTTATTTAGTTAGTTATAGTTTATTCTCCCCGTAGGGAAATGTGTCCTCTGCATGTGACCCATCCTGATGCCTCTGTCGAGAGCAGTGGTAGCAGATGTTGATGCTAGGCTTCGTCAAGACTATCGGAGCTGCCTATTTTAAACACTGCTACTACTATTACCACTGCTATTGCTACTTCTAATGGTACTATTACTGCTATAGTACTAGTACTATAGTGTCATTACTAATGGTACTACTAATACTGCTGTGGCCCTGAACATATTTGCATGTATATTATAAAGAGATAGCCTCCACCAAATGTTAATGTGTGTATATTATATGTATAGTTATATTGTATTTTGCTTTTAACTCACTGCCATAAGGAGTCGGCCACAAACGCAGTACCGCGCGTGGCCGTAGAGTGTCAGTAAAGAGACCTCTGTCTAGCTTAGAAGCAGTGCTATCTGTTGTGATGCAGAGAAGCTATACATAGTTCCCACAGACCAATGAATGTCACATGACCTCCTCGGAGACGCCATCTTTGATGGCACGCTGCTGTGTTTGTGCATTCCATTAAACAGAAGAATGAGAATAAATGTAGATATTCAAACGCAAATTGGAAAAAAAGGGCAACTTTTGAGAAAATAATTGTATATTAATACAATGGCACCACAGTTTAACGTGCTACGGACATGTTTTACATATTTGATCAAATTATGCAGCAAAAATTAACAAGCAATGCAAACATTTCTCAAAAACTTTAGATTTAATACCAGTTGGAGCTCCATTTAATTATTTTAATTATATTAACAATTAATTTAATTAATGCTAATGCCACACGGACACTCTGGATTGCTGTTATTGTTTATTTCCGCGTTTTTGACCGTATGTTTTGGTGAATGGTGGGCAACTGATTTTTCCAGGCGTAAAGAGCAGTTTATTTTATGACACAGATCTTTTTACAGAAGCAATGCTGTTTGTGAACATTGTTTTAGCCCACCATAGAACTATTATTATCTATTTAATACATTTACGTTGCCCTCGAGAGCCTCGGACGCGACACCGATCCTCCTCATAATAAAGTAATCTATCGCTAAATAATGAAACTCTCAAGTTACCAGATATCAGCATACACAAGTTAGTACTGAGTAAATTACGTCTGTCAACACATTATAAGATACGATACGCACCTGACACAAAGTGCTCCGAGCATATTCTTGCGTGTTTTGAGGGAGTTTCTTGCCTGTTTATCTTCGCAAGCCATAACCTCCGTGGTTGTTCTGACAAAAGCTTAGTCTTCTCACATTCATGAAGTCTAATGATGGGTATACTGTAAAATCCAAGTTTAACGGAACCTCCGGCACGATTTGAACATCCATTGACCCAGCAGGAGATGACCATTTTCAACTTTATCACGACATTAACACGTTTCAGCTTCTTTTACTATTGTTTTGCCCACAGAATGCCAACACAAATGGTGCCGGGTCGGCAAATCCCCGTATGTAGTGACGTCATGTGGGAACTATGTATACTGAAAACTTTTGTTTTTTAGTTACAGGTGGGTTAAGTGCACATATTGTAGTGTACTTTGTTAGGAACAAGCATGAATGTTAGATTGTTTTATTGCTTTACATGTATAAGGTTTTCCTGTACAAACGTTTTTGTTTACTGGCGCTAGCTTAAATGAAAAGCTAAAGATGGTTAGCATTGTGCTAATAGCATTAGTTTTGGTTATTCAGCATTTTTGTATTGATATATATGTAAATTGAGTATGTAAACAAGAGTGTACAAGTGTAATAAGATACTAGCCTTGTGATGCACATATTTAGATACATACAGGAGATACATTTATAAGTCAAGTTCACGTTGATGTACTTGACGCCATTTTACTTTTATCTTATCAGTGTAATGTTGAAATATGTGTTAGTATTTAAATTTAAGTCTGCATTATGAAGCAGAAGCAGCTGAGAACTGTTCCTACTGAGAGAATCCATTACTTACTTACTATTTGTTTTATTTGTTACAAACAATAATGTACAGCCCATTGCATTTTTTTACTATTACACATGTAATTCTGTAGTTGTACTGTTATGTTACGGGTTCCAAACTGTATTTGTAACCACATGATCAAAAATACTTGAACACAATCTGTAAAAAGAAAAAGAAAGGTCTCAGAGAAGGAATGATTCTCTGAGACCAGAGATTGTGTCTCTTATTAGTTCACATTCACATTTTACACAATATTACATTTGAAACTCTTTCTATTTTCTCAAATTCAATACTGCTAAATTACTTTTACTCATTGGACGCTTCACAAAGCTTTACACTGACTCTTGACTTGAACTGTGTCATATCTTCACAATATTACACAAAAAAACTAAAACTGACTGGGTCCTAAACTTATTAATTCACATGACAGGAGGCTTTTCGAATTAAAAGGGCACTCCATTTGTTCTTAACATGTCTAATGGCTGAAGAATGCCGCGAAAAAACTAACAGGACTCTGCCGCTAGCATTAGCACCGTTAGCTCGTTCGGCAGTCACCGCTCTGAAAAGTTACACAATTAATCTAAATCTTCTGTTATTGCTACCACGGGTACTCTCACAAACCTGTAAAAAAATAAAGTCTCAGAGAAGGAATGACTTGGCACGCGTTACAATTTCAGATTGTGTCTGAGGATCACTGTTAATTCGGCCCCCCCTTCTACATCTGAGAATGACAACAGTTCCTACAATATTTTCTCTGTACTCACTAAATTTAAACTAGACTACATTTACTAAATATAAGCTAATTATCTCAATTACATACAAAAAGTTACACAAATAGAAATTCAAAGTATTGTTGAAAAAATGATGTAAAACAATTGTGGTTACACATATTTTGGGTGTACCGCAGTTACCACTACGACATAAGTTATTTCACATTACAAACTAGAACAGTCCTTCTCATGTTGGAGACACTGAGTCTTTCCTATTGTGTGCAGTTTTGCCAAAGTTCTCTGTGGACCTGGAGGCTCCTGCTGACGTCAGCGTGGCTCTAGAGCCTCTCTCCTTCAGAGTTTGTGCAAAGTGAGTTTTTACAACATGAGACTTAGAGGGACTGGGATCTTGCTGAAATGGGTGGACCGTGGTCTCTCTCTGGTCTCTCTTTCTTATCTCTCTCTGGTCTCTCGTAAGCTGTGTTCCCACCGGATCATGCGTTGCGGCGAGTTTCAATGCAATGCAAGTCAATGGTGGCGTCTGCCCACGTGAGGATGGCATGCGCTTTTGACCGCTACAGCAGACGTGTTGTTGTGGCGCGGCAGAGGCGGTGAGTACGACGGCTAGATGCATGTTGCGAAAGCACGAGATGAGATTCACTGAACATCCTCGCTCCATGCATGTCCATCAACCAATCAGAGGGCTGCAAAGTGGTCACAGGGAGACAAGCCGGTCAAAACAGGAAGATGAAAACACTCAAAATGTATGTATGTATGCATACAGGCCAAGTCCCGTATGTTCTCCTGGACATACGGGACTTGGCCTGTGAGCCAGTGTTGCCTGCTCTGAGGTGTGATGGCTTTGACGAGTGCCCAGCTCGAGAAGAGTGGCGTGCGGACCGCAACAGAGACGGGGAACAGGGCGATGAGGCCGGGCGCCTCCCCCGTGTTCACCACCGTGCGGAGCCGGGTGTCTCTCGCCGACGGAGGAAGCGCAGACACCGGGGAAAGCGAGGCGGGCTTCTCGTGCGGAGTCGCGCCCCCAGGGTCCCACTGCTACCCATTTACCTTGCGAACGTTCAGTCTCTCCCGAACAAGTCGGATGATCTCCTAAGCCGAATCCAGTACCAGCGCGAGGCTCGGGACTGCGCAGTGTACTGCCTCAGCGAGACGTGGCTGCATCCGAATATCCCGGACTCAGCTGTTCATCCTCCTGGATTCGCCATTTTCCGCTCGGACAGAGAGAAGGAGAGCACGGGGAAATCCAGAGGCGGAGGTGTGTCTTTAAATTAACCAGCGCTGGTGCATGGACAGTTGTATTGTAAACAAAACATGCTCTGCTAACCTGGAGTGTCTGGTTTTGAGATGCCGCCCGTTCTATCTTCCCCGAGAATTCTCAGTGATTTTCTTATGTGCTGTATGTATTCATCCTCGGGCTGACTGTACAGCTGCACTGAATGACTTAAGTGACATTTTGCATAAACATGAAGCTCCTCACCCCAATGCTGTGATTATAGTTGGTTGTGATTTTAATAAATGTAACTTAAAGTCTGTATTACCGAACTTTTATCAGCATGTGAGTCAGCCTACCAGGGGAGCTCACATCCTGGATCACTGCTATAGTAACGTGAAGGCAGCTTACAGGTCCAGTCTCAGACCTGCTTTTGGGAAGTCTGACCACTCCGCTGTTCTCCTTCTTCCTTCTTATACACAGAGGAACAAACAGCACAAACCTACTTCCCGCACTGTGCAGTGCTGGTCTGAGGAGGCTAACATGAAGCTGCAGGGCTGCTTTGATGCCACAGACTGGTCTGTTTTTAACTCTGAGAATGTTGATGAATTCTGTGAGGCTGTGACAGGATACATACAATTTTGCATTGACTGTTGTGTCCCCTATAAAGTTATCAAAGAACACTCCAGCCAAAAACCTTGGATGAACACTGACGTCAAATTGAGAATTAATGAGCGGACACTGGCGTTTCAATCCGGTGATGAGGGTGCTTACAAGCTGTCCTGCTACGCTGTGGAACGCTCTATAAAAGCTGCTAAGCGTTCCTATGGGGACAGGTTAGAGGGCTTCTTTGGGGAAGAGGACCCCCGACGCATGTGGAAGGGGATCAGTCTTATCACGTCCTGGAAACCAAGTGCAGGGAAAATTGTTGCTGACCAAACTCTGCCAAACGAGCTCAACGACTTTTACTGCCGCTTTGAATCTGCGGATCCCCTGCCTTTTGTCTTCACCGAATGTCAGGGAGCCTTCACAGTGACTCAGGATGAAGTACGGCGGGTCTTGTCCAGGACCACAGCTCGGAAAGCCGCAGGCCCGGACTACATTCCTCCCCGCGTCCTGAAACTGTGCTCCGAGCAACTTGCCCCTGTTTTAACAGACATCTTTAACTTGTCACTCAGGAGCTGTACGGTGCCGGTGAGCTTTAAAAGGTCCACCATTATTCCAGTTCCTAAGAAGTCTCCAGTGACATGTCTCAATGACTACGGCCCTGTGGCCCTCACGTCTGTTCTTATGAAGACTTTTGAGCGGCTTGTGTTGGACTTCATTAAGAGCCAGATCCCTGTGAGTGTTGACCCGCTCCAGTTTGCTTACAGACAGAACAGGAGTGTGGAGGATGCCATCTCCTTTGCTCTGAACTCTGTCTACAGTCACTTGGACACTAGTAAATCTGTCGCGAGAATGCTGTTCATTGATTATAGCTCTGCTTTTAATTGTCTTGTCCCAAGCATATTGGTTGAAAAACTAATGTCCCTTGGTCTGAAAGTTGCCATGTGTAAATGGATTTTTAGCTTTTTAACTGACAGATCTCAGAGAGTAAAAATCAATGACTGTTTTTCTGATGTTGTTTCTGTGAGCACTGGTTCTCCTCTGGGATGTATTTTGAGTCCTCTGCTCTTTACCTTGTACACTCATGATTGTGTGTCCTCCTCTGACTCAAACCTGATCATCAAATATGCTGATGACACCACCATCATCGGTCTCATCAGTGACAATGATGAATCCTCTTATAGAGCGAACATGTTTTTCAGTGGAGTAAAGTAAACAATCTCCAGCTGAACACTGCAAAAACATGTGAACTTGTCTTTGACTTCAGTCGTAGCAGTTCTCACACTCCTGTCGTAATCGACAACTCCCAGGTGCAGATCGTAGAGGAGTGCAAGTTTCTGGGTTTAACTCTGTCTAACGACCTGAAATGGGTTAAAAACACTGACCGAGTCGTTAAAGCTCATCAGCGGCTCTTCTTTTTGCGGAAACTTAGAGAATTTACCACTAACTCTAAGATTCTGCTTAACTTTTATCGCTGCACCATTGAGAGTTTACTTGTTGGTTCTGTGTCTGTGTGGTTTGGAAACATCACAGATAAAGAAAAGAGAGCTTTAAACAAGGTGCTCCGCTCTGCAAAGAGGACCGTGGGCTGTGAGCTTCCTGTTCTGGAGGTTCTTTATGAATCCAGACTTTTAAACAGAGCTCTTAAAATCATCAATGACTCTTCTGGCCACCCTGGGAAAGCCTTGTTCCAGCTTCTTCCCTCTGGCAGAAGATATCGGTCGCTGAGATGCAAGACATCTCGCTATGCTAACAGCTTCTTTCCACAGGCTGTTAGGTGCCTAAACAGAGCACTTTAATTCCTGCTTTTACCCCTTGTATCGTTTTTGTTGATCGGTGCCACAGTGTCAGCTGTTTTTTTATTCTTTTATTTTCAGTGTATGTGTATTTTATATTTCATTGTATCGTGCTCTTTAGTCTGTCGGTGCACACAGAGTACCTTTTTTGCAAATGTATTCCAATGTAGTTTTTATACTGCACATGGCTAATAAAATGAATCTGAATCTGAATCGGAAAAACGACTAAAACAGGAGCTAAACCAGGATCAAACCAGGTCTGACAATGGAGGACGCGGTGCTTGTGAACATATGTCTTCACCCTGAGTTGACCACTATGACTCTAAACAAGTGCTGCTAACGTGTTTGCCGATATGGAAGTACGGTTATTAAACTCGTCAGCACCCGGGGGCGGGTCAGTGGGGGTGGACCCAGAAAGAGAATTAGCCAATGCTTTTCTATGGCGTCTTTCCTCTCAAAAACCTCCTTCAGGATGGTCCAAAAGTCACTCTTGACCCTACGCTACATTCCAGATGCTGTCAATGCTGAGGAAAGTATAATTTTTTGGATCATTCTAGTTTAGCCGCTGTGGACTTCACATGAGTTTCAACGGCGGAGAATGGTGTGACTACGTCCGTTAATATTTACAGTCTATATTTTTTTCTCCTCCCAGGGCAGTACGACAGATTGACTAAAATCATACGGCTGATATTTAGTGAACGTGCGCCCATGCTTCACTGTTGTTGGTTGCAGGTACTTGTTCGGACAGTCGGTTCCTGGCTCCGTGACCCTTGACCTCTGCCGCTTTTTTGAACTCCCTCGATATGGACGCAGACGGATCGACCAGCAAGAAACATTCCCACTGTGTCACAAAGAGACCCAGCAGGTGAAGGGTCACTGCTACTGCTGCTACTACTACTGTTACTGCTACAACTACTATTACTACTACTACTCCTCTAACCCCTCCTCCTTCTCTACCCCCCTCCTGTTGTCGCCCCCATCCTCCTCCCCCCTACTCCTCCTCGTCCTCAGACCTCCAGTGATGGCTGTGCGTCCTTCTCCGTCCAAACGGCTCAGTTCCAGAATGATTCCAGGATGCACGACGAGTACGTCCTCAAAGCCGTGATGACAGAGGAGGGCACAGGTGAGCTGAGAAAAGAGGAAGAGACAGAGGAGCAGACAGAGGATCAAAGGAGCAGAAAGAGGAGCTGACAGAGGAGCAGACAGAGGAGCAGACAGAGGAGCAGACAGAAGAGTTGACAGAAGAGCAGACAGAAGAGCAGACAGAAGAGCAGACAGAAGAGCAGACAGAAGAGCAGACAGAAGATCAGACAGAAGAGTTGACAGAGGAGCAGACAGAAGAGTTGACAGAGGAGCAGACAGAGGAGCAGACAGAGGAGCAGACAGAGGAGCAGACAGAGGAGCAGACAGAGGAGCAGACAGAAGCCGTGACCGCTGAAACTGATAGAAGAGCCCTGTTCCTGCAGGTCTGCAGCAGGCTGTGGAGAAAAGAGTGAAGCTCTCCTTTGAAGTGGGGAAAGTGAAGTTTGTGAACCCTCCAAAACGATTCCACCCAGGAGACCAGCTGGACCTGCAGGTACACACACACACACATACGCTCACACAGACATACACACACACGCACAAGGACGCACGCACGCAGTCACACGCATACACACACTCTGTGGGTGGTGAGGACACAGGAGGGCGGGCTCCAACTCCAGTCTTGGTTCATTGTGGTCATCCAAGACCTGTTTGTCCGTGGAGGCAGGGCCCTAGGTCATCAGGCGCCCCAGGTGGAAATATATTATGGTGCCCCTTGCACACTTGTAGAGGGCCTCACAGTGAACAAGTGTGCTCTGAATGTAGTCACAAACCATTAAAATGTGCATTTTGGTGGCTCATTCCCGCAGCTTCTTTTTCCACTTTTACGTAAGAAACAGCCAAAAGGAGCCACCTGCTGTTGATCAGTGTTGGGCAAGTTACTTAAAAAATATAATATGTATTACTTAATACTGTTTTTTCAAAATAATGTATTACACTATAATATTACTGTATCTGAATTGTAATGCATTACACTACTGTATACTGCAATACTTTTAACCCTCTAGGCGCCACGGTCGACTTAAGTCGACAAGCTGCGGTACTGTTTAAAACGGCCGAGTGTGACCAACTGAGTGTCAAAATTCATTCATACTCCCTGCCACTAGTTGGCAGACATGTCAGACTACCTCCCTGGCCCCAAAAAACAACATGCTCCCATACAAAATATTCGAGCAAGACCGCATTGAATCGGAGCGGAAAACACTGCGAAGCGAGTGCAGCTGCGAGGCTGCGTGCGAGTTTTATAGCGCACCAAACACTAACTTTAGACACTTTGCACAGAGTCTGCAGTGGGAACAGTGTTTCTCAGAGTAAGGCCAGTCATTGGGAGGTTTGGAGACAGGTTAGATTTTAGGAAAACTCGCCTGGAACTCGCGTTGGGGCACCGCGCCACAATCTCCAGCCTCCGCTAAAGTCTCCGCTAAAGTCTCCGCTAAAAGTGCTTCCCACATATTTATTTTCATGCCTCCCGTAATCACCGGGACAGTAACGTGTTGGAGAAGCCTTGTCTGGTGTGTGTTAGACGATAGAGAGAGCAGGGGAAACAGCAGCAGGAGCAGGGTCGCGGTGACGCGCTTCACCTGGAGGCGCGCGTCTGGGCAGACTGCTCACAGCAGCAGCATGATTTGTATTTTTTACTACTTCCATGACCATTTACAATGTTACAGTGTGTGTTCATGTCTTAGTGATCAATATATGTCTGTCAGTTAGAAAAATACAAATATTGTATGAAAATTCTAAAATCCACAATTTCTAACGGCATACAGTAGGTCCCATTCCGTTTTGTCGCCTTTCACGCGTGAATCACACGAGACTCACGTGTGATTCACGCGTCTTTTATTTTCCCCCCTCCCAGTGACGTTGCAATGACCAAAACAACCACCAGGTGGCACTTGTGAGCAGGGTTACATTGGCGAGTTTCTGCCCCGCGCACATCGACAATCTGGTTAAAACGGGCAATTCCTTGTAGCAGGCCAGTCTCTGGAATAACCCGCAGACATTAAAACTACTGCATATAACGTAAACTTTTGCATCACGTTGGTGATCTTTCCAAAAAGAGAGAATATCGTTATGGAAAGAGAAACTATTGGTAATATAACGCTGAACGTTATTTGACTCAAACAGCTCGAGAGGCATCTGGCTGCAGACTCCCCCCCCTCGCAGACCTCCCTGTTCAGCCCCTGTCACGTGACCTCCTTCAGGAGCCCCTGTCACGTAACCTTTGCCATGAGCTACTGTCACTTAACTCCCTGGGACTTGAAAACGTTTTTCTTCACAAAGTTATAAAGCTTATATTTAACATATTGTATATATTTTGTAACAAACAAAAATAGTGACGTTTGTTCCACAAATTGTGACCAGGTATTATGTATATGAGCGTTTTCATCTGGGCATTTGGGATGCCAAAGGACAATTCTGTTGCCATTTGTTTACAAGAGCGCCACCTACATGTCACCCATAGTATAGAACATGAAAACACGTCGAAAAGACAATATATATGGAGATACCATGGCGAGGCTTCATTATATTAAGAGCTGCAACTTCCATTCATCTATATTATTCTCGCAACAGCAATAAAGTTACATAGGTACCCAATATTTCTTTTTTCTATTATTTTCTAGAGGAATAAGAGTTAGCTAGACCTATAGGTCTACTCACATTTTTGATTTTCCTAACGTTCTGTAACCTGTGATGCAATACTGAACATTCCCCGTTTGTGGTGAATAAATTATCTCAATGATAAAGCCGTTCAACTATTTATTATGCATTCACAATAAAACACCCCTTTTATCAACACATTCAACAGAAAAGAGTTCCATGTCCTCAATCTGAGAGAAGACAAACTTGAAGGGCTCCAAGATGTTCTCATGCTCCTCACTGTCCGGGTCAAAGTCTCCCTAAACTGAGAGATGTCTGCTTGTGTCCAGTAAAGGAAGTGAGGAATCAGGGGCTCCTGAAGGAGGGGCTGAACAGGGAGGTCTGCGAGGGGTGGGGAGTCTGCAGCCAGACTCTCTTGAACAGCTCCGCTGGTGTCTCCTCCCACTCAGAAAAAAAGCAGACGCCTTTTCTCTGGCATCTCTAACATTTATAATAAATACATAAATATAACAATCATAATGAAGATGCTTTCAAATAATTTAGCAAGCTGTAATTCATTTATTTTAACTCCCTGCCAAACTTCTCTCGCTGCTCTCTCCTCCGCAAACCACTAAATGAGGAAAAGGGAATATTCACTCAATCTATTTTGAATGTTACACATACAATATTAATATAGTCTAAGCACGTGGAACACCTGTAGCCCGTGTATTTACCACAGACTGTAAGTATTAAAGTAATGAGGCTCCTGCTTTAGGCCTCTGCTGTGAGGCCCACACACTGTAAATCCTTATATCCGCCTCACCTAAAATTATTGATCATACTTTACTTGATTTTTCTCCAAGTTTACTGTTCACCCACACACTATTAGTAACCTTTACAATTCATGTCAAAATCTAACTTTTAAATGACATAGTTGAATTTCATTTCATAAGTGTTGGTGTGTATCATCTATGGTATTTCTGCATCAGACAATACTTGAAAGGTGTCTGTAAAGTCAGTACTTTACTTAAGTTAATAAACAAATTGATGCGGGAATTACTTGAGTAAGCTTTTACGATATGCGCAGTTCAGTTTTTCACCTCATGGCTACGGTCACTTCCTGCCTCAGCGCCATCCTGTGCTTTTACACCGCGAGCACGGGACCTGTGTCTTCTCACCGCTCTGTATACAGTTATACAGGGAGAGCAGAAAGCAAACTCTACATTGTAATAAGTGAATCAGACCAAACCTTGATGTAAAATATTTAAGTAAATACTATATACTTCATTTTCCACTGTTTTATATTTTTGGTTGACAAATAAGTACTGTATAATATTATCATAGCACCCTGTACAATACTGATTTTATTGCATTAAGTGAAAATACTTCTGCTGTAAGCCTGTTGGTCCATTAATGACAAAACAAATATATTGTGTTGATTGAAAACAAAATGTGGTGAAGCAGTGATGCTACCCAGAATGCATTGCAGAGCAAAATATAAACTTCTTAAAACAGGAGCCCTCTGGAACAGTCTGAGGAGGAGCTCAGGGCCGCAGAGAACGTTCATATATTTAAGAGTAGGCTCAAGACGCACATTTTTAGAGTAGCTTTTGATTAGTATTTATTATTTGGTATTGCTTTTTAGTACATCTATTTATGTTTTTAGACACATTCTATTTGTATTTATTTTTATCATTTACTATTTTTAATTATTTATTGTATCTACCCATTTACTATTGTTATTATCAATATTAGGCAGCTGCCATTTTTCTTTTTATTGTCACATTTTATTGTTCTACTTTCTATTGTATTATTGTATTGTTTTAGTGTCCCCAGTGTTTCCTCTGGAGGAGCCCTCTGCACTGAGAGCTGGGGTCTGCTGTGGCTTCGGGGGTCTGGCTCTTGGATCCGGTGGGGGTCTGGGGCCTCCTCTCTCCTCTGGGTCCTATGGGGTCTGAGTCCTGGACCTGGTGGGGTCTGGGGCCCCTCTCTCCTCTGGGTCCTGTGTCGTTCCCTGTGGCTGCAGCCGGCTCTCTGCTCCTGGTGCAGATGGCTCCTTGGATGGCGCTTCTTCAGCCGGTTACATCTGCTCCCAGCCCCATTTCTTTGTATTGTTTTACCTATTTTACCTGATATGACTTTATACTTGCGACAGTAGCTCAGTTGGAAGAGCATTGGCCTTAAGCCCAGAAGGTCGTGGGTTCAATTCCCACCTCTGCACCTTCTCCACCGACTCCCACTGATGACTGCTGTCGTTGTGTCCTTGGGCAAGACACTTAACCCCACTTTGCCCAAAGCCCCCACTGAAAGATCAAGGCTATGCTCACACTCAGAGAGCAGCCGTCCTCCTGTGGACTCACCACCTGCAGAGGGTCAGTGAGGGGCTGCTGCTATGAGACTTGGGTGGCAGCTCTGACTGCCACCCCCCTGACCCAGAAATGGATTAAAGGGTAGAAAATGGATGGATGGATGGACTTTATACTTGTATGTGTGTGTCTGTGTGTGTGTGTGTATATGTGTGTGTGTGTGTGTGTGTGTGTGTATATGTGTGTGTGTGTTGTATATATAATTATAAATGTGGTTTTGGGGGGGTCTGTGGGGAGGAGGGTTTAGGGCTGGGCATGTTGGATTGTTTTTAACTAAACTGTAAAGCACTTTGTGTTACACTTTTTGTATGAAAAGCGCTTTATAAATAAAATTTGATTGATTGATTGATCCGCCAATGCTGAATAGTGTTCTGCAGCAGCCTGGCCAGCCGCTGCATTCATATGCTAATTAGGGCCATTCTTGCTCGGCCGGCCGCAGTGTTTCGCAGTGATGGGCAAGCTACTTGATTTGTGTAGTGAGCTAAGCTACAAGCTACTCTACAATAAATTCAGCTTCACTACACAGAAGCTACCACCCATACAAATGTAGCAAGCTAAGTTACAAAATTCTGTCAAAAGTAGCTTGCTATATAGAAGCTATTTTCAATTAAACAAACTGCAGTTCATGCAATTTTATATTTTCCTGCATTAATATTTTTGCTCATTTCTTATTTTTTGCACAATTCTTGAGTGTTTTATCCATGCCAAATGTGACATGTAAATTTCTCCTGTGTGAGATTAATAAAGCTTATCTTCTTATTTGAGATAAACTGTCAGATAAAGGTTAAAATGTTGTAGATATTTATTGAACAATAGCCCAAAACACCAAAAACAACAAAGAGTAGGCATCTGAAAACATATTTCTTTTTGCTCATCTCGACTAGTGTGACGTACTTTTGGAGGTATGGCCACGGTACAACACTTTGAGAGTCCTTATCATGGTCCTCCTCCACCGCGGCGGCTCCTGGGCTCTCTGCCAAGCTTTTGCTTCCCCCAGTAGCGCGCGCGCATGTGTGTGCGTGTGTGTCGTTACCAAGCCCTGCGCATGCGCATCAGCATTCTGTCTTTCTATATGTTTGTTTTATGCTGCGGGAAAATGCTGTAATATATGAACATCAGAGATGTCCGTGAGAAAATAGCTTTGGCGGACGCTACCGCGCTACTTGAGCAATAATATAGCTTAGCTACAGAAAAGTTACTAGGTTTTGTAAATAGTGACGCTACTGTCAAGCTACTGAAAAATGTAGTTAAGCTAGTAGCGACGCTACTGCCCATCACTGGTGTTTCGCTGCATTCATATGCAAAGTAGGGACATTAGCATGAAAAAGAGCGTGATTTCCTGCCGTTTAGGGTGACGAAAATCTAAGGCCCTGTTTATACTGAGACGCTGCGCAGACGTTTCCAGGCTATTAACCCTTGTATTATGTTAAGGGTCAATTTGACCCATTTCAGTTTTTGTGTTGATCAAAGTACTTGTTATCCTTTCTTTTTCTTGCTGAAATTTGGTGACTTTTCCTCATCTAGGGTCATGAACTGGTGTGTAAAATTTGGACACTTTGATGTGCAGTGGAATGTCTGTGCAGAGTTTGTATACAAAGATGATGTTGGGGGTCATTTTGACCCAGACGCTTTAATGTGGGTAAATAGTTGTTCAGATCCAAAAAAACATGTCTCTTTGACATTGTATTTTGATTGCCTCTGAGACCCAGAGCCAGGTGTGTGAAGAGAGGGAACTTTCGCACACTTGTCCTTGTCACTGTCCTCATGTCATCTCTTTTGCCTAGCGTACGTTGGATAGGCAACTGAATATATCCGTCGCCTTTGAGTTGCTGCCCCGCACACAGCGACAATGTGGCGAAAACGGGCAACAGTAGCAGGCCAGTCTCGAGAATAACAGCGCGTACATCGACAGCAACTGGCCGTTGACTACAGTGTTTTTTCTGGCATAAACTGTAGAGAGCGCGCAATACACGCAATACACACATGTTGTTGGAGCGCGCCATGGAGCGCATATATCGGGTGATATCTCTGGATCTGAGGTCAACTAGTTGCCGAAAAGTGTAACACGGGCAACTGACTGAATCCGGAGATCGACTGTTTATCTCCAGTTGTAAGAGCGCTCACATCGACCAATTTCGGCAACTGATCATCTCCATCATCTCCTCTCAGTTGCCAAAAGCCGCCTTGCAACTAGTTGTCTCCAGTTACTCTGTCGATGTACGCTAGGCTTTAGACAAACTCACCAAAAATGAGCTCCAGAAGGATGACATCTGAGGAGGCTTTTTCACAGATTTTTAATTGGGATAATGATGTAGAGGAAGAGATTTCAGAAACAGAGGATTTTTCAGAGACAGAGGACCATGTTATTGCTGAACCAGACTGTCTATTTTCCTATGATAAGGAGGATTCAGAGGACGAATCTTTGATCATGGAAGGAGGATGGGAGGAATGAAGTAAGGTAGGAAGGAAAGAAGGGAGAAAGGAAGGAAGGAAGGAAGAGAAAAGAAGGGAATAGAGGAGGATGAACACAGAGAAGGAAAACAGGATGAGAAGAAGGAAGGAGAAAGCATGGCAGGAGGAAAGAAGGAGGGAAGAATTGTCATTTTGACCCGAAAGGAGGACAAGAAGATTAGACTAAATATTTCTTAAATATAGTGTTGGAATTAAAAATGTATTGTATGTCACTTTTCTAAATATTTATATAACCTAAAACTAAGTTGTTATTGGTTTAACCTGTTTTCTTGACTGTTTTGAGTGCATTTACACAGTACGGGTCAAAATGACCCGCAACATAAACAATGTCATTTTTTTTCAACATAATACAAGGGTTAACAGAAACGACCAGGCTCCTAATGCAAATTTCTCTGCGTTCACATGAGGTTGAAAAACGATGTAGTTCTAGCGCCCGGCCAGTAGTGGGCAGAGAAACTTTACAACACTCACACGACCCCCAGCCCCGTGCCCAGCCCCCCTCTCGGCAGTGTACTCACTTCCTGTGCCAGACCCTCAGAAAGTACCAGCATCATTCTGCATTTTAACAGCAGCTGTGAACATGGGAACTGAACCTAGAGCTTCACGTGGTCTCGTTTGGACGAACGAAGGAGTAGAATTATCCTCTGGGCCGCGCTGGAAGCCCACATAGCTAGTTTGTGGGCGGCGCCATTTTTGTTGATGTTTGTTCTCCGCTACTGCGCATGTCCAAATTTACGTGCGGGGAGCAGCGCGGAGGTGGGGGTCAGAGCAGAGGGGGATTTCACACCTTTTCCCCTCTCGCGGGTGTGAAAGAGCTCCCTGCTGTGCAGCGTATCTGAGTTGTCCCACTCTGCAGGCTGGATCTGAACACTTACGTTTTCACCCCCCTGGAACACAGTCTTTGTATGAACGGTTGGTAGCAACCGACATCCAACTATACCGTTTTACTGCCACATTGTCTCCGTGTAAACTCAGCCTAACTTTTCATGCAGTGCCATATACTGTAGTCGCTGCAGGAGCAATTGTCCATTATTTTAATTGGACTTCTGGTCCATGCACACTGTAAAAAAGAAAAAGTTAGTTCAACTCAAAATTTCAAAGCAACCAGCTGCGAAGGATTTTTGAGTTGAAGGCATTAACTTAATTCTTCAAGTTTTGAAGAACTACACTTATTAAGTTGTGTCAGTTAAGTTTTCCAAGTTCTGGCAACTAAGTGTAAATTCAAGTTACTGGAAATTTCAAGTCTGTAAAAACTTTTTAAAGTTCAGATTACTGTCCCCTACAATAACTTACTATTTTGAGTTTAAATTAGCCCCCACATTAAAAGATCATGATGTTTATTTATATAGCGCATTTCATGGACCAAGGTCACTTGGGTAGGGGAAACCGGAGCACCCGGAGGAAACCTATGCAGACAGAAGCTGCGTTTCCATTGAGCATCAAATTTCGAAATTTGAATTTGCGCATCATAAAATGTCTACACTGTAAAGCTTGATTGGTAACCCTTACTCAAAAAAAGTGTGGACACTAATTGCACATGATTTTATTGAGTAACCGTTATCAACAATTAGATCAGGTAAGGTCTGCATGAGATAATGTATTAAGCTTTACTCTTGACCAGGTAAAGTTTACTAACAATAAATGATGAAACTTTACTCCAGTGCGAATTAAAGTTTACCAATATAAATTAGTAAAACATAACTCATCGTTAGTGTGTAAAGTCTACTTACATTATTTATGAAACCCTACTTTTTGCCAAGTATACTTTACTAATTTAGGTTATTAAAATTGTACCCTTCCACATTTGTTAAAGGTTACTTTGAATTATTAAGAGCTACTGTCGCCTTGTACCATATCTCAGTCGTTTTTATCAAGTAAGGTTTACCTTGTATGAATAATGCAACCTTTATCTTTACATGCTAACATGGATTTTAATATAATTACACCTTATAACCTGGTTAATGAAACTTCTAATAATCCATTATTGTACAAGACCCATCTGTATGCAATAAAACAATTTTGAGACCAGAACAACATTTATTTTTTTTGCAAGTGTCAAAAGCACTTTCACAACCCTCTACAAATGTATAAAACTAGTGTTTGTTTAAATGATGCATTGCCAAGTTTAATAAAATATACTTCTCGTATAATTCAGTAAAAGAGAAATCCTGAAATAGTCTTATTGAAATCAGGACGATAACTTAAACATAAAATGAAACGGCCAAGAACATAAAAACAAGCCAAAAAATGCCAAAAGGTAGTTCAGACTCAACAGTTTTGGTGGTAGTTTGCTTTCTGCTCTCTGTATCACTGTACAGAGACCACAGCAGTGAGAAGGCACAGGTCCTGGTACCTGTGCCTTCTCACTGTGGTAAGGCGCATTCCCAGCTCCCACACGCAAAAGCCGCATCACATGACCAAAATTATCACTAACAAATCAGGGCAATAACTTGAAGTACCTGTAAAACATCAAATTGAATGGCTAAGAACACAAAGACAGCCAACAAATTATGCCAAAAGGTAGTTCTTCAGAGTCAGGAGTTTTGGTGGCAGAGTTTGTTTTCCCAGTCCCAGCATCACAGACTGGATGCACCTGAACGTGTTGAGCATCGATCTTGGGTAGTCCAAATGTAAGGCGTACGTCAGAGCAAACAGAAGGCAAAAAGCCTGGGGAACATCACTGATGTTGTTCATGACGATGTTGCCCTCGATGACAATAGCGATCATTTTACTTGTTTGGTGGAAGGTCTCAGCACTTGAAGGGTGTAGGAAGTCTTCATCAACTGTGAGCACACCCATCAGAAGCGCCGCTGTGGTCTCATCCATCAAAGCTTTCTGAGGGGGATAAAATACAATATATAAGTTTTGTTCCATCTTAGTTATTCAGAAAATCTATTTTTGCTTTGCTGCAACCAATTTCTGTATTCAATACAAATCCCATAATCCATAGCAGCTTTGGGGGAGAGCTGTAAAGCATGTGTGTCCTGATGAGAAGGTTGACAGGAAAATCCTAGCAAAGTTTGAAACTACAAGAGTTGCTTAAAGAGCGCCTTAACACCTAATCAACTTTTTATAACTCAAACTTAATAAATATGTTTATTGTAGCGTTTTCCACGTATCCCGGTCATTTTATTGCAAATTAGATAAAATCTCACTTTTGAGCCAAAAATGTGACGCCCTCTCAACCTTTTTGGCTTATTTGAATTAGGTCCTGGCCTCCAATACTGTGTGACCTCAGTGTGTGTGTGTGTGACACAGTGATATAAACCCCTTCAACTCTCACACGTCCCAGCAGCAGGTGGGATTATTCTGGTGACATCTAGTGGATTAAAATAGTACTAGAATTGAATATGCTGCTATCCAGAATATATAACTACTATATGTGTTTGTAATATTGTTCATTTTGACATGTTCAGATTAATTGTGTTTAAAAAACGGCTTTGAAACGCCAGGGGGAGCCAAAATAGCAGCGATGACATAGGAGAAGGACATCTCACAGCAGCAGCAGCAGTCTGGGCTGAATCTGTAGGAGGTTTCACTGTCATCTGAACAAGGTATAAACATGTTTTCATCAGTTTGTACATAATAGTGTGCAACTCTTTTAACCTTTTACCTTATATGTGAGATTCAAGCAAACTAGTGTTGGCCAAGTTAGCTAACTCTACTTGATATCACAAAACATGCTAACAAGGCTAATATTCGTTTTTACATTATGCCAGTCTCACTTTGGTTGCCTTAGATTTATTTACCACAATGTACATTGTAATATTCAAAAATGCTAACACCTATTAACGGTTTAATTAGCATTTTTATCAATGATTGCATCACATGTAGTCTATGTTTTCAACTTCTGCAGCTTTTTGTTCATAAAAGTCAAATATTTATTTCAAGTTATTTTGATAAGAATTTTTGGATATTACAATGCACATTGTGGTAAATAAATCTAAGGCAACCAAAGTGAGACTGGCATAATGTAAAAACTAATATTAGCCTTGTTAGCATGTTTTATGATATCAAGTAGAGTTAGCCAACTTGCCCAACACTAATAAGCTTGAATCTCACATATAAGGCTAAAAGGTTAAAAAAGTTGTGCACTATTATGTACAAAACGGATGAAAATATGTTTATACCTTGTTCAGATGACAGTGAAACCTCCTACAGATTCAGCCCAGACTGCTGCTGCTGCTGTGAGAGGTCCTTCTCCTACGTCAGGCATGTCAAAGTCAAATACATCAGAGGGCCAAAAAAACAAATTGGCTGCGAGCCGAGGGCCGGACTGGTTCAATGTTTATTAACTCATTGCCTGCCAGCCTATTTCAGAACAGGTACTCCCATATTGCCAGCAGTTTCTGATGATTTTTATAGATATTTCAAGACCCACAGAATATTGTGTACTATGACTATCTGAAATCTGAAACCAGATTCTGAAAGAATAGACTGTCTACTTTCATCAGCAAAAATAATTTTGTTTCTAGCTTGTAATCCCCAGTTGAGTAGAGGGAAGTTTTACTGAAATCACCAAAAAGCTGAGAAAAAAGAGGCACAAGAAGTGCATCTAGCTGTTTTCAAACCATTCAGAGAACACTACTGCCACCTGCTGGCTCGATTCAATATGCTCTCAAGCTTATCCCCAAACATATTAGATATAATAGACATCTGGGAACATGAAAATAGCGGAAAACGCAATTGACGTAATAGTACGTCAATGGCAGGCAACGGGCCATGTAAAATTCATTCGCGGGCCGGATTTGGCCCGCGGGCCTTGACTTTGACACATGTGTCCTACGTCATCGCCGCCATTTTGGTTCCCCCTAGCGTTTGTGAAAAGGTGCCACTTCAAAGTCGTTTTTAAAACATAATTCATCTGAACATGTCAAAATGAACACCCGAAATATTATAAACACATATTGTAGTTATATATTCTGGATAGCAGCACATTAAATTCTAGTACTACTTTAAATTTCATCAGCCAACAGCCACAATATGCTGAGAATTCAGTGTCTTAAGATTCAGGTGTGTAGCTCTACAATAATCTTAGTGTGTAAACAAGGGTAGAATAAGACTTTCTGGTGAGTTAACTTTTTTTAAGCAGCAATGACAACTGTCTTGTGTGACTGGTGAGCTGTCAATCACAGCCCAGACCACGCCCAACTCTCAGCCCCCTTCATGTCCCTTGGTCCTCCAGGGAACACCCTGTTTAGAGAACATTTTCAAATGTTCATGTGGGCAGAGTGAGGCTGGGCACAGGTGTTTAGTCACTCTTTAGAAAGTACTGTGTAGTTTTTTTTGCTCTATTAATATAGGACAGTCGCCATCTGCTGGATATCCAAGGAAACTGGACACTCACCAAAATGAACAACTTATCAAAAACACAGTAACATTTATTAAGCTTGTATTTTTGTAGAGTTTAAACTTCTCTGCAGATTTATGGTTGCTAATATTAAGCTTTTCCATAGCAGTTTTAAAATTGTGTCCATGAGATTGATAGTAGACAACCCCCCAGCTCGTAATGCATTATTGTATAGCGCAAGTAGCGAATGACAAGACGAGAGTACAGAGATGAGACAGAGACGAGAGATCGGCCAATACACTTGATTGAAACAGGCACCTACCGAACTTGTCTTGAAGAACTCGCTGGGGTCATCTCCAAGAATAATTGCCAAGCCATCGATGATGACGCGTCGTTGCTCAGTTACATCATTGGCCTAAATTTAGGACATGGATTATGTCTTGTACAACAGTGCAGTATATGTCAGAGGTTGCTTAAAAATAAATCACTTACGAGATTCTGCCTTTGCAATAGTTTTGCTATTTTCTGTCCAACAACACCTTTTTTTGTTTGGAACATTTCCATCAGTCTTGCAGCATGTCGGTCCAAAGAATCAAAAAAGTCCAGTTCAATATTTTTGCTAGCTATTCTAGCAAACTCCGAGTAGACCTATAAAACACAAAATAATAATTGGAAGTCAATTAAAAAAACATGAGACACGTGGCATACATTCAATTTACCTGTCTTTCAGTGAAGAGTGCTGGCCATCTTTCAAGCAGGTCTTTGACTGGGGGTTCAGTCTTGATGATTTCCTGTCTACGAATAGAAAAAGTCTGTTCCATCATTGTAGTGATGAGATTGTGATCGTGGTTTCTTTTTGACATTTCTCTGACAATGGATAATCTTGTAGTTTCCATGCTTTGCAAATTCTCTCCATCAGGCAAATTGGGCAAAAAGTTAGCTTCGCCTCTTCTGGGGCGTTTGATATTTTTGCTGGACGCTTCCCCTTCTGGGTTGGTTTTGCTTTTCCGTCCTCCGTTTACTGTCACATCCTCAAACCCTACTTCCCTCAGCTTTCTTCGTTGATAACTCATCCTATATTTCAGTTTTGTTTTCCAATTCAGCCATCCAGGAGGCGAGGGTTCTGTTAAGCATGGATGCTTACTTATGAGCGCTTTAGCCACACTTTCAAAGTGCTCATCTTCAGGGTATGCCTTAAAAGTGTACATTTCTTCAGTCAATCGTTCTAATATGTTATGCTTCAGATCCCATGTTAGTGTCATGCGGGTTTCATCTTTGAGATACTGAAGGTCTCCTTGTCTCAATCTGTATGCAACATCTATGGAGAAGTTGGGTATGTCAAAAAAATCAGGCCACACCTTCTCTCTCAATGATGAACCTGAAGATGATGAGGAAGGACTTGACAGAATCAGCGTGTCTGTTGAGCTTGATTCACTGCATAAACTTGCTGAGGTTGGGGAGGAAACTGTTGTAAGCGTGAGACAAACCAAGGGGATTATTTTTAGGGTGGCTTTGTTTTGAGGCAAGTCGTTAATGGTATCCAGATTGCAAAGAGCACTAAAGTCTGTATCCTCATACTGCAACTTGAAATTGTAGTCAAGTTTTAGCTTCTCTTGTAGTTGTGCGATTAATCCATCAAGAGTTGAGGGTCTGTCTTTTAGTATGATTTTCCTGGGGATTATATTTATATCAGAATTAACATGCATCATCATGGAGTAGACGTGATCCAACTGGCTTAACCCATTAGGTTCCAAAGTAGCATAATTGATACATGAGCTCCTAAATCCAGGACACGTTCTAAACCCCACCCAGGCTTCCCACAAACATTTTAATACATTTTTCTAACAGTTTGTTATATGCATATTGATCTAGTAGTCCTCCATTTATTACCAAGTTTCAGATCTCCATTTTGTTCCAATCATTTTCAGAAAATTATGGCCTAAAGGGTTAATCATATTTGACTTGTTTCAATTAATGGATTGGAGTTTTCTAAAACGGATTAGCATGATGAACAAACGTTAGTCACTGGCCACATTAACCCTTTTGGCGCCAGAGTTTTCAGAAATGTTATGTGAAAGAAAAGTTGTGAGCTTTGAAACTTTTTAAAAGACTGCAAAAGATCAATTTTAAAATGAACGCATTATAAACACCATTTTCATTAGTCTCTAGATAAATAACATACACCCCCCCCCCCCCCCCCCCCCCCCCCCCCCCCCTCCCTACCATGGCTAGTGTCTTTTAAATGCACCCCAGTAGGAAACGAAATAACAAAAACAAACACACACAACCTGGCAGGTCTGAATGAGTGAATTATTATTGTAATATTGTTGAATCTTTTTTTGTATGGAATGTTGATGTATCAGTCTGTTTTGTTGTCTTTAATAAAAAAATGAAAAAAAGAAATGAACCCATAAAATATGCACAAAAACTTGAAATGTAGGAAGTGGGAAGCCAGGTTGCTGTATAGAAAGTGTCCTGATTCACAAGCTCACATAGCAATTCTACTACTTTGGCACCTAAATAGTTCAGTTTGGTTCAAGGTGCACTCTGATTAATATTAGAGATGGCATTTTGTTAAATGCCATCTTTGTTAAATGAGACTCAAGTCAGATTCAATCAGTACATGTTAATACCTTATATCCTCACTGTTGATGATGACTCGCAGCGTCACTTCCATAGCCATAGTATATATCCTGGCAAGAAGGGGAAAAAAAAAAATACTATTTGCATAATATGAAATACTAGGCTCTTCCTCGAACTGTATACAGAGAGAGCGGAAATATGTCATTAATTTCGCTAAACTCTGTCACGGTCAGCTCTGGCAATCTGCTCTGACAAAGCTCGTATGCCCGAAGATGCTCATCATACCATGATGTGGTGTTTCGGCAGAGAAAGACTAAATCTGTGTTTATGACCAAAATCTTATGAATTTGTCGAAAATCTGGCAGTCCAGAACAAGATCCTACAGAAACAATCATGTTAGGTGCATAATTGATGCCATCAACAGATGCTGTGGAAGCTACAAGGACTGTATGTTGCAGAGAAAATCTTTGTTGTAGTGTTTGTTGCACACAATCAGGAAAAGTAGTAAGCAGCACAGATTTCACCTTGTCAACTTCAAAAGCAGGGCGAAAAAATGCATTACTTGCCAAATGAAAGGCAATCATCTCCTGATGTTTCCGAGTCAAAGTCAATGCTAAGTTTTTGAAGTTCTGAGCATAGCGCACATTCTTCTTGAAAAATTTGTGCTTTCCCTCGAACCGCATGGTCCACACCTCAGACAATGGCCCAAAGGTTCTGATCAAGTCTGGATAATGCTCAATATAATGATGTTTGGGTTTAAGCTTTTGTGATGGAAAAACTTGCTTGAACAATTCTCTGTGGTCAGCAATCTTGCCGTCAAGGTACTGCAATGACTCCTCTGTGAATGCCTTAGAAACTGCCAATTCTACTATATCTTTCAAGATAAGTAAAACCTCCCAAGTTGTGTCCTTTTCTGGAATATAGTGGCCTATCAGGAATGGCAAGAATCTAAGAAGAGTCCAATTCTCATGCCCATTACCTCCTATGGTGTTGTTTGAGAAGCAATTCTTTCTTATGCATTGAGGTCTGTTGGTCTTGTCAGAAAAGGCATATGGAAACTCTGAGATGGCCACATTTAGCTGTTCCAGAGAAAAGTATCCCTTTGCAATGAGGCTCTTGAGACACAAAGCAATTTCTAGAGGCACTACACCTTCCAAAAGGTCATGCAAAATGTCTGGGGGATATCCATCAATAACATGAAAGTTAGACAGATGATCTGATAGAGGACAGCTTCTTTTGACACCATATATTTGGGCCTTTGTGGGATCCTGCCTTATTTCTTGTACTTGTCTGTCATGATTATCTTTTGACCTTCTTTCAAAAGATCCGGTTCTTACATCTTTGACTTGTATTTCCTCCTTCTTTGCCATACAGAACCTACAGAGTTGATCAACTGTAAAACTTTCAAAGAAACCACCTAAAGAATGTGCTGCCAGGTTGTCTGCAGCTACAAATAGCACAGTTCCTCGAACACTGATACCCAACTGATCAACGTAAACTCCATGTTGTTCAAGGAAAACCAGGTCTTGAATCAGTGGTGCCAGAATTTTACTGTAGCCGTATTGTTTGATCTTGCTGGACTTGCAAAGCAATGCAAGTTGGATTGAATGCAAAGAAGAGCGAAATTTTGGGTGAATGTTGCAAAGTGTCCAGTAAAATGCGCATAGTTTGTGCTTATTTCTGGAGGTTCCTAGAGGGTTAGCTACTTCAAAATCATCCAGATACAAGCAAAGGGCAATGCAAAAAGGATCGTTGCTTAGGAGTGAGTTTCGTTTGAAGCGCCAACCATCCCTGTAAGACTGAAAGTCCTTTGATTCATCTGGTCCTTCTGACATGGCCTCCTTCAAAATGTCCTTATTGCTCAGCAGGGTCTGTAACATTTCAAGAATTGGGACATAGACAATAGTCTGATTATTTTGTAGAATGTATTCTACAGGCTTTACAACAGGGAACTCTTCAGATATGAAAGATTTTCTTTTTTTGGTTGTTGACAGTGATCCTCCAGTTGAAGTCAACCTTAAGAACATGTTGTTTTTCTTCAAAGCCGTCATTACGTTATCCATTATAGAAGGGTCAATATTGGCACAATGCTCAGTTATAACATTTTGTAAGGCTGAATGTAACAATGGCTGGGACAACATATGGAACTGGTTTATCTGTTCAACAACTTCTTGTATGGCACTTTCAGAAATAGAAAAAATGGAAGACATCTTGAGAAAAAGCGCAGCCAAGTTATGCTCCAACTGCCTCTCTAGTTCTTTAACATTGCTAGACTCAACAGTTAAATCACAGTCCGTCTCACTTAATTCAGCCTCAGAATTGAAGAGATCAGGTGAATCTGAGGATTGTTCTTCAAGGATTTTTTCTTCAGACACTATTTTAGGCTTAAATGAAGGTTTACTTTGCAGGGGATGCAGTCGGCTTCTGTGACAGTTAAAAGTTGAAGAAACATTACTCTCAAAAGCACATCCTTGATATGGACACACTACTTTCTGTTTCAACTTTATATGTCCACGCAAATGAGTAAAAAAGTCTTTTTCAGAACAAGGTTCACCAAAGTCACACAACTGGCAGTGAAACACACAAATACTAATTTTCTTTTTTTCTTGGTGACATCTAGATAGATGCAGTTTGAGTGCATTGAAGGTTTTAAATGTACAAGGACATGCGGTATGTAGACATGGTATTTGTGGCAATCGAGTGAAGGTCCCATGTTTTAAACGGAAATGCTTTAGTAAGTAACCTCTTTTTTGAGCCACAAAATTGCAACACTTACAGGGCCACTGCATCAGAATGCCAGTCAGTGTGCCTATGAAAAAAGAAAAAAAGGTTAGTCAAAATGGTTTGCTTCAAACTATACACATACATAATTATTAATCAATCCAAATAAGTGACTAAGTGTACACCAGTGTTCCAACCTTTTTGAAACTATCATTTAAAAACTAATTTAAAACTATCTCATGGCACACCACCAG